GATTTAAGATGGAAAACGACTAAGTCCAACTATTTATTCAGATAATTGTCAAAGTACTTTTTATAAGAGCGAACTGGAGCGTATGAAATACAAAATTAGTCTGATCGTTCTGCGCTTGGCGGAGGAGATCTTCGGGTGATGCGGATCGATGCCCCTTCCTCGCTGGATCCTGGATCCTCCCTCAGGATCATCCCTTGTCCAATGGTGGAGGAGTCCACCCCCGTCCGATGTGGGCCCCTTCTCCTGGCTGTGGTCCACCCTCAGCCGCGTGGTGGTGGAGGCTCCGCCAAGACGCGGGAACGTAACATTGAACATGTGCGTAGAGAAAGCGTGAGACCCAGAGAACGCGAAAACAAAGTCCTTGTATTAGGCGAAAATTTACGACCCTCTTCGAGTGCATGAAAAGACAGGATATTCGTAGGAGATCTTGAAACTTTCAAGAACTGTACGCGACTTAGTCGAAAACAACATATTCGATACGGTCCCTAATAAATTAATCTCTACAAACATTCAAAGTGAAGCTACGTTTATTCTCTGGATTCCCAAACTTTCCCAAGCATGAACACCCACGTCGAGTGGCTTTAACAATATAAGCTTTGTCTATTGTACATGATTGCACGCTCAGATAGTTTAAATTTCGCTCTTAATTTATGGTCATCGATATAACAAAGTACAGACGCGCTCTGTAAATATCCTCACGGTCGTGTTGCCATACTACAATGACTATATTCAGGATGATAACAAGTACGCTTGCGTTACAATATCTTTACACTTTGAGGTTGGCGCTTCTGACGTGTGGTTTACTGCGCTCAACCATCTATGTTGAGTTTGCTCTGCGACTGATTGTTGTTACGTTGGCAGTTTTGTATCCCTTTACTTTTTTAGGTTGGCGCTTCTGCAGACACCGCGCTTCCAATTCAATTACCATGTTGGCACTGTTGCGCTAATTTTTCACGACCATCTCGATGGTAGCTACTTCATGACTATTTCGTGTTGGCAGTTTTGACCTTCTACACTCATCATGTTGGCACTTCTGCACCGCGACCCATCTCGCTTTAACATAGTCTACGCCTGATGAAGGTTGGCGATTCTGAACTATAAAGATTGGCTAAGTAAAGTATTGATTTTTATACGTGTAAATGACACAAAATACGTTACCGTGCATTTCGATCAAAGGCAATGCAAAAACGATAATGCAACCTGTTAAATGTTAATTGATTACGATGGAGTTGCGCGAGGCCAATCAAGTTTTCGACGTCGCGGAGGAAGAAACCACTGAATTATTGTCGCCGTCTCATCGGGATAACCTCCAAATTGAAAGTTATTTTATTCGGTATGCTATTCAAAAGGAGATGATAAATCGCAATCGTTGTTCCGCCAGTCGTCGTTTGCTCGGTCAAACTGCCGCTTCTCATTTGACAGATTTTAATCTTCTGAATGGTAATCATCAAAAGGTACTGTCTCTCTTTCTTTCTTTTTCCATTACAAACAAATAAGAAAGAGGTGCTTTAACGCGTTTATTTTTTTTTTTTTGCAGGACACGACACCATGCATCAGTATGATTCACACTTCCAACGCGAACTGGCCTCCTTCCAGAAAAAGAGAAGAGGCAAGAGCGTTGGAAAATCTACGCAAACGCGTCGAACAGTCTAAATTGTATAAAGCCGATCGAGAGACTTCTGCTCCTTTCCTATCCGATAACGATCATCGTGTTACCCGACTCGATAATCGACCCAAACTTTTGGAAAAGGTGAGACACTCCTCGCGAACTGATTGAATATTAAATCGTTATAGCTTATCGCGTGCACTACGTAGATCCTCGGTAACAGGCCTATGAGTATCGCACAGGACGGTAACGATCTGGAGACCGATTGGCGAGATAGCGAATTTATTACCGAATGTTTGTGCTGGCACAACGTTTATCGACAAAGACACAACGCGCCTCCTTTAACCATGTCGCCACAGGTAACGAACGAATTCCGTTACGAAACGACTGTTTCGTAACTGCGATAATAATCGTACAACGATTCCTTTCTAGTTGTGTGAGTACGCTCAAACATGGGCGAATCATTTGGCCCATACCAACACCTTTTACTACAGAAACGATCGACAAGTGGGACAAAATCTTTACTGTCGTCCCGGAGGTGCCGTTCCGACCGATGTAACTGGACAAGATGTTGCATCCTATTGGTACTCGGCGGTCAAACAGTACGATTTCTTGAAGGAACCCGACGTTTTACACGCCAACGTAAATGCCGGTCATTTTACCCAATTAATTTGGGCCAATAGTCGTTACTTCGGCGTCGGTAAAGCTCGCAGCAGAAGCGGCAAAGTGATCGTCGTAGCCAACTACCAACCTGTTGGCAATATATCTGGCCAATTTCAAAACAACGTATTGCCACCTTTGCCCGATAACGTTAACGTCCCTTTGTCGCTGCCGCCTCAACGATCTACCAAAATATTTCGCGAAGATTATATCGCGTCGGATTCTCCGCCACCAGCTTCGTCTTCCGTACCCTTTTCGGATACCGCGTCTACGGATAGCGATCGTTCTTCCGTTAGTTCTACGCAATAATACAGACGACCGAATTGCCTTTTCTGCGTTTGCACGCGTCGATGGGATAGGCGTTGACCGGATGCGTTCGATCCTCCTCTCTTCTTCCTCCTTGCTTCTACGACCTTCTTCTTCTTCCATCCTCTTTATTTACCTTTCTATCCTTCCTCTTCGAATCGTTGCTTTATAAGCTACTTATTATACTACTTATAAGAGAATACGCTTACGCGATGCAACTCGTTAATTTAAAAATAGTTTAATTAGGTTAACACACACACACACGCACACAGTTCGATCGAAGACGCGTCGCGTTAAGGAGAAGGGAGAAGAGAACGATTTGAAAAAAAAATTGGCGTGCATACTTCGTAGAACAGGCATAAACGATGGTTCTATAACGGCGAGAACTCGTTATTACCTTTTCAAGTGCTTTACAAACTTAAAAATCGTCTTGGTGCTCGCTCGCAATTTCTGCGGTAAAATTGCGCATACTGTTCGGAGCTGAGAAGATTGTTACGTTCTTGTACCGTCGTCGTACTACGTTTTTCTTCCGATACAAACATCAACGGATCGCGTAATTACCCCTTGAAATCTTGCCCCTATTCCGTCCCGCGAGTAATCTTTTCGGTTCTCTGCAGTATCGTACGTGATACGTTGTCTAGTTAATCGTTAACTGTTAACTATTCCAGACAACCGTTCCAAAGGACCGTACGTTGGGACGGATATCCATGGAATAGACAAAAGTAGTTGTATTATCGATCTGGCAGCAACTTAGTATCGTTACGATGATATATCGTGTATTACCAGTATTTATATACATACGTATGGCATGTATGCGTATGTGCTACTAGTCGGACAACGGATTAATAGCTTAGCGCGTTAACGCTTCTATCGTTGCGTTATTATCGGTTAAGATTTTTTCTTTACGATTATTATTCCTTTTTCCGATACCGTCCTCTTCTTTCTTCTTAGTTTTCTTTTTCCTTTCAGCTACTCGTAAGACACGCGCGCGTACTTGTTAACGATTGAAAGGAACGACCGATGACAAACTTGTCGTGTTATTCGCGTTTGCCGAACATAATGTATCCTCGCTTAGAGATCCGATAGCGTAGAACTGTTGCTCGAAAAGAGAACGAGACACCGATAATTATTATACAAACGTTATAGCTAACTACAACATTTTTCTGAAATGTTTTTTCACTTTTTCTACTGCCCAAAACGCGAGCAGTTGAACAAAATATATTGTTCCTATTAACGATTCCGATGGCTGGATTAAAATTACAGCTTTGCTGTGGAGTAGCTAGGCCTAGAAAAGTGTTCGCACGATAAATTTATTGCTTCCGATTCGTTCCAGTCGAATAGGTACGTTTAACGTATACCGTAAAGAAAATTCTTTCGATAATTATTCTATACGAATACTGCCACCAGCGGTCATATAAAAAACGCGAGCAGTAAATGAACGAAAAGTAAACGGTATGCTCGGAATATTCGTACCTTCGATCGGATGCGAATAGAGATCGATTACGTTCGAAAATATCTCAAAATAGTTATACGAATAGATAATGTGTTACTTTGACTGAATTTTTAAACAAATATCAAGGCGATCTCGGCTTCGAGTGTTGTTGTTGTTGTTCTTACTGCATCGACATAATAGAACGTTCTTCGAATAAAAAGCATTTTCTTCTTCGTTTTCTCTCCAACTAATAAAATCAACTTGACGATTCAAATACATGCGCACTCGATCCTCGCACAGCTTTTACCACCGCCGATAACAGCGAGAAGAAAGATTTCAAATTTCGTGCCTACTATTTCTACCGGTGGATGGGAAAAGAGGGCGCTCGGCAGATATGTTTCGCTACAAAAATCGTTGTCGATGGTTTTACAGCTCGTACGATGATGCTGCCCTCTGAAGTTAGTCGGTTTTAAGTTTTCAAGATTGAATGCTTACATCGACATTCTATGTACCAAGGGGAATACCCACGATACGCAACTGATAAGTAAGGGATCGAAAAGATTTTTGTCGTTTACAGTTAACCATTATTCGACCGTTTGTTAATTGAAATACTCTTGACTATGAATAATACAAAGGTATACCTCTTTTTTCTTCGTACCATGAATTAAACGAATTATATTTACTTACGTTATTTATACCGTTAGAAATGGAACGATATATTGGAGGAATTGCTGCAATGTTGTGTCTGTTTAGACATACCTGATTCGATGGTGTTACAATGTTCCAATGGACATTTGATTTGTGATTCTTGTAGGAGAAGACTGGAACTGTGTCCGATATGCAGTCAGCAATTCATTCAAACGAAATGTCTGCTTGCCGAGGATATAATTTCTAGAATGGAAGATATAAAGGTCATACGGTTCAAATATTTTTCTTTTTTTTTTTTTTCCCCTTTGCAATAAAATTAGTTAACTTCTGTCGACGTTAAACTACGTAAATGTTTCATTTAACGATGACGAGCTGTTCGTCAATTTTTCTTAACGCTTTATAGAGGAATCGTACAATAATTTATAAGTAACGTTTCACTTTCGTACGTATATTAGTAGGTTCGATGTTCCAACGTATTTCAATTATTGCGTTCAACAGATGAGTATAGCCGAAGAAATCGTGGAGAAATTGCAGCAACGAGAACAGCAGTCCGTTTTTACTCAAACAACTTTCGTGACCGATGCAAAATGTACGGCCACGCAAACCGACGATAACACTGTTCAGGATAGGAAAGTACAGAAAAAGCAATTATACCAGTGTCAAATCGGTCGTTGCAATTTCAAGACCTTTTACAAAGTACTGCTTCAACATTTAACGGAACGGCACAGGAATGTATTTTACAATGTACCGATACATATATATATATATATCTATATATTTATTCTGATTGTATTTTAATACGTTTTCATTCGGAACTTACTGATCGAAAATATAATTAAACTTCAGATTTATCAGGAAGGCGAAGTGATCAGCGAAAACTTCGTATTAGACATTGACAAATTGCCGAGATATTATGACTTGGCACTTATTGTGAATAACATGAATTTATTTTTTCTTAAAATTAAAATCCATAATAACGGACAATTGGTAGCTAATCTACAAGTTGTAGATAAAAATGTTGAAACCACGCTATTTCAGTATCGGTTTTTAATTACCGATGGATCGTGCTATTTACGTCGTCGAGGGATGGTAATATCGTTAACATCGAAAATTCGTTAAAATTTTTATGTATTCGAACGAATTCGTTATTGAGAAATCAGTCGATGGTTCGGTAAATAATTTCTTTATATTTTAAATAGGTGACATCCTGCCTCGTACAAAAAGAAACGGCTCATCAACATAGCGTTCGCATGGACGAAAAAGAAATGTTGACGTTGATGCGTGCAAAGTCGATCGAATGTACCATAATTATAAAAAAATGTGTACACCCCATGAAAATAATCGATGCGACATCGAACGAATAGATTAATCATGACGCAAGTTTTATTTGGACTCGTAACATATATGTATTTTTCATTAATTAAATATAATTTTTCGTTTCGTCGTTGAAAACGAACTAATTTATTATTTATTTCGGTGTTACATAATTAAATGTTTGTTTTTTCTTTTTTCTTTCTTTCATCTTGAATATTTCGTGTCTTCTTCGATTGTAAAATGCACAAACTTGGTTTATTCTCTTCGTGTATTGTATGTACATATATATATATATATATATATATATATATATATATATATATATATATATATATATATATATATATATATATATATATATATATATATATATATATATATATATATATATATATATATATATATATATATATATATATATATATATATATATATATATATATATATATATATATATATATATATATATATATATATATATATATATATATATATATATATATATATATATATATATATATATATATATATATATATATATATATATATATATATATATATATATATATATATATATATATATATATATATATATATATATATATATATATATATATATATATATATATATATATATATATATATATATATATATATATATATATATATATATATATATATATATATATATATATATATATATATATATATATATATATATATATATATATATATATATATATATATATATATATATATATATATATATATATATATATATATATATATATATATATATATATATATATATATATATATATATATATATATATATATATATATATATATATATATATATATATATATATATATATATATATATATATATATATATATATATATATATATATATATATATATATATATATATATATATATATATATATATATATATATATATATATATATATATATATATATATATATATATATATATATATATATATATATATATATATATATATATATATATATATATATATATATATATATATATATATATATATATATATATATATATATATATATATATATATATATATATATATATATATATATATATATATATATATATATATATATATATATATATATATATATATATATATATATATATATATATATATATATATATATATATATATATATATATATATATATATATATATATATATATATATATATATATATATATATATATATATATATATATATATATATATATATATATATATATATATATATATATATATATATATATATATATATATATATATATATATATATATATATATATATATATATATATATATATATATATATATATATATATATATATATATATATATATATATATATATATATATATATATATATATATATATATATATATATATATATATATATATATATATATATATATATATATATATATATATATATATATATATATATATATATATATATATATATATATATATATATATATATATATATATATATATATATATATATATATATATATATATATATATACACATGTACATGCGTACTGCTTGTTTTTATTAATAAAGCATCGTTTATAAACAAAAGTTGTACACGATTATTATAGAATGTCACCGAAAGACGTAAAATCATTCTCACAAAATATATGTTCTCGACGTGTGCGATATCTTTTTTTTTTTTTTTGGATCGTTTGTTTATTCGTTCGTTAACAAATCTTTATCTTGTCGAACTTCGTTCTTTTTCGCCTTCTGGTCACGTTCGCCCTTTCGAAATCGGACTACTTTGAACAATTTCATCGCACATCGTTCGTTATCGGAATACCTTTTTGTTTGCTATCGTGCCCGCAATAATGTGTAAAATAACAAACACCTACGTGTTTATATAGCGTAATTCATAACGCGTTGGACGTATGTATCGTTCATCTTACGTTAACGAACATCTCTATAATCGGCTACGAAACCCTCTCTCTTTTTTTTTTTTTCACCCTTGGTTCGTAACAAATTTAACGTTTTCGCCGAACGATCGATGGAATTTATTGTTGTACGTTTCGCTAGATGCCCTTGGTAAGCTAAATCCATAAACTGGATATATCTTTTTTTCCAATATATTTCGTCGTGATACTACGTTGCTTTCCTTCAGGTACCGCCTTCGCGTAACGATTTTTGCTGTTCTAAAAGCCGCTCTAACGGAGATGGCCCGGGACCGGACCATAAAGATTGTTGACTGAGTCGAGTTTTTGTCTGATCTTGATTCGACGCGTTAGAACTTTGCGAATTACATCCCCACGTGGTGTTACTGCTAAACAACGAGTAGGTGTTTCCTGTACCGACCAATTGATTTGGTTTCGCCTCTACCTGCAACACGAACGTGTACAAAATGTATCTATTATTTTTACAATAAGTTCGATCGCGATAATAATAGTAATAATAATAATAACAATAATAATAATAATAATACCGACTTCCAAAGTTCCGGAGCTTTCCAAATTGCTCGCGTTGCCAAAATGTTTTCCGTGCTGCTGCTGCTGCTGCGATTCCGACTGATAATCGTTGCAACTTCTTAACGAGACCGAGATCATGTTTCCTATGTTGGACGAAGAAGAAGAACCGTTGTCCCACTTGTTATAATTTTCTATGGCCGGCGTATCTTCGCCGGATAATTGCATACTTCTGCCGGTCGATGAACCCCAAGGTACCGAAAATTGTGGTTGTCGAGTGTCTTTCCACAGATTGAAATTCGCGGTCTCGTAATTTTGAAATAACGGATTAAAATTGTTCACGATTTGCGATTGATTTTTAGACATGTTCGCGTGATTGGGCAATGAAAATTCTAAAATATCGGTATTTTTATTGTACACCGACGAAGACAATTGTTTCGATGATATCTGTCCAAAAGCGTTTTGGTTAAAATCGCTTTGATTAAAATTAAATTGCAAATTCGCCGGTGTAGCGGACGAATTTAACGAATTTAACGAATTAATCGGTACGTTCGACACCACGGGTGCACCCGTTTGATAAAGCTTCTTCTGATATGTATTTATTGTCGATAAAGTACAAACGTTCGTAACGGATGAACTGGTTAAGGGAATTTGATTATGTAAAGATACTGTGCCTGGCCGGAGATTGCTTTTTCCACCGACAGCGTTTTGTTGCTGCATATTCGTACCGTGATTCTGCTGAATACTCAAACTATGACCTTGTTGTTGCGCGTTTATGCTTTGTTGCAGAGCTATGTTCCCGGTTTGCTGAGAATTCATACTCTGCGAAGCGTTCGATATAACTGTTTGTTGAGTCGAAGAAGGAATCCCAACGGTTTGTTGATGTAACAACGAATTCTGCGGTATATTCGGAGTTTGCACTCTCTGATGCATAGACCTGTTCTGGTTCGACGTATGTTGTAAACTTATATTTTGCGACATCGAATGTTGTTGCGTTGGGCTGGAAAAGTGTCCTTGAATCGGATAACTCGATACATTACCTCCGTGATTCGACATATAATTTTTCGTGAATTGCGGATTTTGTACATTGAACGTTGGATTTTGATAACAAATAGTACCGACCACGCACGGAGAAGTAGCGGGTATCGTTGTTAGAATTCCGGAAGTTTGTTGGTCCTTTGGAGCGATGTAATTGATCTGCGATGGCTGGGAAACGTTGTGTTGTAGTTTGCTTGTTTTACTTTGATTCGAGGGTACTGTAACGAGTTGATTCTGCACGGTAGTCGTGACGAAAGGCATCGATGGTAATCGATTTTGAACAGTGATCAACGCGTTCGTGGACAAACTGGGAATGCTGCTCTGTTTCGATGTTTCTCCGATAATTATCGGCGGTATATTCTTGTTTTCGACGGATATACCTTTCGTAGGCGATACCGAACTTGGTTTAACCCTTTTCTCGTTCTCCTCTTCTACGTTTAACGGTGACACGTTCTTGAACGTCACTTGCTTCTGTTCCGTTTCGGCACGTCGCATAATAGTTTGCATCGCCACGTTTTGTCGCGGTTTTCTAATCGCGGGTAACGTATTCTGCTCGAAAGAACTCGATTCCGTATTAATCAGCAACGGATCTTTGCTTCGTTCCAATGAACCTTGAGGTTTCAAAATGCCTATCCTTTTGTCCAAACCGTGCTCCGACGTATCGATATCCGCGGAACCTTTACTACTGGCAGTTTCCGAGAGTACCGGACTAATTGATACACCGGACGCGGCCGATTGTCTTTCTTTGTTCAAACTGAGCTCCTCCAATTCTTTCATCAGTTCGTTACTCAAACCGTTTCCTTCGCTCATCGAACTGAATCTGTTATTACCTTTCTCCTCTCCCGATGTAATGGCGATTAACGCGGAACCATTGATTTTATATTGCGCTAAACAATGTCCCGAACGAAGGATACGAACTGCGCGTAATTTATTCGAAGCTTCGATATCGTCTTCTAAATCGGTATTTGTAAATTTTAAGCACTCGAAACTTTTCTCCAACGGTAAAAATCCTTGTAAATCACGATCCTCTGGCAGTGGTACTTCGACGTATTGATCGTATGGAAAATCAGCTACGCAATTTTGCAACGCGTTCAATAATACGCACAAACTGGGCCAGATTTGAAGTCTCGACGTAAAAGCCGCTTCTTCCAAAACTGTGGGTTTAGTGTGAATCCAATCAAGGCACAGTTTTATAGAAGGCAAAGCGAAATACTCCACGATAGAATTTTTTATCGTATAGACAGGTAATAACAAAGCGGACAAGCTGCCTGCTATAAGATCTAAAATACAGTCCCGAGCAATTTTCTCCTCGGACGTTAACTGTTCGTGTTTCGACGAATCTGTGTTACCCGCGACAATGTTCGTTGCGTGTTCCAAAGCGTACAAGTTGATTACGAACATTTGTACGAGCATCCAAGAGCTAAAACTTTCCGTTGCGACCAAGGCTGTTAACGTTTCGGTTAACAATTTTGCGTAAGTAGAAGCGATTTTTAAATCTCCGAGATTATGAATTACGCCGTGAAGTTTCAAAAAGACAGATATATACTCTTGAGAGGTCAGTTTGGTTTTCCCATCGATATTTAACGATGTATCGTTCAAAGCGGATGATAATGTTTTTGCCAAGTTCGTTGTGGCTACGGGAAATGGATGTTTCACGGCAACGGATCGTGTATAATGAAACACGGTCCCTAATTTATTACCGCGTGATGCTTCGAGCAGAGCTAACTGATTATAAGGTTGTCCACTGGATGGTGACAACGACACTGCGTGCCTGTAAAACAATTCCGCTTGTTTACTTTCGTTCCTGTAACGAGCGATATCTCCCAAATGAACAAGGCAATATTGGCACGCGTAAAAACACGACGATTTGTGAGGCACTGATAGTTTCTCGACAGCTTTCCACGGTGATGTACACCCGTACACGTAACCTTTCCTACAAAAGATAGAGATCGTTTTTCGCTTTATCCGCTTACGTATCATAAATGTCCATTTTAATACGAAACATGGAAAGAAACAAAGCCGTACAGGATAATCTAACCTACCTACTTACCTTCTGAATGGTAGATCCAAATCGAATGCCGTACAAATTTCTTGCAATAACGTTAAATAGAAACCGCTCGCTGCCTCTAAACACCAACTAAGTAAAGCCTGAGATTCTCCGCGCTTAGGATTCTTCCTGTCTTTCGCTTGCGATTGCAAAGTTGCTATGTAATTTTTAAATCCTAGGTTCCAAAGTTCTTGTTCGACTTTTCTATCCAATGCATATTCCAAATCCAATATAAGAACTTGTTGATATATTTTTTGTAACTGTTGCTGACATACCCAAGCGTCATTGTCGTTTAACAAATCTCTGCAACGTTGTACTTTGTCTTTTAACGGTTCTGCTTTCCTAAAGTACACGAAATCGAGTGAATTTTTTAATAGCACCAAAATATTCTCTTCGATTTTAAAAATTAACCATTTATTTTTGGCTTACTTTAGAGCTTGTACAGCCGCGTTTAGGCCCATATTTTGTGTACCTCGAATCGTCGATGCGATACGTTTTGCCTATTTAAATGAAAAAAATTAAATACGATTTCTTTGGTTATACACGAAAAATCTGAATACGATACTATTTGTTGATACGTTAAACGGTTCGTTACAAAAAACTCTCTAATTTTCTTACGATATTGGATCAAATTTAAAACATCGTATTTCGATTGGTTCTTCTCTTTTTCGATCGAGTTTAACGAAATATATAAATTTTTTCTTGTTTCACGATAGTTTTTAAAAAACGATCGAACAATTAGTATATCAAACTGATCACATTCAGAATCATGCCAATGAATCTAAATTACACATATTTTTTCATAAACCGAATCTCGTACAAAAAAAAATAATCAAGTTACTACCCGCTAATAAAAACATTGCAAATAGTGAAGTTTCAACGTAACGAAACTTTCACAAATTTTTAAAGTAACTTGATTTATTCAATACATAAGAGTCGATATCTGTTACACTCGAAAAATCTAGGTTAACTATAGCCTAATACTGATAGACAACGAAAAGAGTTCGTAAATAATAAGACCGATGATGAATTCTGCGATAAAAAGTTCTACAAGTAGAAAGAATTCTAAAAATAATAAGAAAAACTTACTTTCACATATTTACGTTAAAAAGAAACCTAAAATACACCGCATTACTGATACGTGCTCGACGATAATGGAAAAACTGCACCGCCCCCACGTTAAACATTCAACTTACTTTTACGGGTTATAACCAAAAGTATTTACACTTTCCACAAGTATTTTTATCAAAATTAATAAAAGCATATTATTACGGTGTTTATTCATAGATAATCGATGTAAACGTTAAATTGTAAGAAAATTTTAAATACTCGTATATCATGTTTCATAGAATTCTAGTTGTTTAACGATTACGCTGGTCGAAATTTCAGGTTAGAAGGAAGTCGTGCAACACGCTAATATTATCGTATAAAATGTTGGTGTTCATCTTTGCCAAACTTTCCATACACTTTCAACGACATTATAATGGGATAAATAACTATCGATTATTTTCGATAGTATGTACATTCCTTGTATTACCTACGATATTTTCCGTAGCATGTAACAAGTTGACAGCTCAGTTTCATCAAATATACATATAGAAATTTATAATATGTATTATTATGTAAACAATAATACAGTTTCACATAGATATTGTTTATAATAAAATAGTATTTATCGTGTTTTTTTTTGGTTTGTAATGATATTTTTTTGTTGCAGAGTCGTTCGATTTCTCTTAACGAAAAAAAACAAACGAACATGGAAGCGAAACAAAAAGAATTGATGGCGCGCGGTCTCCCTAAGCAGAAACCTTTAAAAGGTGTGAAACAAATTGTTGTTGTAGCATCCGGAAAAGGTGGAGTTGGAAAATCTACCGTTGCTGTAAATTTATCGACCGCGCTAAAAATTGTTGAGCCAAAAAAATCTATCGGTTTGCTCGATGCTGATGTATTTGGACCATCAGTACCCTTGATGATGAATTTGAAAAATTCTCCTGTAGTTAATGATGCGAATCTTATAGAACCACTTTTAAACTATGGTGTAAAGTGGTGAGAAAATGATTTCATGCATTTTACTCGCGCCTCCACCGATGTTTTCCAAACCATAAAGTTTTCTTTCGCGTATAGCATGTCTATGGGTTTTCTAATCGATGATAAATCTCCAGTAATTTGGAGAGGATTAATGGTAATGAGCGCAATTGAGAAACTATTACGCCAAGTAGCATGGGATCCTTTGGATTATCTTATCGTAGACACTCCACCTGGAACAGGAGATACGCACCTTTCGATTGTGCAAAATCTTCCAGTTACGGGTGCATTGTTGGTAACTACGCCTCAAAAAGCAGCCCTGGAAGTAACAGCGCGAGGAGCAAATATGTTTAAACGATTGAACGTTCCAATTATTGGAATCGTAGAAAATATGAGCAATGTTATATGCCCCAAATGTAACAATAAAATAACGCTTTACGATAATGGAACAGAAACTTTTGCTCAAGAACTTGGTATTGAAATTATGAATCTATTTATACATGTACTAATCTATCTATTTATATACATACATACACACACACACACACACACACATATATATATATATATGCACGCGCGTGCCCACACATTGCATAGAGTTGCAATTTTCCATATTTTTTTTAGGTATACAAGTTTTGCAAACTATTTCTTTGTCACAAGATATTGTGAAAAGTTGTGACATTGGTAAACCAGTTGTATTATCTACACCACAAAGTACTCAAGCTTATGCGTACCGAAATTTGGCAGAACATGTAATTTCATTTTTAGCTAATCAACCGATAAACGAAGAATAACTATTGGGAAACATTTCTTTTCCGTTATGTTTACTCATTTTGCAAAAAATCCGTATAAATTTCTTCGTTTACGAAGATCTGCAAATTATTTGAAAAATGTCATTAAAATTTACAACCTTCTAACGAAGAATAATGCGAATTATCTTCAAACCAAAAATGAAGTACTTATAATAATGATTATCCCCACCTATCTTACTATCTTATCCCCTCTTTCAACGATGTTAAATCCTGAATGTGTATAAAATACTTCGGTTCATTTTCTGAGTATTTCATCGCGAACATTAATTCATGGTATGTATAGGTTTAGGTTTACCGTCTTTCATGTTCTTCCGTATTTAAATTACTTTTCTTGCCTTTACATTGAAGAAGAAGAACAAATAGCAAGTATATAATTCAACAAAGTTATATAGATTCTTAATATTACAGTTGAAGTCATCAAATTAAAAATACATACTGATGTATACACTTCGTTCTTAACGAATTTTTGTATTAGGGAGTGTATTTGAGACGAGATGATTTGCAACATTTTTATAATTGATGTAAATTAGTTGAAAGAAAAGTTTATAGCACAAATGCTATTTATGTTTATGTAAATGTACGTTTTGATGTTACACGTTTCTTATTACCAGTATTTCATTCATTTTCTCTTTTATTTTATTTTGCAGATTCGTCTATGAAAATGAATGATAACAATCATACTAGCATCCATTCTGATGCGAATGCTGAAGTTTATGACATTCCAATGAACGTTCTTATTAGGCCTATTCCTCCAATTGTGGATGAAAAAAAAGTTGAAAGTTTGGCAAATACATTGAATAATCCGGAAACAGAATCATTAGTACCACCGATCGATGTTTTATGGGTTAAAGGTAGCGAAGGTAACGAGATTTGTTATATATTTTTAAAAAATTTTAATAATTAAAAACATTTCTTAATGCATATTGGTTATTTCAAATATGTTTCTAAACAAAGCGAGTAAAAAAAAAAACAAGACATTTTTAACGACGAGATCTTCATTCTTTATACTTATATTAGCTCCGAAACAGCTTCGTCTATTGCTGCATGTGAATTCTTCTGATGATTAATGTCGTTGACGAATAACGAATTTTAGAATTTCATCGTGCATAATGGTCGAAGTAGCGCATAGAACGCGTAATAATTTGGGCGTAGGTTTTTCAAATTGACATTGTTTTTTTTTCCGAGGATTTAAAGATTTTTTATTAAGAATTTCAACATAATATAGGGTGAAGTGGTCCCATTATTGGCAGTTTGAGTAAATACGTGTTTACGATGCATTATTTTTTCTTTGTTGGTGAAGGGGAGCGACTCTTTTTTTTTTTTTTTTTTTTTTACTCTCCATAAAACAAATTTATTGAAAAATGTACATACAAAAACCCTTTTAGGGGGCGATTACTATTACTCTTTCGGCGGGTGCCATCGATATACGGCTCATCAAAGGCTTGGAAAACCATATATAAAAGCTAAATTGATACGATCAACAATGGCGGATCTGAAATGTTATCTTGGTGGTTCTATGCCAAATTTAAAATAATGCTGTAACATTTGTATGTTGTTGCTTTACAGTTTTGCTTATTTTATGTAAAAAAAAAAAAAATAAAAATTATAATTACATATTAAGTATAAATATCGAAATAATTATAACATTTCCTGTTAACGTGTACAAGTTTCAATTTTAAATCTTTATATTATAGTTTTCGATCATGTTTGAATGCATTTGTACACATATTAAGTGGTTTTATTTCAAAACATGTAATAAAAATGTATAAGATAATAGTTTTTTTAATAATACATGTACATTGAATCTGTGTAATATATGTTCTGAATAATTTATAACAAATAACGTTATTAGCGTTCCTCGTACGATATATTTTTATTTTGTAATCGTAACGTTAGCGAACTGTTTAACTGTAAAAAAAAAACAAGAAATAAGATTTTATATAAAGATTTATATGCACTAATAATTATCTTTATATATTTTAATAATTATCTTTTATTATTAAAGAGTTGAAAATCTTTCGAGAGTGTCGAAACTTCTATGTATAGTACATTTACGTCGATTTATATGTATACATATCTAAGTCGTATTAAATGTGTATATGCTGCGTGTGCATTTTTTATACGTTTGTGTTTTCTTTTTAAATCAAACTTAAAAGTAATATTCCTATTTAAATATATACGCGGTCGTTTCGATATAATTTCTACTGCTTTTATCCACATACGTATCTCGTGAATTTCGTTCATGATAAGTTTTACGATTAGTTTCTTTAATAAAATACGGTTTGTATGTTTTAGTTGTTTCGGCTGCTACGGTATTCGATACGTCGTCTGCTGTCTCGGTTTGACGCACATGATTCCTAGATCTATTATTTTTTAAGTGAGTAGGTATGATGGATTGTTGTAGATGCAGCAATTGTGTGTTAGTAACCTCGCAATCGATCTGCATCATTGTTATATCATTAGCAGGCGTTGAAAATGTTTCTGCAAAAAAAAAAAAAAAGACAGTTTTACTTAACTGTTTCTTTACGATTGAGCATCAAACAATAAGGCAAACAGACCATTCATAGGAAGAGCAGGAAGGACCAACGACATTCTTGGTCTTCCTGTACTATTTTTGCTCGAAGCTGGCAAAAGTAAATGTTCTCCGCTAAACCAAACTACGTAAAAGGTATCGTCTCTTCTTCCTAGAGCTTCAAACAAAGAAGCGTGCTCTTTTATTATAGGAGAAAACACTTCCACCGCATTTGATATAGGTAGATCGGATTTTTTTTTAACTATTTCAGATTTTCTTCTATGAGGCAAATTCCGTTTATGTTTAATATCTGTTTGCATGGTACGAGGAGACGACAGAAATTCCCCCAATAGTTTTGCATCTAATTTTGCTTTTTTCGACATACTCCGATTATCTTTATCAGATTTTGCACCGATCCAGCGTCTTAACTCATAGTCTAAACGAATTGATTCGCTTTGATTAATATGCATCGGACACATGGGTTGTGGCATCGACGTGTTCTTACGAAAATTATTTTCATCTTTTTCTTGAATTGTATCTCTAGGTGTCCACAGTAAGGTTCTTCCGTGTCTAACATATTGCGTGTTAATAGGTACATCAGCTGGTAATGTGTTCAATCGATTACTTTGTGAGAGTAAATCTCTGTAACAAAGAAATTTTTCAATTTAGCGTATGTTATGTTATTATGTTTATTTTACTAAATTGATGTTTTTTTATTGTCATTGACAGAATTTTCATAATCTCGATTGTTGTACTATAATTTATTACAAACTTACCTAAAACCGTTAACGTTCAAAGATATCATAAAAACCATTCCTAAAAGAATAGCAACATTCTTTTTATTTACATTGTGATTCATGTTTTTAAATTTACCGCTAGCACTTATATCTTCTAATGTCGAGAGTTTTTGTTTTAAGTTTGTATTTTCCTAATAACAACAATCATATAGATTTATCAAATAACTAATACATCGTTATATGTGCATAACGAAATACGTACCATTTTTAATTTTTTATTTTCTTGTTGCAAAGCACAAATTTGTTTTTCCAACGAAGATACATATTCCTTCTTCTTTTTCCGTGACAAACAAGCTGATTCTCTATTTTTTATCATTCTTTGCTGTCTTTTTAATGCTTTTATTTCACATTCTTGCCGTCCAGCAAAATTAACATCTTGAATTTCACTTTTTATAATGATAGGAGTATAATTTGAATTTTCAGTTTTAATTACTATAGGTCTACACCCGGATGAATCATTTTTTACAACCACAGAAGTGCATCTTGCCATTTCGTTATTAAGGATCAAAGATGTATCGATAGTTGATTCTTTCACAGGTGCATACAATTTAGAAACATTATCAATTACTTTTATATGATTCTTCTGCTGTATTTGAACTGTTTCTGCTTCCGTTCCTATTTGCATCGATGGAAATTGTATAGAAGTTTGAATCTTTTCATCTCCTTCGGTTGGTAATAAATGAGCTATAAAAGGATATGACATACAATTTTGTTTAGCTTTTTGGGCCAAAGTGGCAAAATTTTTGGTGTTCAAAATTATAGTACCTTGTGGCTGTTCTACAAAATTTGAAAATGTATAAACGAAAAAAAATTAATGGCACAATTTAAATCAAACATAGAATCAACTGAAATAAATTATTTTACCTTACCATCGGCTGTAAATTGTATATTATTTTTTGGTTGAACTCGAACACGTTTAGCAGAATTTACTTTGGAGAGAACAAACTTTGCTTGCTTCGCGTCTTGTGACTTAAATGGTTTAAGAGTTATTTTTTTTTTGACCGTCGTTTCATTCCATATGTGTTCTGGAGACTTGCATGGGGAAACATTTTGCGGAGGTGAAATAGGCGGTGTTTCTAAAGTTGGCTATAATAAATAAATATATAAAACACCTATACTCCGTTCAACGAGTAGAGTCAACAATTGTAAGTAGATGCATGCGATTTCATTTAGCCAGGTCAGAAGTTCACGACATATGTAAATTTGTCCCTGATATTGGTAATTAGCTAAGATTTTATAAATAACGTCAGCTAACAGTCGAGACCCTTGTCTGTTTCTATATTAACGCTTGAATATTTCACTTGTAGCGTGCTGACTCCACTAGTTGGACGGAGTATAGGTATTTGATTTATTACAACGGATTTTTAAATAAATTGTAACCATACCTTAAGATCATACGACGAAGTAACAAAACTGTTTTCTATTTGTGCATCTAATTTGTTGGATTCTAACTGATTGGGTATAGGTGACAAAGGTAATTGTACGTAAGGGCTCATAGGTTCCAATTTAATTTCTATCTCCGCGTCGTTAATCGAATCTAAATTTGCAACGATAAATACCATGATTTCTTTTATACTTAAACTTTTGCGGTTAGTTATCATCTTATTTAAAAAAGATCTCGATACCTGAGTTTTGTAGTAGCGTGTTTGTATTGAAATCTTTGAAGCTAGTAACAGATTCACCTAAAGAAATGTCATTCATAATCTGATTATTGATACTATCATCCATCTTTGAAGATATTTCATTTTCCAAGAGAAGAGGTATGCCTAATTCTGAACTCAAACTTTGAAACAGATCGTCTGGTAGAAGTGAATAATTGTTATCTGTAAAAAATTTTATCTCATAATGTGTAATTAAATAGATATAATTAATGTTTATCTAATAATCGGTAGTTAGTGTTTACTAACAATACATTACATTAAAACGTTATTGTCCATACCCTCAAATTCTGGAAACATCTGAATTTCCGATGATGCGGTATCGATACACTGTGAATCTTGATTTATTAACATATTCTCCTATTAATAAAATATCTCCTTATTTTCAAAACGTGTTAAATATTTTAATAACCTAAAGAGTAGCTAGTGGTAAAAGAAAAATATTAATATCTTTCTATTTAAAAATAAAATTCTATTGTATTATTAATATTTAACTACACGAATAATTTGTGACTAATACTTAACAAGAACAATCTCAATTCATAAAAACGCATGTCAACTTTAATAATATTATACTGTCACATTACATTTGCTACGATGATAACAATGATGGCGCATACGCTATGACGTTATGACGCTATCTTGAAAACGCTTGGAAATAGTAAATACAACTGTTACTATTGTGATCTGTAAGCTCAATCGTTCAGGACGTACGAGCTGTTCAGCAGATTAGTATGTACGATTTTTAAAACATTTCCAATAATCCAACAAAAATGTGTTTTTAAATAAAGAGCCGTCAGTTTTTGATTAATTATGTAAATAACATTATTTAAAATTTAGAAAAATATTTCTTACGATAACAAGTCAAGGTCACCTTAACTGTTTTATGCAATTTGATGTATATATTTAATGTTCATAATATTGTATAGAATTAATGTCAAGACAGGTTCAATAACCTGTAATACTGTAACTTTCGAGTGACCTTGAGTTTGAAAATGTTAATTGTATTTATGGGAACATTAAAATGTGAAATTTGATTTATTAAAACGTTAGGTCACGAAACTAGTAATAATTTGAGTGCCGTTAACGAAGCTGCAATGGTATAAATTACAAAGAAACATTTCATGCAACAAAAAATTACAAATCAGTAAACTCTAATACATCGAGTAAAAACTTTTTAAAATGTTTATTGAACTCGAATGTCTTTGAGTTCATCTCGCACGGTATTATTTTTTACTTTTATGCTACTTGTACCGTGCTAAACCGTTTCTTATTGTGCAATCATGTGTAACGCTTTTCCATTGCAGTCTACTAGCGAAAAAATCGCAAGATAACGACATAGTATTCATTCAGGTCGGGATTATATGTAAACAGTTATAGAATTTTTATAAAAATATAACAATATTTTATGTCACATTCACGTTCATCGGTAATATAAACAATGTAAATTTTAGTTATTTGTAAGAAAACATTTAGACAAGTACATATCCGAAACTATTTCATTCTTTTCTGCTTTAATAAATGATTTCTCAGAGCAATTTGTTTCTCCTTAAAAGAACGTTTCACTTTTCCTTTAACTTTATGTTTTAACATCTGAAAAGCTTTAGTTTTTTTCTTTTCACGATTCGTTTTACTGCAAAGTAGATTTTGTCGTCCATCTTTATAACCAAATTTTTCCCTTCCTTCTTGTCCTTTCTGTAAAGATAAAATAAAGATCGAATGTACACTCGCCAATTCTAAATATTTTACAATATATAATAACAATAATAACAGTAATAATAAAACGTGTAAAGCGTTCAATAGAATTTAACATTTTACATTTCCTAGTAAAATTAAAACAAACCTTCACTGACTCGATGCGTGCCTGTTTGTCATGTTTTCGTTTTTTATAGATATTTTCTATATCAGTTAACTTAACAAAATCGCTACGTTCATTATCGTTAGGACGTGATCTCTTCAAGCCTCGTTTAGCGTACGTAATTTGTTGTTTCGCTAATGCGTTATCGATTTTTATAAAATCTTCATCAGTTAATAAACGTTGAATCGATATCGCGGATGCCTTTTCTTTTTTCTCTGTCATAATTATTTCTTTGTTTTTCGACGGTGCATCATTTTGTTTCTTTAATCTTTTTCTCTCATTTTTTGTTAACTTACTAGGTTGCTTCTTTTTATTTGGGTTTATAATATCCTGAATATCTGCTACACCCATATTATTTATTTCTGATGTATTACTTTCGTTTACAACGTCATCTACATTTCCAATGGTTTCTATCAGTCCATCTTTATTATCGCTTTGCACATTAAGCTCTATAAAAGAATTCTTGTCTTCCTCTTTCTTCCCCATTTTCCTATCTTCGTCTTCCTCTTCTTCTTCTTCCTCCTCCTCCTCTTCTTCATTATCATCATTATCATCGTTATTATCGTTATCTTCATCACTGGTATGGTTCACATCAACCCATTCGTCATCACTATCCTGAAAGTAAAATTTCGCGAATATGATCTTTTCGTATAAAAATAATTATAGATAAGAAACCAATTATATACTTTTTTTTTTGAGGCAGACCGTGAAAATCTAAACAATTCTATACATAAGGGTACTATCTGTTCACAATATCTTTACTTACGTCGCTTTCAATGTTAATCTTAGAAATATCTTGAGACTCGTGAAATTTATTATCAAGTAAAACATCTGCTCCTGGTACGAAATCAACGGCAGATATTTGGCCATATTTTTGTAGTTCTAAAGTAACAGTTGCTTCCGTAGGTCGTCCTCTATCCTTTCTATGCAACAGTTCTGGTGCCGTATTTCGGAATAAAGCAATTAAAGACCGCGCAGCCATCATTACACTGCGTTCTTTATAATGCTTATATCGTACTAAATCTTGCAATAAATCTGCATTCATAACTAAAGGACATCGAGTGCATATTTCTCGAATAGCGTTTAGGCTGTAATTAAAAATTTGTACGAATTAAAATGATATTATATTAGTAAATGCTACATATTTAGATATACCCGATAGCCATAACGTCGGCGGAATTTCGCTCTGTAACAAAATTGTTTGCCAAAGTTTTTAAAACAGGTTCTAATACGTCAGGCGGCACAAGCTCGTGAGAAGATTGAGCGATGAATTGCAGCAGTTTTGTTACTTCTAAAATTATTAAAGTAAATATATAATCATATGATTATATTTTATTGAATCGCATTGACCATCCATTGGCAACAGTAGTATAATTTACCTCTTTGATGCGGTTGTAGAAATCTTTGAAGGTAAGGATAAAAGTTCAATAAAAACAAATTGTGCAACCCAATGAGTCTAGAAATTACATCCAAAGTAAGTAGCTTAATTTCGAATCTATCATTATTTTTTTCTAATTGTTTGAACAGTTTTTCCGCAAAATCCTGGGGATCATGAATTAAATGTAACGCCGAGAAATTGAAACTCGGCGCTTTTCTCGCTTTCTTTTTAGATTTCTAAAATATATAACAATTTAATTTTAAGTGTTAAAAATGAAATATATTGTTAACGGTTGTTTGTTAATTATCACATTAACTTACCGCTAATAGCTGTTTTGCTTTAGCTAACTGTTTCTCCCGTTTTTTTGTTTTTTTATTTACTCTATTAGCCATTGCAATTTCTTTAATATTTGGTTCGCTGTCGCTATCGCTATCGTCACTTTTCTGATCTTCTACATCGGTTCCCACAAAAAACTTCAAGCAAGTAACCATAACTTTAGTTGTTTTAGCAAAACATCCTGTTGCCAAGACATTCACAGTTTTTGCATCGTTCCAAATATTTTTATTGTACAATTCTATCATGATATCCGCAGACATTTTCGCAGCTCTAACATTCGAGTCTTTTAACATTGAAAACATAAAATTTTGTAAAACTGTATTAACTTTTGCATTCTTTTGTTTGGCATTAATATTTTTGATATCGGTAATAATGTGTGTTTCTAAGAATTCTCTCAGATTTTTATCCTGACATCTTAACAATTGAAAGAATAAATTGAGAAGTATAGTAGGTTCCAAAAGAGATTTGTTACGTAATTGAATTAAAGCTTTACAAAATGTCTATAAAAAAAGTATCAATTAATATAAGATGGTAAAACGAAATTATATTCTGTGTAATTTTACACTTACTAATCGCATTTCATTATCAAGTACTGTATTATATGTCTGCAGTAAATCGATTATTTCTTGAGGGAACGATCGTAGAATATCTGGGTAACAATGCGCCACCTGTATAAAGATAATAATGTTATACGTTAAAAAATCTTTATTTTTAATTAAAAATCAATAAATAAATACAAAAGAAAAATATTTTCACGCTTATTGATAATTATTACAATAATAATAATATATAGTTTGTGGAAAGTATATTTTAAGACATAGAATTATACAAATAATTCTGTATATTAAATCCAACAGTCTTGGCTATAACAAGAATAAAGTCGTACGATACGCAACATTTTAATTTAGTTTCGTCTAAGCTGTTATTTCCTATAATGGATAGTAGGCCAAGTCGACACATAGATGGAATTTGTGCGAGTAAATTAGCATTTATATCAACTTTTTCATCAAGAATCGCACAAAAAATAGCAAGCATTCTAGATACTGGAAAATTATTAGGACCATGGGGAACTTTTAACGTTATCTTTTTTTTGTTAATACCTTTCCTTTTTCTCTTCAACTTTTGTTTCATAAACAGATATTTATCTTCTTTCGCAGGATTATACGAAGCAAGATACGATGCGATTAACATGTATTTCGCATAATATGGTAATTCAAAACTTAGCGCTAGTCTCGTCGTTGATTCGATCTCTTTCGATAATTGATTATGTCTTGCAAAATCTTCAAATGAAACTCGAAGATAAATCACTTCTAAATTTGCTTTAAAAACAGCGGCTATGTTTTTCCATAACACGGCAATATCATTTTTGTTCGATTTATTTATTTCGATCGGTTCTATGTATTTAGAAAAATTTATCCTAGCCATGTAACGGAGTTCGTTAAGATCTCTACAAAACCGGAAAAATACAGAGAGAAATAAATTTAAGAAATTTTTGTAAAATGCATCTTCGTAACCACATGGTTTATTTAAAAGTAAAATTTCGCCAAATTCGCTTCGCGTATACTGTGAGAAATGAATTTTAATCGGTTCGTGCATACCGATTTTTACTCGAAACTTTTCCCATATTATATTGCTTATGAATATAACGCAAACATTAACGTTTGAAATTTCCTTTAATTTTGAAAACGCAGGTAACAAACCTGCATCGATATTTCTTAATTTGTCACATTTATCAAGAACTATTACAATTGGTCGAGTATCGTTTAGAGAAATTTCTTTAAGATGCATTACAAAATCTGCGATGTTATCGCATTTATATTGTAATTTGTCGATAGTTTTCGAATTAGTAAAACTAGACAAATCATTTAGGACATAATCGAACATATGTTTACTATTAACGTGTTCGATGCAATTAATAATGGCTATATTATACTTTAAATAGGAAAGCATATTTTTTACTACTAATGATTTTCCAGTAGCTATATGACCATAAATAAATATACTATGTGGCATTGGTTCATTCGAATAACCAATTAAAGAATAAAGCTGTTCTATTAATTTTTCTCGACAAATAATCTTTTTGTTTAAATATTGTAGACAGTCTTCCATTATTTTGTTTGAAAATTTCTGAATAATAATTATTCTACAATACACGGTATAAAAGATTGACTATTCGTACAAACTTGTTCATATATCTTGTAAATTATACCTGCAAGAAGAAAGGATTTTTCTAACATTTAAGAATTTTATAACGTAGAAATTATATTACGAGTATATTATATTTAAAATCATGAAATTGTATTAATGTTTATAAAATATTACCTGTGCTAAAAAGATGACTATTTCATCGAGGCTTTTATTAAATTTGTTTGGCGCTAGGCGAAACACATCTAAAATTGATTTATAATGCTGATGCTGTTGAAGAAACTGCAAAGATATAAAATTATAGTAAATGTATAAAGATAAATATATTATCGTAAAAAACTTACTTCTTCTTTGTAAGATTCAGAATCACGTTTGATAAGGTTTTGCAATTGTGGAAGATTTTCTGGTAATTGGTTATTATGTCTCACCATTTTCTGAGCTAAATTAATACATTAGTTATTAATTTATTTGGGAAATAATGTATTACTTCTATCAGCTTATAAACCTTATAAATCAGACTATAACCTGTACAGTAGATTCAAATATTAAACAATGTTTTCTTAAATTAAACCGTTAAGTACTTCATGGTAAAAGAATCCATTTTATTTAATAATCTCTGAAAAGATTCAAAACTTACACTATACTTTACGTATAAACACACGTGCATAATATTATTCACACAACACCGATCGAAATTGATTGTCGTCTCCCTAAGAATGAGTAATACATATGAAATGCATATCTATAATATTCAGATGTTCGAACAAAAGTGTCACACCTGATGGCAGATCTTGGAATTACAATTTTGGAAAGTTAGAGGAAAAGGTGATAGATTGGTGCATGTGGAACGTTTATCGTTTTGCACGCAAAAGAAATTTGAAGTTTATTTTATCTTGTAACAATAAAGTCAGTAGCTACCGATTCGTTTCAAGTTTGACAAATTTCCGATCCTTCGCGAGATTTATTCTTTAATCTTTAACTTCGCTCGTTTCATCAGATAATCTTAGAGTACGTTTCCATCGAGGGTTCAAATCGGGTGAGAGTCGGGTTAGAGTCGGGTTAGAGTCGGGTTTGAGTCGCGGGTTGGAGTTGCGGCAGGGTTGAACATTACCAACTGCACAAAGTCAACTACCATATTCTGACATGTAAAGCTGAGCAATATTAATTTTAGAATATCAAAATAACATACAAAAATTATTTGTCAGATTACAAGATCACCGACAAAAAGTAATAGTAACCTCTTCTACACCGATTAATACAGCACGTGATACACAATGCAATTTGGATTTGTTATGTTGGCAACACGAACTCGACTCTTGTCGTTTCCACCGAACCTCAACTGAACGCTACCCTAAAATTTTGTAGGGTAGAGTTCAACTAAACCTTTGGCGTTTCCACCGTACAAGCGCTGACCCCAACCCGACTCTAACCCGACTCTGACCCGATTTGGACCCTCGATGGAAACGTAGTCTTAGATTCTCCTTCTAAGTTTTTCTCAAGTTTGATCACGAATCATGCAACATCCCGTTCATCGATGATTTCTTTCGATTACCGATCTACCGCTAAACCAAGTAGAAATGTGGAATTTTTGTTCAAATAAATTCGCGTGTGCAAAAGGAAAGCGCGGGTCATGTAGGGAAATAACGCGTTGGCAAGTCAAGGCAATTTTTGAGAAAAGTTAGTATCCTCTTGAAGAAATCTAATGGAATTGCAAGATGAATCTCTGCTGTATAATGTTTAAGAGTAAAAATTAATAAAAGAGCGCGGTAATTATTTATAAATTTGAAATGGAATCCAGTGGTAAAGTGTCCGAAGATGAAGAAGAGGTTCTTGTATATGTAGAATTCGAAGGACTCGTTGACAGTAATGTATTTAACGAGAAACAATTACAATTAGATATGGTTGGTATAGATACGGAACATCCAATAATGCAAATTAATGGGAAAGTAAGTTCAAATTATTTGTACATAAATAAATAAAATAATATTATTTTTATGTAGTATTTATTGCATTGATAATATTAGTTTTATGAAGGTGTTTACGAAGATGTTGGTGGTACATACATGTTCTTTACAAAAAATAATGATTCTACATTGGATGATCCTGTTTTTGATACTGCTTCGAATTTAAAATATTTTGCTAAAACTAGAAAATGTTTGAAGATGAGACGAATCTTCATAAAACCTAGAGCTGAAGTTCTTGGTGATTCGGAACATGAACAATGTATTCCAAATTTAAATACGCTTAAACAAGCAGGAGTACCAATTCAATATCAAAAAGAAGGTATTGATTTTTACTGGATACAATTCTATTTTCAGTCTTTTTAGCAATTTGTATTCCTCGCATAGTATATGCCTCGATGAAAATTGTACAATTGAAATTTTATTTTGTAGCTCTTTCTTTTTGGGAAACAATGCGGAACAACAGATTAAATGCGTTACATTCCTATTTAGAAAAACAGCGAGTTAGACAAGAAAAAAAGTCTCAAGGGATAATTCTGGAATCTGAATCAGATGAAGATAATCCTTTTGCTATGTATAGTCATAAAGAAGAGATCAAAAGTATGATAAAATCTGAAGATATCTGTGTTAATTCAGAAAAAGAATCAAATTATAGCGATAATTCACCTTGTACCATTGATGAAACTTCTAATAATGTTAAGGATAATTTTCAGAATGATTTTAAGCCTGAACCTTCAACAAAATCAGAATCTTTAGTTTCGATAGATGTTGATTGTCATTCACCTAAACCCATAAAAGCATACAAAGCTAAGGTAATTTGTAAAAAGAATCTAAATATAGCTGGTAACAGACAAAGAGTAAAGCTTAATTCAAAAAGATCTTTATTAAAAGATAAAATTTCATCTTTTAATGTAGAAGAAAATAAATTGTCAGGTAATAAAGAAACTAAAATTGAAAATGAATCAAGAAAACGAGATAAATCCAACATTACTGAAAGTTTAAGCGCATTAGAAATTACTACAAATAAAAATGAAAAGTAAATTACCAATATGACAATTGTAACATTCGTGTTAAAATGTGGTTTAAATAATTTGCAGTAAAACTGTAGAACAACTAGAAAAGAAATGGATGGATGCGTTTTCAGAACAGTATGAAAGTAGTGTTGAAAAGACTAAAATGATATAAGATAATTACTTTTTATTAGATAAAAATGAATTAATGTTAGCATATGATGAATTTTACTTTCTTTCTTATTTAGAAAAATATCTTCTTCGTTTCACGATTATTGTATTAATACATATTTCAATATGAACTGTGCACTTTATTTTAAGCAAATGTATAAAACATTACACATGTTTGATACTACGATCATAAAAATATAATTGTTAAACATAATCGATAATCAATTGCATCGAATTATATTCATGATTATTAATTTTTATACTTTGCTTAATTAAATTTGTTAAAGTACATTAGAAATTAACATAAAATAATTTTACACTAGATTTGTTGTTGGATTACATACAACAAAATGAGATTTTTTTCGAAATGAAATAATTTTGAACAGTACATTTTTCATAAAACATTAACAAAATTCGATAAATATCAAAATATCTTAAAAAAATTCTTCTTACAAGCATATATTGTTTAAATTAGTTTTAAAATACTGAAACTGAACTATTTGTCAAATTATAGAAAATTATAACTCATTATCAATAATTGATATACATAAACAGATCTTAAATTGCACCAAAGCAGATTTTATTTAGGAATTTTGATGCGAGCTTAGAAACGTCGATATACGCATTTTATTTGTTGTGTTTAAAATTGCTTATTACGTTCACCAATCCAAATCACCAGGAAGTTCATCTGGATAATCTCCGGTCAAGCAAGCGGTACAATGTCCAATATAATTACTTTCACGGTTATCCATACCAAATCTTACAGCCTTCACAAGACCGTCTACAGAAAGGTACGTTAAACTATCAGCTCCGACATGTTTTGCTAGTTTCACGTTATCCAATTTATTAGCAATTAATTCTTCTCTTGTTGGTATATTAATACCCATATAACAAGGATATTTTAACGGAGGTGAAGCTATTCTAATGTGAACCTGTAAATATTATATTTACACATCGAATATTATTTTATACATAATAATAATAATAACTCACTTCCTTTGCGCCTGCATCACGAAGTAATTTAATAATAGGTCCAATGGTATTTCCTCTGACAATTGAATCGTCTATCAGAATAAGTTTTTTCCCTTTTACATTTTCCGATAAAGCTCCAAACTTTTTTGCTACACCAAGTTGCCTGAGTCGCGTACTAGGTTGGATAAATGTTCTACCAACGTATCTGTTTTTACATAATACTTCCGCAAAAGGTATTTGGGACTGTGAAATAAAATGTTCGTTTAAAATTTTCATTTCTTCGCTTTTATCTCCTGCTTTACTTTTCGTTTTTATATACGTTCAAATAATAAAATATTTAATTAATTGAATAACAGATTTGTTATATGTTTAATTATGCAAAGAAGGACCTGGTACTTTTACCTGTCTGGCATAACCATGCGCTGCTGCAGTTCCAGATTCAGGTACTGAACTAACTATATCTGCTTCTACCGGCGATTCCAAAGCAAGTTCTCGGCCACATTGCATACGGACAGAATATACCATTTGTCCTGCGATATGAAACTAGTTTTTACAATAGTACAATATAAATTATATCGATACGTATCGAATTATATCAATTCGTTTTAAAATAATATAAATTTAGGTATATTATTATAGTTTACCTTCAAAAATGCTATCACTGCGTGCAAAATAAACATATTCGAAGATACAAAACGCCTGAGGCTTTTTATCTGGTCTCTCAACAATATCTATAGTTTTAATACCCTCGCGTGTCAATTCTACAATTTCTCCAGGAAATACTTCGCGTACGTATCGTGCCCCGATACTTAAAAATCCACACGATTCGGACGAAATCACCCAACCTTCAGGTTCATCGTCATCATCTGATTCACTTCCTGCTACATAAAAATATTTTATTCGATAGAATTATTATAATACACGATGTAATATTATATCAACTGGTTATTAACTTTGTGATTAAAAATTAAACTTCGTTACGAACCTAAGTTACCAATTGGTACGATTTTTCCAAGACATAATGGACGATTTCCGTAAGGATCTCGCACGCCATATATCGTATCTCTTTGCATAATTACTAACGAATATGATAATGGTGCTAATTGCATAAGATGCTTTATACGAGCTGGCCAATCTGGTCCATTGACTTCACCTTCTGGAGGATTCAAGCAAAGGGCTTGCGTTATTAATTCAGAATCTGAATGAGTTGACAATCCAACACCGCGTCCTAACACCTATTATAGTAAATAGAATATAATCAGTAACAGACCACGTATTTATGAAAATATTTATCTTTAATGCAGAAGATTACCATTTTCCTTAATGATTCTGTATTTACTAGTTCTCCATTGTGAGCAACTGCTAATGCTCCATGTGCAGTATGAACTACAAATGGTTGACAATTAACTTCCTCGCTTGCTGCACTTGTACTATATCTAGTATGGCCAATTCCAAGATTTCCACTCAATTTCTTCATATTTTCATCGTTAAAAATATTATTAATCATTCCCATACCCTTGTGGACATGAAAAGATTTTGAACAAACACCTTCACTCGTAACAATGCCTGCACTTTCTTGACCTCTGTGTTGTAATGCCACTAAACCTAAACAGGATATATAATAGATAGCGAGTAAGTAAAATTAAATGCTAATACATTTACATCTAAATTTACCTAAGCAAATTACTTGAGCCACATCGATTTGAGATGGCCAGTCACCCGCTGCGATGCATCCAAAAACTCCACATTCATGAGTAAGCCCAGTCATTGATTGCTTATTAACTTCTTCTTTACTACGCAGCCTTTCATCTATTTTGCATTCGATGGCTGCTACTGGAGTACATGTGTCTGCTTGCGTATCGCAAAACATTTCAATTATACTCTGAAAAATTTGTATTCGAGTCAATACTGGATAATAATTTAAATATAAACAATTGATTCCATTGCACCAAATTAAAATTAGTTGTAAAATTATATGATAAAAATATAAAAATATTTGGCTTCTAAAGTGTATTAAAATTATCGAAAGCTTTATGATATTGTGTTATCGTTAAAAAGAAACATTGTAATTCTTATATTGCAAAATATGTAACAGACCCCCTCGAGATTCCTTAAGAATTATCAGCAGTGCCCCTATAAACTATTGACCCTTAATGAACAGATAGAACCAGGCTTTTAATATTACTGTTATACTTTTTTCAATATATATACTTGCTTAATCGGTATTTCGCAACTGATTTCATCATTGTACCATATTGATATTACTGTGTGCAGAAAACATTTATAGTTGTAAGTTAATTCCAATGTTCGATGCAATATTAAAATACAATATAATGTTACATAATTGTATATTGTAGAATAAGCGGAAAATAATAAAAACAAGTTTTTTCCTATTATTTTTATTGTTACAATTTTTTCAAATTGAAAATACATTTGAAAATTTTCAATTTTTTCCAATAAGTTTCTTTTTTTACATATTTCAAGTTCGTTCTTTCTTCGTATATATATATAATTCAATATTCGAAGCGAACTTATTTTAATTGTACATTATTATTATCAAAAGGTTAAATCGATTAAAGAACATATAATCATGTTACAAAAGCAACTATTTTGTTCTAGACTGTACCCACTTGTGGAATGTTATTATTGGCGGTTTCATAGATATTTCATAAATATTTTCGTATACAAATTACGTTACATGTTTTTTTTTCTTGTAGGTAAATTAATATCATTAAGTTCCAAATTTATTCCATTTCATTTGATAATTATTTAAAAACATTTATATTTAATTACATTAATTGCTCGCAGTTGCGATTTGTCAGTTAATACAAACAAATTTAAGTATACGAGTTTTGAACTTTATATATACACATATATATATATATATATTCTCATCATATGCAAGTACGTACCACGTGCGTTAAAGTTTGAACGTTCGTGATGTTCTATCTGCTCGAAACGGATCCACATGAAATATAAATCTCGACTGACTTCGGAAACACGAATGAACGTATAACCAATGAAATGATGTTGATAACTGGTGGGGTTAACTCATTTAACTTATTTATCTTTCAAATTCTTTCACTGTCTTTTTACGCTCGTCGAAATAGCAATTATAGTTAATATAAGTTATATGAAAAATTGATTATGAACCATTCAATTACGCATTCACATATATGTAAATAAAAATTAGCGATCATTGCTTTTAATTATGACCATTAATATCAATAAATCATAATTATAGTGAATACTATTTTTTTTAAGCACACCATATAAGAATCTAGCAACAGAGCTACATAATATAGCAATGTAATATTGCTTTTTTCCTTTGATAAATTATTTATTTACGGGAAATTAAAGTGTTTGATGATCGTTTCATTTATAATTGTTTGTAAATGAATTATTCTTTTACCAAATATGTATTATATAAATACATTTTAAAAGATAGTCAGACAAAATTTGTCAAAGTTTTTAAATTGAATTTTCATTGATTTCTTAAAAACTCTATATATATATTATTATTATGATCTTGTTCGAAATCTTTTTCTTTCGTATAACACATGTTGACAGTTGACAATCTCATTACTTAATCGAAGCAAAGATAATTTATAAACTTACGCCAATCACATGTAACAGAACGCATGTTTAAAGTGGGGATGGAAAGGATCTCTAAAAACTCGATCCGTATAATTAAGAAGCTGATATTCTAGAAGTTAACAGAAGAGAGAAAACATGACTGGTAAGTACTCAATTAATTGTATAATTATGTGATACATAAGACTGTCTTTGACATATTTACATATACATATGTAGTGTGTGTATACCGAAAAGAATTATTTGGAAAATTATATGATAGTAATGACTTTATTAGTTTTTGAAATTGTATTTCACAACACTCTTTTTTCAATTTATATTTAAATAAATCGGTTTTATGCATTTTTTCTTATTACACAGGAAGGTAAAATATTTTTTCTTCAAATACTTCTTATCACGTGATTTTATATCCACAATATATTTTATAGATATGTTCGATAAAACTATTTTACAAAATCTTAATTGTATAGTGTATCCTATACACTACGTACGTGTATGTACGTGTGTACGTACATACACGTGTGTGTGTATGTACACTATGTGTAATATACAAACATGTACTTTTAATTGATCAAAAAATAGAATAAATTATATTAAGTTTTAATGACATTACATTTTTTCGAGCAGTGCAGCACATCGTAAATAATGAATAAAATATTCAGAATGAAACTATTATATCACTCTTCTTCTTTTTATTCGAATAAAAATATTTTATAAATATATATTATAAAAATTATGATAACATGATAGAAGATCAAAATTTATAATTGTTATTATGATTATAATTATAATTTAGATCATTTTTACGTAATTGAATGTAAACATTTGTTATTATGAAATCACATTTCGACGTTATATATCGGAGAACAACATCGCGTAAATAAGCGTTACGCGTGTAATGTTTTTCTTATTGTTCCTTTTTTTTTTATTTTTATATTTGCTTTTTTAACGATATTTGATATCGATTATTAAATTTTAAGTTTAACTATACGTTGTATCGCTATTATTAGATTTTATGTAAATTTGAAGACTAAATAAATTGGAATAATAAATTGAAATAGTAATTTGCTTTGCATGCTTGTTTAACATAAATAATTTTTTCCAAAAATAGAATTCACACGTGGAAAGTTAATTATAGAAGGAAAGACTAAGCAAGTCTATGAACTTATAAACGATCCTACGCTATGTCTTTTACAAAGTAAAGATCGTATTACTGCCGGAGATGGTGAAAAATCACACGATTTAAAGGGCAAAGCTGCAATTAGTACAGCTACGACAGCCAAGGTTTTCGAATTATTGAATGCAGCTGGAATAAAAACCGCTTTTGTGAAAGTAGTGAATGAAACTGCTTTCATCGCAGAAAAATGCCAAATGCTTCCAATAGAATGGGTTACCAGAAGATTGGCAACTGGTAGTTTTTTGAAAAGGCACAAAGGTATGAAAAATTGGATGATAATGTTAAAAATTTGGAAAGACGTAACTGAATTTATCTTGTCCTTTTTTTTCTTCCATTTTAATAGGAGTTCCTGAAGGATATAGATTTAATCCACCGTTACAGGAAACATTCTTCAAAGATGATAGTAATCATGATCCTCAGTGGTCAGAAGAACAAATTATTTCTGCTGGTTTTAAGTTAAATGAGCTTGTAATCGGAAAAGATGAATATGACATTATGCAACGTACAGCACTCGCTGTATTTGAAGTTCTAGAGAGGGCATGGGCAACTAGACATTGTGCTCTTATAGATATGAAAATAGAATTTGGTATAAATGTAGATGGTGAAATTATGGTAGCAGATATAATTGACAGTGATTCTTGGAGACTTTGGCCATCCGGTGATAAAAGATTGATGAAAGACAAACAAGTATAACGTGCAATTATTAAAAATAGATATCCTATCTATTTTACTTTAATACATTTTATTCTTTCAGGTATATAGGAATTTAACTACCGTAACCGAAGAAGATTTGAATACTGTGAAGCACAATTTTGAATGGGTAGCAAAACAACTTGACTATCTTACACCATCGCCTAGTAGCCTTGTCGTTATCTTAATGGGATCATCTTCTGACAAAGAACATTGTGCCCAAATAGCAAAATACGCGAAGCTTTTGCATTTACAGGTTGAGCTTCGTGTATGCAGTGCTCACAAAAGTACCCAAGAAGTATTACGCATTCTTGCGGAATATGAAGGTAGTTTCAAAAAGGTAAATTTGTTATTCATGTAACATACATTTTTTTCGTCATTTAAATATTAAAGGATATTTTAGCTTTTTATGTACATTTCTAAGAAAATTATTACTTTACGCATTATATATACTTCAAAATATTTAAAGGATTCTTTTGTACGAAAATACATATATATATATATATATGTATGTATTGGTGATCGTATTCGAACTCGTTGCATGTGCTGTGGAAGTAGCTGAATCGTCAAAACAACGATAAGGCCAACGATATTGACGAACGTATATTATTTATTTCCACATTATCAGAAACCGTTCTTATTTTTCCTAGGTGGTGTTAATAGCTGTTGCAGGGAGAAGTAACGGATTGGGTCCAGTATTGTCTGGAAACACGTCTTTGCCTGTTATTAATTGTCCGCCTCTCAAGTCAGAAAATATTTCACGAGATTTATGGTCGTCAGTTAATGTTCCTTCAGGTAAATTGTGAATTACGCGTAATCATAATTTTGATTTATGCAATAACGATATAAGGAAATATATTCCATTTTCAGGAATTGGATGTACCACAGTCATTTATCCTGAAAGCGCAGCACTTGCAGCAGCTCAAATTCACGCGTTGCACGATCATCTCGTTTGGGCACGTTTGCGAGTACAGCAATTAACGAATTTCATCGCTTTAAAAAAATCCGATGCCGAATTAAGGAATCTTGTTATATAAAAATGTCGAGTATATATTTAATATTCATATGATTTTATAAGTTAGATCTACGATGTAAACAGAAACTATTTTGTATACGATAACGGTTGCTGATGCAAGTTAAGAAACAACATATGACGAATTTATAATAGTAAACAACGATATTATTTGCAATTTTCATATTTCTCGTTTTTCACTAATATCGTTTGTATTGAATATAGACGTGTGAATTGATCACATTTGCATCGTGATTTTTACTCGAGTAAAAAACGAACTAATGAATTTAACATTGTAGATAAATGTTCATGTTAGCCCTTTTCGTGTATACTGTCTTACTGTTTCTTTTAGTTATTCTTTATTGGTTACAAGTGTATAACATCCATTTATTTCCGTTTAAACAAATTTTCGAGTAAAAAATTTTGTACACGATAAGTTTTAATGTACCATTTTTCCGATCTGAAATAAAGGAAAGTAATCAATGTGTACTAATTCTAATAATATAAAATTAAATTCTTACAATATAATTGTTAATCCAAATTTTGACTTGCTAACGCTTCTATTTCATTAATCTGTTTGGGACATGTTTCCGTTAAGTTTACTGGACCATTCTCTGTTATTAAAATATCGTCTTCGATCCGTACACCTAAATCATAAAACTCTGCCGGTGCAAACGGATTTTTCTGACTAACGTATATACCTGCGAATGATACAAGGCAAAAATTTGTAATTTTATAATAAAAGAAAATGAACAGTTGAACTTTATTGGATAGATCGTACCAGGTTCTACCGTAATTATCATTCCTGATTGAAGCTTCAAGTTTCTAGAAATTTTTCCTGTATCGTGTATATCCATTCCCAAGTAATGGCTAACGTGATGAGGGCAATAAGCGTGAATCGCAGAAAATAACTCGGTTCTACTTAAATGTTTTGGAATTAACGTAATTTCTTGTAATCGTTTGCCTAGTAAAGAACACATATCGTGATATAATTGATCTAAGGAAGGGAACTCTTTCAGTTTATGAATTAAAATGTTTTGAACATCCAATACTACTTCGTATAAAACTTTTTGTTCTTGTGTAAAAGTGCCGTTAATTGGCCACGTTCTAGTTACATCCGAGGAATACCCGTGATACTCGCAACCTATAGTATTAAAAAAATAAAATTATACCAGAAGTAAATGAGAATGTAAGAGTTTGTAGCGATAAATGTGCCGGACAAACCTGCATCCATCAAAACCATATTTCCATCATGAATGATTTGATTGTTACTAATGTAATGGATGATATTGGAATTTTTGCCTGCCGCGACAACTGGCGGATATGCTAAAAATTCGGCGTCGTTCATACGACATTCATAATCTACGGTTGCAAATAAATGATGTTCGCTCATTTTTGGTTTTGAAACTTCTATCGTTTTGGATATCGCTGTTGAAATAATTTTACAGCTCCGCTTCATTAAATCTATTTCTGATTTTGATTTAATTAGTCTGATTTTATGTATTATGTTCATCGGAGAGACAAACGACTGATTGTTAGTTAATTTCATTAATTCGCATAATTTTTTGTGTAACCTTGATTGTACTATGTCAATGTTATCGTACCAAATGGTATTTTTTTTATTCTCTTTTACAATCGAAAGAAGAAATCGATCCAATTCGGTTACAGGAAGAGCAGAATCAACGCCGAACATCTTAGGCGCTCTTTCAACTCCAATTCTAGGACCATCCCATAATTTTGAATGTTCGTCTTCTGGCGTGATAAATAACGTGCTTCTAATATGGTCATTCTTCATCGTAATTATTAAGATACTGTCGGGTTCTTGACAACCAGTGAAATACAAAAAGTCTGTATTTTGGCGGAAAACATACGGTATTTTACCAGACATGTACACTTTCGACGAAGCTGGAATAATGATAATATGCGGATCATCAAGATTCATGATACAAGCATTAGAAAGAATGTTCTCGATTAATTTTTCTCGTCTCTTTTTGAATTCATAAAGTTGAATGCCTGGTACGACTTCTCCGTCTTTCATTAAATGAGGATGCGTTACTGCAGTGGGTTGACCGCATGACTGACAGAGAATTGCCGACGATTCTTCGGTTTGTCGCCGATTTAAATTATTTGTAAACGTATCTAACGATTGTTTTATGTACATTCGCTGCCCTGTAATTACAATTGTTAGCAAACTAGCGTATAAATTTTAGTTTTGAATCAGTAACCTTGTGTAGATTTTAAAAATATAACCTCTTATATATCGACAATTTTACTTTTACTTTTCATTTCTTACCGAGTTTTTTAATTTGAAGCGTAACAGAATTTCTCACGGTCGTGAACATTTTAAGTTAAAAGCTTCGCTTGATAAATTACCGTAAATAAAACATTGACACTTTTAGGTATCACAGCCTATCATTTAAAGGGTACATACTCGTGCATAGTCGATTTTATGCAGTACTTTCATAAACTGTGTATACTTATATATCTATGGCGTACACCATACAGTGTATAGTGGTTGCGTTCTGACAGTACAACATAAGATGAAGACGAAGAGAAGGATTTATAAGTTTATTGGAATAAATCAGTGATGGATTTTGAATAAATTTTTTCTGATTACCGCGAATCTATGACCATCGTTTAAGTTGTGTTTTTTCTTCTTTTCTTTTTTCGCGATCAATACGTTATCTGTATTTATCGTCGCGTAACTTTTCGAGAAAAATTTAATTTGGTTTTTGTAATCGTAATGGAACGTATCGATAACAAGTAAAAATCATGAAACAGTGAACAATGAGAAATTTAAATATTAATAAATTATAATGTTTTTCAACTTGCACGATCTATCATGGAAATATTAGTAAATAATGATTATCTTTTATGGGCATTGATCGTTCAGGATAAAACGAATAAGTTGCAAATTTTCAAATGTACCAGATCAAGAACGTCAGAAATTTGTTTAACCTATTAAAAGTAATTTAGTGAAAAGGTAAAAGAGTACTTTTTATTTAAATTTCGTTCGATTTAATTGGAATTTGGATCTCCAGTTCAAGCAAAGAGACGTACAAAGTATTTTTTATAAATAATTGGAACAGAGTAAGTCGAAACAATTCAATATCGTTGAAGCAAGGTAAGACAAAAATCTTACGTAGCTGTTCCAGATTGAAAACGGATAGTTGGGAAAAGTTGATACGTATTAAAGAGTCAAGATGAGTATTCAGTTGGACATTGTAATAAGGCCAGAGATTCGCTTAGACGCGAAATGGCTCAAAACAGACTTGAAGCGTTTACTGTATCGCGACGGTTTGGCAGAACTCTGGAACGAAATGGTTCGTGACGGCGAAATTGTAGGTTCCTTTAGCGACGGTCTCATTAACGCTGCTGGTATAATAGCTAAGAAAGGTACAGGGACGCGTGTAATTAATTAATTAGTTAGTAGATTATACTATATTGAAATGTTTTCAGGCGAAAGCGGCCATTATTATTGTAACATGAGGGTTTTATCGTGTCTGTGTTGCGACGGAATATGCGGTCCGCATCGTGGCTGCAATTGCGGACCTTGCCAAAAATTGGACGAAGAAGAAGCAGCGAGAGCGAATAAGCTAGTAGAAAAAAGCATGCCAAGCCAACAAGTGATCGATTCGTGGCTTTGGGGTCCTCAACCATGTAAAGAATTTTATTTTAACGTGGAACAGAGTGTTTGGTTTAAAATATTATGTCTATAATATACGATCAAGTGGAAATTATTATAGTCGAAATGCATTTTAATCGACACGTATAATATTTATAAAATTTTTTAGCTATTTGCGATCTAACAACATGTATTGATTTATTGATCAAGGAACAAAGAAAACTGTGTTACGAAGTCGCAAACAGTACATTATCTGCTACACGATTACGACAACGTTTAGTAGTAGCGCGTCGATACTTGACAGCTCTTTCACGTCATAAACCGCAGGAGACCAAAGAGATTCCGGCATCGCCAAAACCTGCTACTAAATTACAGAAAATGTATAGTAATCAAGTTATATAAGAAAATAATAATAGAGAAAAATTCGAAGGTGGCATGCGTTATTTTTAATTTAAAATGAATTTAGAACCGAATGGATTTGCTAAATTGAAAATGTTGCATTTATAATGTTAATATTAGTACGTTGAATGTTTGCTTTAAAATCGATGCGACACGACGTATAGAATCGACGATAATGGTATAAAAATGAAATTAACCGAATAAACGTGTGATCATTTCAGTGTCAGACCGAACGAGAAAGCAACGTTGGGCTTAGCACGAGTAGGATCTCGCGCAGCGTTAAATTTTTCGTTCGCGTACTTGCGACGAGCGTGGAGATCCGGGGAGGATATAGAATTTTGTAGCGAACTTTTATCCGAATCGCTGGAAGCATTACAGTCGCTGCCCGAGGCTACGCTATTCGACGAGAACAACGTATCTCAAGTTTGGTTGGAAGTGGTGGAGCGATCGGCGAAGTTTCTGCGACAAGTTGTTACAGGGTATTTAAAATCAGTTTGAATAGCTTATCGATATCGAATAATTTGTTCGTTCGGAAATGTTTGCATGTATCGGTGATAAAGATCAGCAAAGAAAGAGAGAATAGAGGTGATAATAGGAGAATCGTTTGATTTTTTAGAGAGATAGTTAACGGGAGATCGTGGTGTCCTATTCCGTTAGCAGATCAACATACGGCTCTTTGCCTGTTGCTGGAATTGGTAACGCAGCGAGCTACGCTGTCGAGTTTGTTGGATTCCGTTTGTTTGTTGCTTCAATTAAGCGGTAAACATAAGCATCAGGACAATCGCGTAATGCCACCTGGAAGCATGGCACCTTTGGTGCCATTGTTGAGGAGATTGAACGCGATTCCAGCTTTAAAATCAAGACGAACAGACGTGAACGTGACACCGGGTCCTTGCGAAGTTTTACTAAAGTATTTAAGATTACCCGAGGATGACTCGACGTCGGTCGATTTACGGAAAGCAGCAGTAATTATAATGTGCAATTTAAGCAGGCTAGCCGCGCCTCTGTTACCACCGATCGTTACCGATAGATTCTTGAAGAATCAAAGTCAAACGCTTCAGGAAGTGTTAGCTTGGGGTAGCGTGAAATTCGGCGGTACTGGCTCGTCTCCGTTTTATTGCGACGCGATCGCAGAGCTCGGTATCAAACAGCTTTGCTGTACCGAAAGAGCATTGATGATTCTTTCTACCAGCGGGAACGTCTACATGATGTATTATGGATCGGAGACTCAATATCCTCAAAGAGTGTACGGGTTTTCCGATAAATTTGTCGCGATGATCGCATCCCATCCGGACGGAAAACATTACTTGGCATTGACGGAAGACAGTTCCGTGTATTCGTGGGGTAACGGAGACGGCGGTCGATTGGGACACGGAGACAGAACATGGTACGAGGAGCCGAAGTTGATCGAATCGTTGGTCGACAAGAACATCACGTTCATAGCGTGCGGAAGCACATATTCGGCGGCACTTAGCTCGAACGGCGAATTGTATACCTGGGGACGAGGTAATTACGGCAGATTGGGTCACGGAAATTCGGACGACGTAATGGTTCCCACGTTGGTAAGCGCCCTTAACGGTCACATGATCGTGTACGTGGCATGCGGTAGCGGCGATTCTCAAACGCTATGCGTAACCGCGTCCGGTATCGTGTTTTCTTGGGGTGACGGTGATTACGGGAAGCTCGGTAGAGGAGGTTGCAACGGATCTAAAACACCGAAGATAGTCGACAAATTGTTGGACATAAACGTAGCAAAAGTGTATTGCGGCGGACAATTTTCGGCTGCGTTGACCGCGTACGGGGAAGTGTACACATGGGGAAAAGGAGAAGCGTATCGTTTAGGTCACGGTAACGAGGAGCACGTGAGATATCCGAAAGCGATCGAAGCGTTGAAAACGAAGAAGGTGAAAGAGTTGTGCGTCGGAAGTTTACACGTGCTCGCGTTGACGGAGGACCAATTGGTTTACGGATGGGGTAGGAACGATTACGGTCAAATAGATCCAGCATTGGGCACCATCGTGTCGGAGCCGACGCTGTGCCCGACTCTGTCCGGAAAGAACGTGATCGGTTTGGTGTGCGGACCGACGCAAAGTTTCGCATGGTGTACGTCGGCTTGGTCGGTCGCGAGCCGAGTAGCTTTCGTCGTGGATATTTGCGAGGACACCTTTCGGCTGTTGGACACGTTGTTGAGCAAGGCTTGCGAAGGGTTGCCGAGCACCCGACCGCCTACCCAGGATCGCGAGTGTTTGGCGGTAGCCACGTTGAACTTGATCCGGTTGCAACTGCACACGATGATAACGCACAACATCGACTGCAAATCGATCGGATTAGCTGGTAGTCCGTTGTTGAATTCGTTGAAACAACGATGCGTCACGCTCGCGAGTAGCGTGGGAATTCTAGCGACTATTCAGGAAGCGGCTCAAGCTGTTTTACAAACCGGTTGGAGTATTCTGTTGCCGACGGCGAACGAACGCGCCAAGACTCTATCGAATTTCTTATCGAAAGCGAACGGTAATTTGGAACAGTTGAATGCGACCAACAATAACAATAACATTAATAACAGCAACAATAACAATAACAACGGCGTCAGCGGTAGCAGCAGCAGCGGCAGCAGCAGCAGCAGTAGCAGCAGCGGCAGTAGCATTAACAGTAATAACGGTCAACAGTTTATGGCCGATTTACTCGTTTCGAGTTTAATGGCGGACGGCGGTCTGGAATTGGCGTTGAAGACCGCCGTGAAAGCGGAGACGACGGACGCCGCCGACGAAAAGGAGTTTCTCGCGATAAATAAATCGAGCGACGCGAAGCAAACGAAAGAATTGAATTCGGAAAAGAACAACGCTACGATATCGTTGCTACAGTTGGTGAAACAGTTGATCAAGAACGGCAGTTGTATTACGAAATCGCGATTGGCGGCCGCCGAACAATCGGATCGTGCGTCCGAGGAGTCTCAAAGGAGGGACAGTTACCCGAGTTTGAATCTTTTGTTGAAGTTTCAACGGCTGTTGATCGGTCAGGTGTACGAGTGCATCAACGAGCCTGGTACAAAAAATTGCCGCGATCAGGAGATGCTCGGTGCGGAATCGCTTTTGAAGAAGTACATCTCGCAGATTTCCGTCCACGTGATCGAGGTGATGTCGCTGGCGGCGGAACTGGCAAATACCGGTATCAAGCGGTTCGTCGCCGTTACCACCGTCCTTAGGGGCGATATCGTGAACGTTCTATTGCCCGAATTAGTTACCTGTCTAATCTTGCTGCAGTTGGATCATCCGATGTTGCTGCTGAACACGAATTGGATGGAAATAATGACTCCGATGTTGGACGCGCTCGATCAGTTCAACAAATTGGTACCGACGATCGATAAGAACGAAATAGACGATCTGTCTTGGCCGGGAATCATAGCCCCGCAACACGGAAACAAAGTATCGATCTCGGAAGAACCGTCGGTCGTTCGTTGGGCCGATCTGGAGAATCATAATCGCGACGGCGGCCTTTGGGTGGTGGTAAACAACAACGTGTACGACGTGCAGGATGCCCGTTTGGACGGAAAATCGAATTCGTTGGAAGGATTGCAAAGAAGCGTTGCCGGTAGTTGGGAGGGCGGTGCCGCCGGCGCGGACGTGACCGCCGTAGTCCGTGGCCAATTACCGCGAACAATGATGGATTCTTACTTTGTCGGGCATTATTGTCACTCCGAGCCGGAGAACGCCGAAATTACCGTCGACGTTACGGACGCGTGTTCCTCGTTGCTCGACACGGAGAGAGCGTTAGCCTTTCTGTTGGGGCTACACGCGCACCGAATGCGGCAGAGTTTACCGTTACAAACGGCCGAAGAGGAAGCCGGCGTTTGGTTGCACGCGAATTTCCTACGGGGCGGATTGCAGATCCTCCAACCACCGAATCCTTACGAGGAGGAAAAGGACGAGGCGAGAAGCAACACCTCTACGGCCGCGAACTCGCCGACCGAACCAGCCTCGGTTCCCGTACGTACCAAGAACGAGCTACAAAAGGAAAAGGAGGATCGAGTGACGGCGTTCGTCTACGCGTTAGCCGAGACTCACAATCGTACCGATCCGCAAGTTCAAACGTTCTTGAGCATTGTCGAGAAATACTCGAAGGCTAACAACCTGTTGGCGCACATCGATTTTTACGGCGATCACCCGGTCGAAGAGGTTAGCCGATTATTGATGGCAGTTATCGTGAAGCATCTCGCTTTGGGTAATCAGGCGATCAGCTTGATCGATCAGGAGATCGGTAACGAGAACGGCGCGAGGCTAACGAAGCCGTTGGCCGAAATGGTAAGAGCGATTCATCAAACGAAATGGAATTTGATCAGGATCAGACAGCAACAGAATAGAAGTTACAAAGAGGTTTGCGCGCCGGCACAAGAGAAATGTAGATTCCTTCTGCACGAGGTGCGTTCGGCTACCAGTTACGAGATGAAGGGATTACGAGACCTGAAATTGTTGTACGCTGCGCCGAGATTCAAGAGAATCGTTCGGACGGTGATCAGGGACATTCGAAAGAACCGGGAGTCGCCGAGCAAACCGGAGGACATCGTGAACGCGTCGATTCAGAACGCGAAGATTAAAAGTAAATCGGACGAGGACACGACACCGAAAGAAGCGAAGCCGCCGTCCTCGCCGAGGTTCGAGAATCTGTTGGACGCGAAGAAAACGTTCGGCAAAATAACCGAAAGGATCAGACAGCGAACGCTGAACATCGATTCGAACGAGTTGATGACGAGTATAATTAATTTCGTGATTACCGAGGACGGAGGAGATGTCGAGACGTTACGCAGAGCCATGTATTGTCAGATGCAACGCGCGAAATTGCGCGAACAGGGAATCCTGATGATGCAACAGTTATTGAGAAAGGACTGTTTGATCACGTCGGTGAAGTATTCGTTGCTGAACGGTTGGCTCGGCTTGTCTCACGAGAACAAGTTTTTGGCTGACGGGATAACTCACTGTCTGGAAAATATTCGATCGATAACGCCGTATCAAAAATCGAAGATCGTATTAGCCGAGGCGGAGGTGACGTCGTGGGCCGTTCAAGCTTTGCGGGCGTTCGTCGTACAGGCGGAAGTGCCCACCAAGCCGAAAGTTAGCGACAAGAGCAGCTTGAATCAAGGGACGTACACGTGGTTGAGAAAATTGCCCAGAGCAAGATTCTTACTGACGATATTGGGTATGCTGTCGAATTATCGAGACGCGAACGAAATCGGGTTACTGATCAATTCGGGCACGATATCGAGCATCTTGACGTTGCTCAGGCAGATCGGACCTTGCGCGTTCGCGAACGAATCGAAGACGAAGGAGGCGATCACGGCCATATACGAGGACAGTCTGGAAAAGACGAAGCCGCCGAGCGTGCAGCCGAACGGTATGGAATTGGCGGCTCTGATGAAGATCGGGACGAGAGTAGTCCGCGGCGTCGATTGGAAATGGGGAGATCAAGACGGTCCGCCACCGGGCGAGGGTCGAGTGATAGGCGAGCTCGGCGAGGACGGTTGGATCCGAGTGCAATGGGACAACGGTACCACCAACTCGTACCGCATGGGCAAAGAGGGCAAATACGATTTGAAGCTAGTGGAACCACCTACGCCACCCGAAACCGACAGCGACGTCGATTCACCGTTGGACGTGGCGGCTGGCGGCGTGACCGTCTCTAAAACGGAGAAAAAGAACGATTGCACGGACGTGCATCCGACCACTTGTCTCAAGTCCGCCTCCGTAACCGTGTTGAGGATCGTGTTGCTCTGTTGCGGCATCGAGGCCGACAGAGTATCTCCTTCCGCCGTCAAGATACTCGCTTCGGTTTTACGCGGTATCATATCGTCCGCGTACAAACACAACTTTAGCGCCCAGTCGCAGCTAGCGAGAGAACATCACGAAAGTTGGGCGAGCCTCGGATTGTTGAGAGCGATCGGCAAGTCTCAGGAATTGTGCAAATCGTTGAGCACCAACGCGTGGATCGATTTTCTGTTAAACGTCATCGCCGAGGAGGCTAACCCTAATTTGGAGAAACAAATAATGGCGGTGCGTTTGTTAGCTGCCGTCTTACCATCTTGGTCCGGCGATAATCCAAACATGACGCCGTTACTCGAGAAAATATTTCGCATATTGGGACACATCGCGCTCGCCTGTGACCTCGGTACTTCGTCGGAGCTTTATTCGAACAAATGTCGAGTATCCCTGACCGCTTCCCATTGTTCGACCGTCGCGGAAGAACTGGTCTCGTTGATTCGACGTTTGCATTCGCTATCGAAATGGAACCCGACCTTGAACGCGTTTCTCGCCTCGAAGTTGTCGCTGGCCTCCGACTTGTTGAGCGACGGCCCGTTGTTTCACATCCAGGTGAACGAGAACGGAGGGGAGAACAGCGTGCATATCCAAGATACCGTGATGGCCGCTCTGATCGTGGTAGGAGGACTCGACGATAGGCCGAGAATCGGCGGTTTGGTCGACGTCGAGGGACAAATTGGTACGATATGTAAATTTACCGGACACTCGAAGATTCTGGTACAGATGCACGACGAGAACGATACGCGCAAGAAGGTTCCGTTCTTCGCGATCAAACGTGTCGGCGAGAAATTTCGTTTGGATCGAATGTCCCTGCCGGATTCTTTCGTGCCCGTTTGGGCCAACTTGTTGTTGGGTTATCAGGGGATGGACAAGAGACCAAACGGCATGCCCGTGATAGCCGGCGCAGTGAACTCGTCCATCTTGCGCGTTCAACAGCAACAGCTCGCCGCGTTGAACGCCGGGAAAGCCTTGCTGGATCACCAGACGAAACTTCGCAGGGTTTTGAGGTACGCGATCAATAAGAACAACGACGATATCGGTTGCTGCGAGGAGAACAGCAGCGTGATCGGTATTGCCGGAGCTACCGTTCTTCTCGACGATCACGGTCAGAGTCAGGATCAGGAGCTCGAACACGATCGCGACTATCGGTCTGATCGTAACGAGGATAACAACGAAGTCGAGGAGAACGGCGACGAGGAGGGCGAGATCGACGGCGACAACGATAGGGAAAACCGCGAATCCGGCCGTAATCGAATTCGCGTCGATCGAGACGGCGACGGCGACAGCGACGGAACGAACGACTCGAACGAGGCGACCGAAGCGAACGTAACCGAAGCGAACGAGGAGAACGACGAGGACGGTAACAGCAGCGTCAGCGGTAAAGACGGTTGTCGGCCGAAACGCGTTACCTTGTTCCAAGAAATGTTGACGCGCGCTACGCGACCGCAACCGTTGAAGCCCATATTCAAACGCAAAGAATTGGAGGAGGCCGCGTTAGCGGTCTCTCAATATTTGGCCTCGGAGCTGAGACACTCGCCGATTCAACGGACAGGCCTGTTCTCGGAGCCGGATTCTCCCGCGTCCGATTGTTCTCTGGTGTCTCTGACGTCCAGTCAGAAGAAGCACTGCAAAAGCAACGGAAGAAAAAGCCCTCCGGCCACGAGTCCGTTAGTGGCGCAATTGATAGAGATGGGCTTTCCGAAGAGAAGCGTGGAATTCGCGATCAAGAGTCTGAGCACGGCCGTTGGATTTATCACGGCGGAAAGCGTGGTGGCGTGGCTGCTCGAAAATCCAGAGGCCGCTTTGAGCGACAGCGAAACGTTGTCGAGCGTGTACGGATTATCGGATCCGGAGGATTCGGCCAGCGATAATCTCGACGACTCGCCGTCGACGCACGAGCCTGTATCCTCGAGCGTGCCGCCCAACTACATGAAGCGATCCGATTTCCTCTGGGTCGACGAATACGCGATCTACGTGCGAGACAATCTGATTCCCGGTATGTTGGTGCGATGTTGCAAGAGCTACGAGGAAGTCGAATACGGAGACGTCGGTCAAGTGATTAAAGTCGACCCGGAAGGATTGCACGATCTGAATGTTCAAGTTGCCTGGCAGCGCAAAGGAGGCACCTATTGGGTCAGGTTCATTCACATCGAACTGTTGGGCCATCCGCCGACGACTCCGGGTCCCGCCGCGCTCAAGATCGGCGATAAAGTGCGAGTGAAAGCCTCGGTGACCGTGCCGAAGTACAAATGGGGATCGGTGAATCATCAGAGCGTCGGCGTGGTAACCGGCATAATAAATAACGGCAAAGACGTGTCGGTCGATTTCCCGCAGCAGAGCGGTTGGACAGGTTGCTCGATAGAAATGGAGAGGGTGCCATCTTGCCATCATTCGGTCGCGTGCAATTCTTGTCATCTTCTGCCGATATCCGGTCCTCGATTCAAGTGCAAGTACTGCGACAGCTACAACTTGTGCGAGAACTGCTTCTACACGAAACGGTGTCATCGACACGGATTCAATCGAATCGCCGAACCAGGATCGGCGGCGGTGTACGCCGGCAAACCGGGCAGGTATCATAGGCAAGAGTTGACGGAATCTTCGTTGATTCACGACTGGTCCAAGTGTATTCGAACGCTGAGCGTGTCTTCGCGGGAGAATTGGGCGACGCGGCTGGTCAACGAGTCCGGACAGTATTGGCAGAGTTGCGGTTTACAAGGGAAGCATTGGATCCGAATGGAAATGTTCCCGGGCATTTTGGTCCACTCGTTGAAGATCGCGGTGAATCCGCAGGACAGCAGCTACATGCCGTCGCTGATAGCGGTGAACGTCGGCGACTCGTTCAACGATCTGGTAGAATTAGCGATAATAAGCGTGCGACACACCGACACCAGCGTCTCGTTGCTCCAGGACACCAAGAAATATTACCCTTGCATCGAAATAGCTATAAAACAGTGCCGGAACGGTGGCATCGATTGCAAGATACACGGACTTCAGATAATCGGTAAGAGGAAAACGTACGAAAATCAGTTGGCAACGTCCGTGTCGTTCCTGGCTTCGGACTGGGAGATCGTTCAGGAGCAGGCAAGCTCGCAGCGCGGTGTCGAGACGCCGCAACACTCGGCCGTTTACGTTTGGGGACTGAACGACAAGGATCAACTGGGCGGTTTAAAAGGATCGAAGATCAAGTTGCCCGTTTACAGCGAGTCTCTTTCGAAGTTGAAGCCCGTTCACATCGCCGGTGGTAGCAAGACTCTGTTCGTGGTTAGCCAAGAGGGAAAGTTGTACGCCTGCGGAGAAGGTACGAACGGTCGACTGGGTCTCGGCGACGACGGTAACGCGTGCGAGCCGAAACCTATACCGTTCTTGAGTCAATACGTGATAAAGAAAGTAGCGGTCCACTCGGGCGGGAAACACGCGTTGGCCCTCACGCAGGACGGCCGGGTATTCTCGTGGGGCGAAGGAGAAGACGGTAAACTGGGTCACGGGAATTGTTCGTCGTTGGACAAGCCAAGATTGATCGAGTCCCTCAAGTCGAAGAGGATACGGGACGTCGCCTGTGGATCCGGTCACTCGGCCGCCATAACCAGCAGCGGTGAACTATACACTTGGGGTCTGGGCGAGTACGGAAGATTGGGCCATGGAGACACGAATACGCAGCTGAAGCCAAAATTGGTTCAGTCTCTTGTTGGCCAGCGGGTGATACAGGTCGCTTGCGGCAGCAGAGACGCGCAGACGATGGCGTTGACCGCCGACGGTTCGGTGTATTCGTGGGGCGACGGTGATTTCGGTAAGCTCGGTCGAGGAGGTAGCGACGGGTGTTACACGCCTCTGCTGGTGGATCGACTGAACGGTTTGGGCGTGGTACAGATCGAATGCGGGGCTCAATTCTCCCTCGCGTTGACCAAATACGGCGAGGTTTGGACATGGGGCAAAGGGGATTACTTTCGACTCGGCCATGGGAACGATCATCACGTGCGAAAACCTACGCTAGTCGAGGGCCTCCGAGGGAAGAAGGTGATTCACGTGGCCGTCGGCGCCCTCCATTGTTTGGCGGTGACGGACACGGGTCAGGTGTACGCGTGGGGCGACAACGATCACGGACAACAGGGAAACGGATCGACGATCGTCAACAAGAAACCGTCGTTGGTTCACGAACTCGACGACGCGAGAGTGAACCGAGTCTCTTGCGGCTCGAGTCACAGCATCGCTTGGGTATTGACCGACCAACCGGCGGCGAACAATCAAGAACCGGTCACCTTCCCGACGGCGAAGGATCCGCTCGGTCAGGCGTCGCTCAGATTGAAAAACATCCTCGACACCGAGGCCGAGGGAGACAGAGAGATCGAGACCGAGACGGAAACGTGCGCCGTACCGTCTTCTTCCAAGAGCATCGTTCCCGGTAACAGTAACGTCGGCGACGTTGCCGACGTCGCTACCTCCGTCAACAGACCTTCCCTATCGAGCATTATCCTCTCGTTGGAGAGCGACGTCGCGAAACAACAAGCGTTGCAACACGTGATAAACGCTCTTCGTATAATACAAGCAAGAGTAGCCGTGGTAACGGCGTTACAAAGTCACTCGACGTTGAGATCGTCGAGCAACAACAACAACAGCAACAGCAACAACAACAACAACAACAACGCCGTCGGAGGCCGGTGCGTCAGAGGCAGCGTGAACGTTGCCGGTGGCGGAGGCGACTCGGCGATACCGGTCACGGACGGACCGATCGTTGCCGGTTCGAACATCGCCGGTGGACACAGTCACGTTTATCAGAACGTGGGAGAAAGCGCGCAAGGTGGCGGAGAAGCGCCCGCGAACGCCGCCGATCTTGTCAATATGGTCGGTAGCCCCAGGACGAGTCCCGAATCGGAGGATTATCCGTTAGCGGTGTTCCCTTCGATGTCGAGTTCGGCGAGTTTGTCGTCGCGCGCTTCAAAAATGTCGACCAGCGCGATGAGCGTGATCGCGGCCACGCTTACCTCGAACGCGCAAATAGTCGGCGAGGGGGCAGCAGCCGGCAATTCGAATCTGGACGACTTCACCTGCGCGTTGACCGAAGAAGACGCCAGGATGCTGGTCGATCTGCTGAAGTTGGCCGTTGCCAATCGAATATGCAAAGGTGCGAAGGAAACCATATCCTCGGTACTGATCGGGCTAGCGAAATCGAACAACGCGATCCGCAACATGGTATTAGAGCTTTGCATCACGGAACTCGAAGACACGGTGGCGAACTCGAACAACAGGAGTAACGTGCCGCAACCGGTTCTACAGGAGAGTCCGCATCCGTACGTGGATGGCACCACGTTGACCGGTCACGTAAAGATTCCTGGCGCGGAGGCGCTCAGAATCGAATTCGATCGGCATTGTTCGACCGAGCGAAGACACGATCCGTTGACCATCATGGACGGGAACAACCGCGTGGTCGCGGTGAAATCCGGCCGTAAATGGAGCGAATGGGCCGCCGAGATTCGAATTCCCGGCGACGAGCTCAGATGGCGATTTTCTTCGGACGGCTCGGTGAACGGTTGGGGATGGCGGTTCACCGTGTATCCGGTACTCGCGAGCCTCGCACCGCACGAACTCGTCTCGGACAGAGCGGTTCTCTCGCAGCCGTCCATCGTGCTCGCGGAATGCCTTCTCGACAACGGTTTAATCAATTCGGACAGGAACGCGGCGACTCGACTCGCGGCCACTTTAGCCCAGTGCAGTCAATTAAGCGCGTTATCGGCGCGGCAACGAATGTGGGCGTTGAAGAAATTACAAGTGGTATACACCACCGGGCCAGGTATACGTCCGGAAATCGCGCTCTCCTCTCTTCTCGGCTCTCTGCCGCAGGCGTTGCTCAAACAGTACGCTTACGAAGATCCACTGGTTCGCGGTGGAAAGCAGTTGATGCACAGCGACTTTTTCAAAGTTCTCGTCGCGCTCGCCTGCGACCTTGAACTCGACGAGACGCAGTGTTGTTCGGAGATTCACAAATGGTCTTGGTTTCGAAGATACTGTCTCTCGGCTCGTGTCGCTAAATCGCTGGTCAATCGAACGCCCCTTCCGAAACCCTTCTGCCTCGAAGTTACCAAACGAATAAACGAGATGATCACCGACGGAGAGGGAAATACCAAGGATCACGAGAATCACCAGTTGTTCAAACAGGAGCACGACGAACAATTGTTGCAGTGGTTGAACCGACGACCGGAAGATTGGACATTGTCGTGGGATGGATCCGGCGCGATCTACGGTTGGGGTCACAATCATCGCGGGCAACTGGGCGGCCTCGAAGGGGCCAAAGTCAAGTTGCCGGTTCTCTGCGAGAGTCTGTCCGCTCTTCGACCCGTTCAGCTCACCGGCGGAGAACAAACTCTGTTCGCGGTTACCGCCGATGGGAAAGTTTACGCGACCGGTAAGTCTTTTATCCTAAAATCCTTTTATCATCATTTTATTATCCTCTTATCCTATTCGATCGCGTAGGCTACGGCGCGGTCGGACGTCTCGGGATCGGAGGCACGGATTCCGTGATGATGCCGACACTTTTAGAATCCATACAACACGTGTTCGTGAAGAAGGTTGCCGTCAATTCGGGAGGTAAGCATTGCCTCGCTTTGAGTTCCGAGGGTCACGTATACTCGTGGGGAGAAGGCGACGATGGCAAGCTAGGCCACGGCAACAGATTGTCCTACGACCGACCGAAATTGATCGAAGAGCTGCTCGGCACCGAGATCGTCGATGTAGCCTGTGGTGGTCATCACAGTGCGGCCATCACCAGCGCCGGCTGGCTCTACACCTGGGGAAAAGGTAAACGTTTAGAAGTTTATCAACGTTTAGGAATTTCGCATTGTCCCGTGTCTCGTTTCCCCCCACAGGTCGGTACGGACGTTTGGGCCACGGAGACAGCGAAGATCAGTTGACACCGAAGCTGGTCGAAGCTTTACAAGATTATAAAGTGATCGACGTCGCGTGCGGAAGCGGAGACGCGCAAACCCTTTGCGTCACCGACGACGACAACGTTTGGAGCTGGGGCGACGGAGATTATGGGAAACTGGGCAGAGGGGGGAGCGACGGTTGTAAAGTCCCGATGAAAATCGAATCTCTCGCGGGTCTCGGCGTGATCAAAGTCGAATGCGGTAGTCAGTTCTCCGTAGCCTTAACGAGATCCGGTTCCATATATACGTGGTAAGTAATATACTTTTTATACCTAATCTATCGATGATCGTCGCGCTCTCGTCGCACAGGGGCAAAGGAGATTATCACCGTTTGGGCCATGGTACGGACGATCACGTGCGGAGGCCGCGCAAAGTAGCCGCGCTCCAAGGGAAAAAGATCATCTCCATCGCGACCGGCTCGTTGCATTGCGTAGCATGTTCCGACAAAGGAGAAGTTTTTACCTGGGGAGACAACGACGAAGGCCAGTTAGGCGACGGAACGACCTGCGCTCTCCAGAGACCGAGACTGGTTCACGCGTTACAAGGTAAAAAGATAACGCGAGTCGCTTGCGGTAGCGCTCACACTTTAGCCTGGAGTACGATGAAGGCTACGCAAAGCAGAATGCCTGCCACTACACCGATGGAGTACGATCTAGTGAAAGATCTTCCGTTCCCCGTCTTGCACAATCGGTTGGTGCTTCTTCACCACTTCGCCGAACTGCTTTGCCCCTGTCTACCGATGTTTCCGATCACCGGGCCCATCAGTCTCAGCAAACTGGCTCCGATATTAGTCTACAGCATCAAAGAAGCAACCTTTCGTAAAGTCGTTCAGGCAACGATGGTCAGAGATCGACAACACGGGCCGGTAATCGAATTGAATCGGATACAAGTTAAACGAGCCAGAGGCAAAGGTGGATTCGCCGGCCCGGATGGCATCAAATCGGTCTTTGGTCAAATGGTCTCGAAAATGTCTCTGTTGACGCAGGATGTTCTCTTCTTTCCCCACAGAGTGTGGAAAGTGAAATTCATCGGTAAGTCGACTTTCTTTCTAACGTAAATATCATCGGGCGACGATGCGAAAAGCTCGAGCAAAATTAACTAGGAATGCTCGCGTCGATAGGAGAGAGCGTGGACGATTGCGGTGGCGGATATAGCGAAAGCATCGCCGAAATGTGCGACGAATTACAAAACGGTTCCTTACCGTTGCTTATACCGACACCGAACGGCCGAGACGACAACGGTACCAACAGAGATTGTTTCCTCCTGAATCCGGCCGCCGATTCGCCCTTGCATCTCAACATGTTTCGATTTCTCGGAATTCTCATGGGCATAGCTATTAGAACCGGTAGCCCGTTGAGTTTGAATCTGGCAGAGCCTGTATGGAAACAACTGGCCGGTGTACCGTTAACTCCTGCGGACTTGACCGAAGTCGATAGAGACTATGTTCCTGGATTATTGTGCATTCGAGACATGGATCCCGATGAAAAGGTATTCCAAACTCTCGAAATGCCTTTCTCTACGCCATCCGCTTTAGGCCACGATGTACCTTTATCCAGTAGGTACGTAACAATCCTCTTCGGATATTGTTCGAATCTAAATCGAACATTGAATCTAGATACAATTTTACCAATTATCCGTTTCAGGTACAGAAAAATTACGCCGGAAAATAAACACGAGTACGTTCAACTGGCATTGGATTATAGGCTACGCGAATTCGATGCTCAAGTGGCCGCTGTACGCGAAGGAATGTCGAAAGTCATACCCGTGCCCTTCCTCGCGTTGTTTAGCGGATCCGAACTGGAAACGATGGTCTGCGGTAGTCCAGATATACCGCTTACTCTGTTAAAATCCGTTGCAACTTATAAAGGTAAATATAGTTGTGTCGAAAACGAATCACCTTTTCTTTCTTCTCTGATCGGTGTACGTTTTCAGGCATCGAAGCGACCTCTCCCTTGATTCAATGGTTTTGGGAAGTAATGGAAGAATTCTCTAATCAGGAAAGATCGTTATTTTTACGATTCGTTTGGGGTAGAACTCGTTTACCGCGTACCATTGCTGACTTCCGAGGAAGAGATTTTGTATTACAGGTACAATTACTTGTTCTTCTTCTTCTTCTTCTCCTCCTTCTTCTCTTTATTTTCCATTTTGTACGTCAACAGGTAATGGATAAGTATAATCCGCCGGATCACTTTCTCCCTGAAAGTTACACGTGTTTCTTTCTTCTGAAAATGCCGAGGTATTCGTGTAAACCGGTGTTGCGACAAAAATTAAAATACGCGATACATTTTTGTAAAAGTATCGATACCGATGAGTATGCTAGAGTACAAGCTGCAACCAATTCAGACACCGAGGAAACGGACAATCTTTCTAGCGAAGAGTATACGTCGCTTTAACGTGATCGATACCTTACTCTCTTCCATACGATCAAGTCATACTTTTTTATTGTAATCTATTTTCACTGTCGTTGCATTCAGCCTATGCGTGCACGTTATCGAACATCTTTCCCGTCGTTTATGCGTGTAATTTATAAGTATCAGTTAATCGAGAACGATTCTTTCCGAGTCCCTTTTATTTCGATATATCCAGGACAGTAATTATGCTATTGTAAAAGTTAAATAGGAGTTACATTCGCGATCGCGCCTAGCAATAATTCTTGTTTGTATCTGTTTAATTCTTAAATCTGCGAGTCCCCGTTCATTTTATTCGTTTCTCGATGTAACCACGAGAAATTACGAGGAATTACTCGTCTCCGTTAACGACATAATTGTTGAACATAATTATGTTTGAAATCGAACAGAGGCTAGCTGATAATACTAAGTGTATTCTCGGACGATAACAATCTGAAAAAGACTGTTTCCGACGCTACGAGTTCGTTATTATTCAAGCTCGGCCAAAATCGATCACTATTACGTTTTTACGAATACGCCTAGTACTAAATAAAACTACCATGTACGCGATAATAATTAAAGATATGCATTATTATTTATTTATTTATTTATTTATTTATTTATATATTTAATTTAATTTAATTAATAGATATAAATTTTTTTCATACACACACACACACACACACACACACACACAATATTTACGAGTAGTGTTTGTTTCCATTTTGCAATAAAAAATGTGAAAACAAAACCAATTGCTAATATTGTATCGCGTAATATTACATATATAGGTATATTTAGATGCATGAAATTTAGTTAAATTTCACACCACGATCGACGTTGATAGGAAACATCTCATTTTTTCTAAAGCAAATATTCGTAAGTTTTTGTTATGTTTGTTGAAAAATATATTGTAATTGAAAGAAAATAAAGAGATTTATCGGTATAAAGAATCATTATCAGTCCGAGGAGAGTGGAAATATAGAGTAGTATGCTCTATGCATATTCTGCAACTAATTTTTAGAAGAGACGATTATTTCTGAAATTTTTTTCTTCTAACTGCACATCAAAAGTTTATCGACTGCATTTGATACGCGAACTGAACAACAAGGTCATTAATACGATAAAATACGAATTGATTAATTGCAGTATAAATATAACGTCGGAATGAAAGGAATTCACGACGTTTGCCTCCGTATATAGAAGAAACATGTTTCGTTTAATGAAGCACGAGGTATTTCGAACAATTTATTACCTTTATACTAGAAGTTTACCGATTAATTATTTTCAGCCGTATAGAATATGCAACAATTATATTAAACTATTGTCAACGAAAACGATACATTCGTCGTCGAAAATAAAACTACCAGACTGTGCAGATGTTGTAATAATAGGTAAAAAAAATTCTCTGAACATTCGTTTTTTCTATTCGTATGTTAACATAAATTAACGGTATTTTTAGGTGGTGGCAGCGCAGGTTGTAACGCTCTTTATCACTTAGGAAAATGTGGCGTTAATGCTGTATTGTTAGAGAAATTTAAATTAACTTCTGGTACTACGTGGCATACTGCTGGCCTTATATGGAGTATACGTGGTCCGAGTGATACCGATATAGAATTATTAAAAATTACGAGAAACCTTCTTAAATCGTTAGAAGAAGAGACTGGAATAAATCCAGGGTGGATAAATAACGGTGGACTTTACATTGCTCGGACCGCTGTGAGTATTTCATATTTAATTACCGTCTCTTTCTTTTTTATATTTACGCTTCTTCTATTTTTTCGTTGTACAGGACCGATTAGATGAATATAAAAGACTCGTTACCGGGTCCAAAGCTTTTGGTATTGAAGCGAACCTTATCTCACCCCGAGAAACAAAGAAATTATTTCCGTTACTTGACGAAGCAATTCTTCGAGGAGCTATTTACTGTCCAGACGATGGCGTTATCGATCCCACTATGTTAGTAAACGCCTTAACAAGATCGGCAAAGAGTAATGGTTGTCAGGTACATACAAATTTTTTCTTCCATTCGCGAACGATCATGAATATACATATAGGAATATATTGAATTTATTTAGATTATAGAAGATTGTCCCGTAACAAAAATACTCACTAAGGAGACTATTACGAGCGACAAGAAAATTTCTGGAGTAGAGACACCGTATGGAATCATAAAGACAAATGTTATTCTGAATGCTGCTGGTGTTTGGTCAAAAAATATAGCCAAGATGGTTGAAACGGATATTCCTCTGGTACCGTTTAAGCACGCGTATGTTGTTACCGAACCCATAACAGGAGCACAGAACCTTCCAAATATCAGAGACCTTGATGCTAGTTTATATATACGAATTCAGGGAAACTCTATGGCTATAGGCGGTTATGAACAAAATCCAATCATCTTGTCTTCAGTGAGTCCATGATGAATCAATTTTAACGTATTATCGAGAAATTAAAGCAACTCGTGTTAGAAGTATACTTTAAACATTTCTTCTTCTTATTATTATTTATTATTATTTCACTTATTTGCGTGGCATTATTTATAAGTTACCTAAATTAGATAATAACGATAATTAGTGTGTCTTATGTTTGCATAAAAGCCACCGGAAGATTTTTCGTTCAGCCTCTATGAAATGGACTGGAATACTTTTGACGCGCATCGAAAATCAATGATTCGTTTAGTTCCTCGATTATCAACGAGCGGAATAAAAACCACTATATGTGGACCAGAAAGTTTTACGCCTGATCATAAACCAATCATGGGTAATAATTTGAATTCTTGTCTCGTGTTACTGTCTTAATCGTCTTGACTTTCATTGTATTTAAAAGGTGAGGATCCTCGTTGTTTTGGTTTATTTTACTCGTGCGGCTACAACAGTGCCGGAATGATGTTAGGAGGTGGATGCGGAGAACAGATTGCACAGTGGATAATTAATGGTCGACCAGACAAGCACATGTTCGATTATGATATCAGACGGTAGACTCTTTCTCTGACTTTGCTCAACCTATTCCTCGTATTAATATCTCGTTTATTTATCATTTTCATTTTTAGATTTATTCCAGGGCAGAGAAAAAATTTAGTTTGGGCAAATGAAAGGTCCCATGAGGCATATGCAAAGAATTACAGTATTATATTTCCAAACGACGAACCTCTAGCTGGTAGAAACTTAAAGCTAAGTCCTTTTCACGATGTAAGATTAATTATTCGATGAAACTTTTCTTATTCATTAATGTCGTATAACGAACTATTACTTTCTTTGTCGCAGTTACTTGTTGAAAACGGTGCTATAATGGAAGAATGTCAAGGTTGGGAGCGACCTGAATGGTTCTCCTTAACAGAAAGGGTCGACATCAAGAATTATGATTATGGTGGATGTTATGGAATATCAAAAAACAAAGATGATAAATATCGCGAAATATTAGAAAAAGAGTACAATTTTCGGATTTCGCCGTATGATGACATTGTAAGTATTTCAAAGAAAGCTATGCTTATTAAAACATTAATACAGAATCTAATCGTATTATGAGTGGTTTTTCAATTTATACTAGATCCGAAAAGAAGCTCTTGCTTGTCGTACAAATGTTGCTTTGTTTGACATGTCTCATCTTGGAAAATTCTACCTTTGTGGTCCAGATGCACAAAAAGCTGCAGACTACTTATTCACAGCAAATACAGATCGCGCTTTCAACAAAACGGTTTACACTTGCATGCTAAATCATGTTGGAGGAATAGTAATGGACTGCACGGTTACAGTTTTGGAGCCTGGATCGGGCGGAATCATAAATCCGATGTTTAAAGAAAAATCATTTTACATCGGTACGTTTTCACAAACTGTTATCGTTTGGTTAACTTCGTTATTACAGGTTTGTGATACTATTTTCAATACTAGTCTCGAGTAGCAAAGCCGCGTACCATACGTGGGCTCACGTGAATAAAGTGATACAGGAAAAAGGATTTGATGTATCTTTACACGATGTCACAGAACTGATTGGAGTTTTATCCGTGCAAGGTCCAAATAGGTATTATATTGTACACGGTTTAACTTTACGTATGATTTAGATTTGTATGCAGATATTTTATAGTTACGAATTATTGTATAGCCGAAATATAGTGGAATCGCTAATAGCGGATGAAATCTCGGATGAATCTTTTAAATTTTCAACCACAAAATTAGTGAAAATTCGAAATGAAATAGTTCGCTTAATTAGACTTAGTTTCGTTGGTGAACTCGGCTTTGAATTACATATTCCAAGATCGTCTTGTCAGTCGGTTTATGCAACTTTAATGAAATTCAGCGAACCATATCGCATAAAACTTGCTGGATATAGAGCATTGCGTAGCCTAAGCTGTGAGAAAGGTACATAAATGAGCGTTTCTGTAATGTGATATTTCTACCTATGATATTGTATCGTAGATATCAAAGCATTCGCATCTTTCAGGGCATCTTCTGTGGAATGAAGAACTCAGAGAAGATGATAATCCCATAGAAGCGGGATTGGGATTTACATGTCGTAGTTTTGGTAATTATTTGGGGAAGGCGGTAATTGATCGATTGCGAAAAATTGGTATTAAAAAGAGGCTAGTACATATCCATATAAATAGGTGAACATTATCATATTATTCAGTTTTATGGTTTTATTATTTAAATAATACTAATATTATATATCGCGATAGTGATATTCCCGTGTGGGGTTCAGAAACGATTTACAGAAATAATCGTGTCGTTGGTTATCTACGAAGAGCGGAACGAGGATATAGTTATGGAAATACTATTGGGCATGGGTGAGTAAACTTATCTTGAATCAAAATGACGCTCTCATTGAACTTCCTTAAAATCAGGTATATCAAGCATCCAGATGGAGAAAATGTGACAAAGGAATTTTTAGAAACTGGTAATTATGAAATTGAAGTAATGGGGAAGAGATATAAATTTCATCTTTATCTCAAAAGTCCGTTCGATCCTCAGAATCAAAGATTATTAGGTGTATATGAAGATAAAGATGTTCCTAAACTTTAAAAAATTATAAAGCTATAAATATAGATAAACTTAAAAGAGTATAGGTTTATTTATATCTATCCTGCAAGGGGGTTAGCATGTATAGTTACATTGTTTATTCGTGTTTCTGTAAGCGGCTTATAATTTTTTGGGCTCACAGGAAGCTTTTCCAGTTGTTCCAGAGTGTCTAGACCATCTATTACCCTGAAAATGAACAATTTATTAAATGTATTTAATATAGCATACTTATGCACAACAATTAAGCAATAGATTTATTTACCTTCCGAATAAGGTATATTTCAAATCAAGATGCGGTTGAGGACCATAAGTTATAAAAAATTGACTTCCATTAGTGTTTGGACCATTATTGGCCATAGACACAAGACCTCTCGTATTATGTTTCAATTCTTCTTTAAATTCATCTTCGAATTTACGGTTCCAAATTGACGTTCCACCCTTGCCAGTTTGTGTTGGATCCCCGGTTTGCACGATGAAACCTTTTATATTTCGATGAAATAAACAATTGTTGTAATAATTGCTAGCGCACAAGGCAAGGAAATTCTACAAAATAAATACGCTAATTTATATTTGGCCAGACAATGTTATATTGTAAAAGATTACAAAAGGACTACCTCACAGGTTTTTGGACACAATTCACAAAATAATTCTATCTTTATATCTCCAACGTCGGTATGTAAAGTAACGCTCTAAAAATGAAAACCAATTATATTTTATGTGTATATATATGTATATATATATATATATGTATATATATGTATATGTGTACACGCATTGGGCGTACATATGAAATTCTGTAATACCAATAAAATAAACAATTTGAAAAGAACAAACGTAATTATAATATTCACTTGCGCACCATCTTCGATATAAATGTTTAATTTATAAACACTAATATACGTCGATACTTATTATTATTAAGATCTCACATATTCTTCAGTCGCTAGTAACGCGTACTAACAAAAAATGAATATGCACCACTTATATATTTATGTAAATATGTACGTAAGGGTAGCCATTTTGAATGTCACAGAATTACCAACGAAATCAAATGTATGTGTTTATTTTTAAATAAAATCGAAATTTTAATAAAATATTGCTGTAAAAAGCAGCGTCGATGAAAGAAAAATATCAAAGTATATGTTCGTACGAAAAAAAGCTAAGAACGTTTCAATGGTTGATATATTTATCAAATATAATTTATAGATGTTACCCAGTATTTGTAACCAATTTGACTTTAGTTGAAAGCTGTAAGGAATCGTCAAAGCAGCGCCACTATTTCTGCTGAATGTTCAGCTTGTTTCTCGTTACATGTAACGGTTAGGCAAAAAAGATATTGAATACTTTAATATTAGTTTAATTCGTAAAAAGTGCATTTATTCTTGTTTAAGTTGAGAATAAGATTATATTTTATATATTGAAGGAAGAAATAAACTGAATTGTGAAAGTTATCATAAAGGAGTGACAAGAAAATCTAGACGAGTGGCGCGTCTGTGCAAACGGGTCTCTTTGGTTGCATGACGTAATTGTATTGATCGCGGAAGAAGAGCCGAAAGTCGCGCATTCGCCATCTTGGACGAATTGTGGAAAAGAAGTTTCTGTGTCTCGCAGGCGCGGTACGCTTGTAATAATTGTAATCCGTGGCGATCCAGACATTAATTAGTTTAACTGGGAATTAACCCTTTTGTGAATTAGAAACCCATTTGGACGGACCAAGGTAAGTCATTATTTCTTTGATTCGCTTCTTCATCCGAATCTTTTTTTCTACGTGGAAACCTTACTGTCTAAGCTTGTTCTACGACCATTCAACTTCGAACAAGTTTTTTCAAATTTTTTATTTATTTAACATTGTTACTGCGTCACTTCGTCTGTTCATAAGGTACTCCTACTATGAATTATTTCTTATCGTTGAATTTTAATTACTATTTCCTCGCAATCTTCTTGTTTTGAATTTTTAGCGACTTTGACATCATGATCAAGGGTTGGGTCCGATCCATGTACTCTAATTGTTCCATTTCTTTTTCATGCGTATTTTATATTTATTTACCGTAACGTACAAATATATTTCTGCTTATCCTTCCATTTGGTTATTCCGTTTTTTTTTTTATTTTCTCATTATAAAAGAACATTTTCAAAGTTTCTGTTTCCCTTTTTTCTTTCTTACATCCAGCATTCTTGACAATATTGTGGTTAATTGTTCCGAGATTTTGTTAGAATTTTATTTAAATTTAATTTTATTATTTGACACTTTGATTTTCAATAAATATTTTTGATAATGTTTTGACCTTTTCTCTTACTTTTTCTTAAGCATAATAATTATTGCCAATAATATGTTATTTTTTTACCAGGCGTGTTATTATTTATGTAGTTTTTAGATTTATAATTTAATCGATTACATACTTTTGTGCGTTTGAAAGTGTTTTATTTTTTTTTTTTTAAGACGCAAACACAATTTAGTTGTTTTGTTTGTTTATAAAGGAAACTATATGTATTTAAACGTTATATATGATTTCAGACAAAGGGTTCGTTCTTTGGGTCTGATTGGTACTAAATGGTTGCCTGCAGACAGCATGTCTACTCTGTCAGGGCTCGTGTCGAAGGGGGAGAAAGGAAAATCAAAGTTTCAATCATTAGACATCAATAACTTGTACCGGGTGAGTAGGGTGAGTTGGCCAAGCAGTTTTGTTCATTTATCTCTTTTATCTTTTACTTTTCCATACATACGATTTTTCGCGTAACTTTATGTTTACAGTAATTAATAGATGCGATTAATTTTGTTTTATCGTTGTTATTGTTCTTGTTATTACTTGTTATTAAGTTATTAAGTTACAATTATCAAGTGATTATAAAAAAATAAACGTCTTTATAAAAAGAAATAGAGTTGGTATCTGGTTTATTTCGAATGTAGGGAGAGTCTTTAGAGCAACATCAACAAAAAAATACATTACCACGTAAACATGGAATGCAAAGTCTTGGAAAGGTGCCTTCGGCACGACGACCTCCTGCTAATCTGCCTAGTTTGAAAAGTGAACATAGCAGTAACGATCCAGCTGTTAGTCTTGTACCAAGTGGAGGAAGTGGTTGGGCTACTACCAAAGATTCAACGACCACCACTACTACTACGACTACTACAGCTGTAACCACACCTGATACAACTACTGTAAGTTTCCTGACATCTCCTGTTTCAATCAATAATGATTTACTTATGATAAATTCTGACTAATATTCGCAAATCATAGGAAATGTTTTTAAATAATTATGAGATGTATATTTGTACTATTTACGTATTTCTTAAAGATCTGAAAAACAAAACGATAATATTTATGTTTTGTCAATATAGTCACATTCTTCGCCGACACAATGTGTACCAGGGACTACTGTGACGGCATCGCTGCATCCGCTACTTCCAGGACAACAAAGTATCTCACAGCCTCCGTATTCTTCCGACATAAACAGCAAATCATCATGGAGTGCAATAATGAGCAGATCTGGAGACGGTTTGTAAAATTATATGACACGTTTATTAACATTTTCTTGGATTTACATAAATTTTGCGTATAATTCTAGCGTAAGATTAATCAAGTAATCATATAAAATAGAAATATTCGATCATTATTCTTTCGTCGATATTTAGGTACTGTAGCAGGAGGCCAACAACAATCACAACAACCGCAACAGCAGCAACAACAACAGCAGCAGCAGCAGCAGCAGCAACAACAACAGCAACAACAGCAATCGGTAAATCGGGAATTAAATGCACAATACGGGCCCGGACCAAGTTTACGACCGCAAAGTAAGTAAATATGAAAAATGTATATTTTGTAAGTTTCGGGTTAAGGCATTTTTGTTTATTCAATGAAATTGTGTATTAGCGGAAGGAAGTTGGATACAAGGTGGAAGCCGCACAAACAGTGGTGCGGGAATAGGTGCGGCTCCTGGTTCCGGAAATGGAACCACTTCAGCGGTCCAGGCCCCCCCTTTGAATATCAGTGGATCGGGAGGGCATTCAGACATATCTGGTGGCGGTCGACAGAACTTGGTCCAGTCTCCCAACATGGGCATGGCCCAGGGAGGCCCTCCTCATAGTTCGGCAAATAGTCAGAACACTTTAAATTCTAATTCCCATCAAGTTGGCTCAAATCTCCATCATTACAGAGGACTTATTCCCCCATTTGTAAGTTTTGTTGTTGTTATTATTATTATTATTATTATTATTATTAAATAGTACTATTATGTTACTATTAGATTGTCGTTAAATGTGGATTGAATCGATTCTTGTAAATAACCATAGATATCTGTAAATTTTTTTAAAAAAATTTAGTTGTACAGAGGAAACTTTTCTGGTGGATTCCCTTCGCAGTTTCCGCCGAACACGAGTTCCAGCGGGCCTAGGCCCCGGTTCAATTACTCGTCAGAACGATTTCCTGCTCCACCTCCTATTCGTCAACAGGAACGCGATCAGCGTGTTCCCGAGGAAGAAATCGTTACGCGACCAATTATTAAGGAAGAAGATCTCACTCGAATGGACGATATTTCGCGCGATGCTGGTTGGGCAGCACACGACGATATCGATTACAATCAAAAACTTGCCTTCAGCGATGAAGAACCCGATTCTGAACCATCGAAAAAAGATGAAAAGAGAGATACCAAGGAGGAGAAAAGCGAGGAAATTTCGACAGAAGATAGGGAGAAAATTAGAGGTAATCGCGACAATCGCGATGATCATGATAATCGAGATTCGAAGGAATCCCGAGAACAACCGATTCATCGGACGTGGACTCAGAGCTCTGTACCTCGTGATTATCGTGGATCCAACGGGTCTGGTAGTTATAGCGGTCAGTCACAACTGCATTCGGTGCATTCTTTAAGAGGTCAGAATATTTATGTGACGTAGATGCATTCAGTAGTTTAGATTCGTTTTCATTACCACGTGCCATTTGATCAGTCGTAAAAATGTGTTCTATGTAAGAACAATGTATTTATTAATATTTGTTATTTTTACCGTAAAAACAGGAGTGGAAGACGACGAAGCCTGGAACGAAAGGCGCAGACTAAAATTTGAAGTAGCATCTGCCGTTGAACGCGCTCGACAACGCAAAGAAGAAGAGGAGAAACGGTACCAGGAATTGACTAGGCAAGCGGCAGCTAAGAAGTTACAAGATTTGGAGCAAAAATTAAAAGCTAAGCACAAAGAAGAGGAACGTGGACAATCGAACGAGTCGAAGAGTTTAATAAACGTTCCGCCGGTACCAATTCCAGTTCCTGATTGGGAAAGGGAACGAGAAAATAGAGAACGAGAGAGCAGAGAAAGAGAGCGACCTTGCGCCGCTACTTCCGAGGGAAAAGATGAAAAGTCGTTGAACCGTGAATTGCGCGAAACCAGAGACAGTCCAAAAGATGGTAGAGAATCGCGCGAGCCGTTAATGTCGGATTTCCGGCAAGGTGACCGTGATCGGCAAGGTTTCGCGAGACAACCGGATATCGTGCGTAACGAACGCGAAAGGGAACGAGAACGGGAACGAGACCGTGATCGCGATCAGAGAGATACGAGAGATCGTGACCATTTAGCGTTCTCTCGGCATTTTCAAAACAATTTACCACCTCGATTTCAAAAACAACAAGCGGAAAGAAGCGGCACTGGTTTCAGTCGAATCTCGCCTTCTACCGAAAGATCATCGACTCAGTCGGTTCCTTTCTCTCAACAGTACGATCCTGGTAGATGGGTTCATAATCATGGTTCTTTAAGTAAGTATCTTTGAATATTTTATTTTAATCCTTTTGGTGCTTACAACCTCTTTCTAACGGTATCCAACCGATTCTTCTATCTTTTCCTTCGAGACACGAGAATAAATTTATACGATATATTTCTAAAGCGTGTTCGCGTTGCATCAAAAAGATTAAATGTTGCTATCACCGTGTTTTCTTTGTCGAGACGATTAATGTTCTTTGTATCGAATTCGATTTGTATTAGTAGACAATAACTTAAAAGCAGCACACGGCAATGCACCGCAACGTCGCAGTAGGACGGATTCCGATATTTCTACTTCGATGGACGAAGATCGACCTCCGTCTCGAGATTATCGTGGTTCTCTCCTTCGCGACGATCGATATCGTCATTCTTCGCATCGACCATACGATGCCCGGAAATCGGCCAGCTATTACGACGAATACAGTCGTAATTGTAGAGATCATGATTACGACGACAGGCATTCTCGCGATTCTTGGGAACGCGAACGATACTTCGATGATAATAAAGATCGAGATTCGAAGGACGGATTGGAAACAAGAGATGTAAGGGAGAATCGAGATATACGCGATAATCGTGCTAACAGAGACAATCGAGATTCGAGAGAGAATCGAGACAGGGATAGCAAAGATAAAAAGGATTACGACAATTATTTAAAGGTATATTTCTTGGAATTCTCTTATTTCGTATATTATTGCCATTCGTGCGTGTTAATTCTTAATTTGTGTGTGTTGCCAATAGGATCCCTTCGACGAACGCGACCGCGACCGTGAACGCGACCGTGAACGTGATCGCGAACGTGATCGTGATCGTGATCGTGATCGTGATCGCGATCGCGACCGTGATCGTGATCGTGATCGTGATCGTGATCGTGATCGTGATCGTGATCGTGATCGTGATCGTGATCGTGATCGTGATCGTGATCGTGATCGTGATCGTGATCGTGATCGTGATCGTGATCGTGATCGTGATCGTGATCGTGATCGTGATCGTGATCGTGATCGTGATCGTGATCGTGATCGTGATCGTGATCGTGATCGTGATCGTGATCGTGATCGTGATCGTGATCGTGATCGTGATCGTGATCGTGATCGTGATCGTGATCGTGATCGTGATCGTGATCGTGATCGTGATCGTGATCGTGATCGTGATCGTGATCGTGATCGTGATCGTGATCGTGATCGTGATCGTGATCGTGATCGTGATCGTGATCGTGATCGTGATCGTGATCGTGATCGTGATCGTGATCGTGATCGTGATCGTGATCGTGATCGTGATCGTGATCGTGATCGTGATCGTGATCGTGATCGTGATCGTGATCGTGATCGTGATCGTGATCGTGATCGTGATCGTGATCGTGATCGTGATCGTGATCGTGATCGTGATCGTGATCGTGATCGTGATCGTGATCGTGATCGTGATCGTGATCGTGATCGTGATCGTGATCGTGATCGTGATCGTGATCGTGATCGTGATCGTGATCGTGATCGTGATCGTGATCGTGATCGTGATCGTGATCGTGATCGTGATCGTGATCGTGATCGTGATCGTGATCGTGATCGTGATCGTGATCGTGATCGTGATCGTGATCGTGATCGTGATCGTGATCGTGATCGTGATCGTGATCGTGATCGTGATCGTGATCGTGATCGTGATCGTGATCGTGATCGTGATCGTGATCGTGATCGTGATCGTGATCGTGATCGTGATCGTGATCGTGATCGTGATCGTGATCGTGATCGTGATCGTGATCGTGATCGTGATCATGATCGTGATCGTGATTGTCGTGATCGTGATCGCGAACGAGAACGCGAACAGCGAGAACGTGAACGAGAACGCGAACGCGAACGTGAACGTGAACGGGAACGAGAACGAGAACGAGATCGAGATCGCGATCAAAGGGAACGATCGGAGAGTACGGAATGGCGCGAAGAACGTATAATTCAAGAAAGATCGATCGATAATCGCCGTGATTCCCAGAGAGAAGAGAGAATGGAACGCAACGAACGGCCACAAAGACCAGATTCTCGTGACAGTCGCACTTCCAGGGAATCGAAAACGTCTTTGCGCGAAGACGATTCTCACAAATTGCGAGATTGCAGTTCTTGGGTGAACGAAGTTGTCGATTACGAGGAAAGTAAACGTGATATGTATCACGAGGATACGAGAGACAGAGAAAGGGAGAGGGAAAGGGAGAGGGAGAGGAGGCAGCCGTTGGGGCCCGTGACCAAAGAAAGAATCGAGGCAGACGAATTGAAAAACGAAAAACGTAGCTTGACTCAGTTGAAACGAGCCGGTTGCGATTCGGATAAAAAGGATCAGACGAAGGAATGTACAGAAACGAAGAAAGAAACGGATGTTTGGAATAGGAAGCTCGAACGAACGAACGAAAATGCAAGAACGGCGGAAAGAAGCGACGGCTCTCCGAAAGCGTGGGCTGACGCCGTATCTCCGACGTTCGACAAAGAAGAAAAACTTTTGGAATGTAATAAGAATGAGAAAGATACGGAGGACTTGAAGCAAAGTTTCGAGAAATTGAGCTTGGAGAAAAGAGAGGATACTCTGAACGAGGAAGTGACGGAGTTGCAGGCTAAAGAAGATAAACGGGAGAAGAATACGCGAAACAGAACGAGTAGCGGCGGATCAAATTCTAGAGTTCGGGATTCGCGCGGAGGACGTCAATGGGGAGGCATGTACAGCGTGTACGCGCGAGGATGGCGCGGTCCGGAATCGAGAGGACGAAGAGGTGGACCTAGAGCGGCAGCTAGACCCGCTTCCGCCAGGAGCGGTTCGTACGGACACACCGATTCGGAGAACAGTGCCGACGAGGTATCCGGTTCCACCGAATCCGGTAAGGAGGAGAAAAAATCCGCGAGGTCGCCGAAACTCGGTAGCCACAAGTCGGAAAAGGAGGAACGCGTCTCCGGCAGAGACGATAAACGCGCCGATTATTCACAGTCGCAACGCAACGAGAAACGAGCTTACGACGCGAAATCGAATCGCGAAGGTTTTGCTCCTTCGGGAGAACCGTCTCGTCGCGGTCGTGGTAGTTTTCGCATCCGTAGCGCGACTACTGCTGGCAGTCGTATGGAAGGATACGGTCCGCCGTCGAGTAAAAGTCCTTTCTCTTCCGAACGCGGTACCGACGAGAAACAAAGTTGCGCGCGACAAAATCCTTCGACACCTACCCCGGAGAAGGAAGTCGGCTCTTCGATATCATCTTCGCAGCTTGAGTCTGCCGACGATAAGATAATAGCGAAACAACAAGCATTGACAGCTGGAATAACTGGAAAACGTGCCAAATCACCGAATCAACAATCTCAGCAGTCCCAACAGGCTCAGCAGCCTTGCAATAAACAGGAAGCGAGCCATGCAACCGGTAACGTTGTTTCTCAGAAGGTGCAGTTTAGAAAAGAAGAAACACGCTCGAAAAGAACGCGCAGCGGAAGCAGAAGGGTAAGTATATTTGGATATTTAAACGACGAATCGACAATTGACGCACTTAAACGTATAAATCTGTAAAAACGAGAGATAAATAAAATAAAAAGATGGGGGAAAAGGAAAAAAAAAACAAATAAAAGATAGAAAAGAAACAGATACTCTTTTGTCGTATTCGTTTTGAAAATATGAAGGTTTACGGTGTACATCGAAACAAAGCGATTTACGGTTTACGCTCGAACTCGTTCCTGTTATGTTTGTAGGGCAGAGACAATCGTGAACTACGATACCGCGGGAATGGCAGTAACGCGTCGAAGCAAACCTCTTCGGACGTAGGAAACGAAGATTGGGAAACCACTTCGGAGAATAGCGGCGAAGAACACGTGGACGAGCATAAAGATTCCCGCAATAGTCGTAATAAACAATTCACCGTGTGTACAAGCACGGGTAATAGTCAAAATATGGCCGCATCGAACATGCATTCTCGCAGAAACGAACAAATAGGAAATAGCCGGGAGCAGCGCGAGAAAGGTTTAAAGTCTTGTTCGAATACAACGTCGTCTCGGGCCCCGGGCGCGGAGAAACGAAACTTGCAGAATTCGAGTTTCGCCAATCAGAAAAGTCATTCGAACAGCATTCCGCCGTTGATACAAAGCTGCCAAGTGCAAAACGGAAGATCGAGAAATCAAACTATCGGAAGTAATTCGATGACTTCGAGTAAAACGACCGTTAAAGATACCGCGACGGTGAATCGTATGGAGGACGTAAAATTATCCGATCCGAATTTGATTGGTCAAACTGTTAACGACGCTAACAAAAAGTCTCAGGGAAAGGAGAAGAAAACGATGGTCGAGTGCGACGGGGAAACAAATAGTTTCGTCGAAGATGTATCGAACGCGATCGAGGATAAGCTCGATTCGGATGGTTTTCAAGAGGTTCGTTCGAAGAAAAACGTGAAAGAGTCGAGACACGGACAGAAAGAAGAAACGAAACAACCGATCAAACGCGAAAAGGAGAAGGACAGAGAACGCGATCGTTCAAAGTCGAAAACGAACGGCTCGCAAGCAGCCTCTCTGCAACAGGTGCAAAATATACCCCCTTTGTTGAGTCAAACTATTCCACAACCTGCGAATATCCAACAGAAGCAATACGACAGAACGTCGAGAAATCAGAAGCTCGCGCCGAGATTCCAAAAGCAGCGTTTAGCGAAACAGCAACAGCAACAGCAGATGTGCGTGTCGGAAGGTACCGATTCGAATAAGATAAACAATTCGAATAATTATGGTAAAGACTCGTCGAGCGGACCTGCACCTCCGCCCTCCGTAAACGCGTGGGATAAACCGTTTACGACCAGTCAGCTGCGATCGAATTCTCCGTCCGCGGTATCCGCCGACATTCAACTGATACCAGGTTTGTCCGTGCAAAACGATCACGGTCACGGCGGCCACGGTCATAGTCACGGTCATGGTGGTCACACTGGCCATGGTCATGTTCACGGCCACGAAGCTAACGAGCAAACGAATTCTGGAAATAGTAGTCAACGAAATTCGCCGAACAGCGAGAAACCTGGGAAAAATATGAAAGATCAACTCGCGGAGAAAAGCTCCGTCGCCGATGTTTCTTCGCCTCCTGTCCAAACGTTGATATTCGAAAATACAAATTACTCGAAAACTACCAAGGCCGGTCCATCCGATTTAGCGGTGAAGACGAAATTTCCGAATCATATAAAAACTCAACAGCAGCAACGCGTCGAGAAACGCGCGGATTTGGAGGAAGAGGGTAACGCCAGCAGCATTCAACAACAGCAACAGCAACAAAGTCTCCCTGTTGCGTTTTCGAATAAGCCGAACGATTTGATAAAAGACAAGAATCAAGAACCGATTCAAATGCCGCTTTCGTTCAATAAGAACGAAGACAATGCTGACATGAAATTAGATTTCACTTTCGATTCGGATCTGTCTCAGTTGACCGAGGATAAAAGCAAAAGTTTAGGGATGACTCGATCGATGCACATGGCTACCGGTCAAAATACCATATCACCTTCTACCGCAGAGTTGAATCTGAAAATTGCCTCGGTAAAGAAAGTATGGGAAAATGCGCCTCCGATGCCAACCGTGGTTGAACACGAGGATGGCAATGTCGTCAGTAGCGCTAATACCTTTCCTCAACCGTTCGAAAGTACGGACGTTGACGATAGTTACAGCCCTCATCAACAGTATAATCAAAATAACATGAAAAATGAAATAACCACTTCTACGAACGTGTGCAAGGTAAGAAATCATTTCGCGAACATTATCATGTTGTCATGCATGCATATCTGAACTATTACATCACTAGAAATTGACTCGATACTCAACATAAATTCAACTAAAATATATATTCTTATTTATTAATTATGTTATTTATTTCGATTTTCTGTTTCCCTCGTTCGTATTTAAAAGTTCCCTTAGCCCATTTGCATCACCGACCGAAATATTACGCGAGTCCAAATAATTCGCTTAATAGCGACTGATTATCGAATTTTTATGCAAATGGGTCAAGTAAGATTCCATGGTGAAAATGAGAAAGGTAAGTGGCTAACGCGCATCATTCGTTTCTCTTTCATCTAGAACACACGTACCATTTCTTTTTCTATCGACTACTTCGTCACCGTTACCCGTCCTTCTCATCGTATCGAGAAATTTTCATCTTTCCTAACGATCAATATTTTTACTATTTTCGATTTATCGTTCACGCTCCCGTCAATTATTATCATTAGCATCTCGCGCTAGATACCTTCGATCATTCTCCTTTTTCTTCTTCTTTATCTTCTTCTCCTTCTTCTTCTTTTTTATTTTCCTCTTACTTCCCACCTCTTCCGACTATTGCTTTTACTACTTCTGTTTACTACATTTTTCCACCTAACCGAGCTTACGCGATTAGCAATTAACCTAACTGTTTTCACCAAAATGCAGAAGATTTATTAGGAAAAGTCGGTCTTCGAAATCCGCGTTGTTCGATCGGCATCATTTAATGCAGCAGTTGATAGTGATGTAAATAGAAAACTAAATAACGAAACACCATGTCCCCTGTGGGAAGATGCTGACTCTTTGCCTGATGCGCAGCTGGTTCCCCCGCAGGTGAAGCCGCAGCAACAATCTTCGGGTAGCAGTAGTGGTCAGTCCGGTTCGACTGTTCCCGGACCGAGTCCTATCGGAGCAGGTCAGAGTCCTATTGGTCATCCTCCTGTTAGTCTTCAAGGACCACTGAGTCCCCCTCCATTCAACTCTACCGGGCAACCTTCTCATATCAATTATCAGGTGCAGTTTTATTCGAATTACGTTTCATTTTCGTATCTAGTCATTTTATCTTACATCTTATATCTTGTATTTGCCCGTTTTTATTTTCATTTCGTCGTTATCATTTATTATTTATTTTCAGGAATTTCCTCAGTATCCTGGTTCTCAAGCCGCGCAGTATGGAAGCATGTCTGCCATACCTTCTCCGCCAGCTGTACTATTTAATACTGGCTCTGGTCAACTACCAGCTCAAGCGGGAGGTCTTTATGGAGCATTTCAATTAGATCAAAACCGATCTCCTTTCACTCAGTATCCTCCGTATGCTCCGTCGCTTCAGAATTCATTCAGTCAACAAAATGTTTACTTGCAACAACCTCCACCACCGCCACCGCACGCACCTAATGCGCCTACGCCGGATATGTATCAAAATAATCTTTCGCAATACCGCATTGTAAGTACGAAATTACAGTATTCTCTCTGCCGTTTTTCGATCTAACGATTTTTCAACATAATAATCTCTATCCTCGTATCGATATCGTGACAAAAACAATATTCGCTGTTGAAATATCCGAATGCAACGTATTTATATTGTATTTATGCCTTTCAGTCAGTTAGCGAACGGATCACCACCTTCCTGTACGATAACGTTCATTTTTTGTAGACCGCAGCTGCTGCTCCGCCGTTTGGACAAAATCAACAGCTCAGTAACAATCCGAACACCGTTCTTATTAGTTCCTCCTCGAATTCATTGATGTCAGCTAGTGTTAAGCCATCTTCTCAACCCATTGGCGCCATTGGAACTAAAGCTCCACACTTTCAAGCTCCGTCGGCACCTCAACCAAATCCAGTACGTCTTTTAGTTTAGTTCAACGAGATGTAGTTTGTGCTTGCTCTTGCACGACATCCTTTATCGGATTATTTCGAAGATACGTATGTCTTTTTGTCTTTTTTTTTTCTTTTTTTTTTTTTTTTTAGTTAACGTACATACCATATGATCCAAATCAAGTACTCGGCGTGAGTGGCAGTTACATGGGCAATTCCCAATTGGTACAGAGACCTGGTCCGAACGTTCAAGCCTCGGCCAATAGTTATTATAGCGCTACTTCGGCTGGTAAGTAATATGATAATTTACCTAAAACCACTCGCTACCTTTGAATCGTATCGTATCGTATCGTGTACGTATGTGTAAGGTCCTTCGATCATGTTTTCAGATGTATTCCCCGGCTCGCAAACAGGTTTTTATCAACAAGGAGGTGCTACGCAACAGACTGGTACTCATTACGGCCTGCAAGGATTTGGTCAACACAGCCAAAGTTTAGCAACTGGCAATGCTACTCCCGTTGGTCTTCAGAATTTTAGCACTGGATTTTTATCCAGTTCAGGTTTACAGATTGCTGCGGCTGCAGCGGCTCAACAATTTCGCAATCCTACTGGAGGACTTCCTGGACCAGCGAACGCTGGCCCTACCTTTCTTAGTAAGCATCAACCGCAAGAACAACCTAGACAGTTAAAGAGTCCTTCGGGAAATCAGCAAGATGTCCTTGCATCAGTTTTCAGTTCTAGTAAGTCCAATTGTTTTTTGCGTCGATGTTGCGTTAACGATGCCGCTACTCGCGATTTCTGATCACGATTATGATCAAGTACTTTTCTTAGCGCCACAGATACCGTCTCCCAAATCGAGAAATTGTAAACAGCAATCTACGTCTCAGCAACCACAACCGAGTCCCACGCAACATCACAAGTATCAACAGTATCAAGGAGTTAGTCAGTCGACACTGGTAAGCAACTGTAGCTGCCTAAACACAGATGCATTTAAGAATATAATTCACGAGTGAACAATTTGAAATTTAATCAGGATTGAAGCGATATGAGAGAATATAACGTAAATTTCGTTTGATATATACCGACACGCTACCAACGAAGAATTGACTACTATAAATTACAGGTTTTACAACAAAATGTTCGCGGTATGGGTATGCCACCACGCGCTGGCATTCAACCATCGCAACAACGTTATCCGCCACCCATTCAGAGACCGGTTGTTCCATTTACACCGGGTCCAAATCCTAACAATCCTTCGCAACAACAGCCTAATTGCATTCAATCGCAGCAGCAACAGCAAGCTCAGATTAATCGTCATAGACCGAATTTACATCAGCAACAACAACAACAACGTAATATGAAAATGCAGCAACAATATTATTCAACCCAAGGTTAGTTTCCGTTATGTTTCTATGCAACGAAAAATTATCGAATGATCGAATCGTCGCGATAGTAAGATCTCTTGTATTCGTTCTTTCTTCAGGAAACGTTAAAATAGACGCGAATGAAAAAACAGATTCTCATAATGACAAAATCAGCGACGGTAATTCCGGTGCTCAACAAGGAAGCACTAAACCCAATGTGAATTCGCAAGACAATGACAATAAGGAAGAGGTGAATCAACAAAACGAATGAATTTAAAACAAAAGAAAAACGTTCGTCTTATCCCTCGGAAAGTACTGTTTACCGCTACGTATTAGTATGACATCGATTGAAAGGTAACTGATAATAATTAATTTGTTGTCACGAATGGAGCAGGCTATACTCCAATTGATAATCGTGTATTGTTCTACAACGAGTTGAAGCACTTTCTGCGTTTAGAATCAATAACTCGGTAACTTGGTCGTGTCTAGTTAGAATAACTTAATCACGATATACTGGAAAACGGTAAAAGTAGGTGATGTCGTCGTTACATGCAACAATATTTTCCCACGTTAACTATTGCGACGTTACGTTCCATGAACTCTCGACGAACGGAACATTTTTATTGGACATTCCTTTTTGTTCGACAGAATACTGCAAATTGCAGCGGAACAATGTCACGAAAGAATAATGAAATAATGTCTCCCTCCCTTGCCGCATCGCCCCCTCCCCACACACATACACACACACACACACACACGCTTCCTCCTCCCCTACCCTTTCTCCCCATCGCTCCGCATAAATAAAAAGAAAGCAAATAAACATTGGACGATACATTGGAAATAAGATAGCCGAAAGTCTCGGCGAAATACTTCGATGAAAGAGACTGTGGCATCTTCGACTCGTCCACGACATATATATATATATATTGAAAGTCGAAAGAGTCAAATAATTCAAGTGGCGCGCACAATGTATCCCTTACTCGGTGTTAATCGATTATCATAACAGTTAACTGAATTGCACTGACTATGAAGACAACAAACGTGCACAAGACTTCTGTATATGGACAAAAATTGCGGTTTGTGGTATACGAATAATGTAAAAGCCAGATTTCCGTGGAACGTACTTCAACGAAGAAGATGTTGCGTGATCGTTGCCACATTTTATAGAACGACAAAATGGAAGAAAAAGAATAAAAACAAAGACCGATTAAAAAAAGACTGTTTCGTGTGTATCGAAATTGCATAAACATAAAAGTATTCGTGCAATGGTCGAATAGATCTGCATGATGTTGTCCCTAATTACAGCGTGACAATTAAAAAAAAAGTTCGTGTACATTAATCATTTACGGATATAATGTGAGGTCATGACGAAGCTTGTGAAAAATAAATAGTGCAACAATTGTTTATAGTACTAAATATATTATCATGACCTAGCCATGCTCAGAAAGAGTATCAGTAATATTAGAAATGTAATGTAAGGTATCGCTTGAATAAGAACGAAACACGCACTCGATTTCTTCGTGCGTAGTAATATTTCTACTAGGTTGCAACATTATCGCAATGTACAAGTCGTAGACAAAAATTGTATATTCTTTTTGCTTTTCTTGCGTTTCGCGCAATTATAATTATAATAATTATCATTATCATCATCTTCGCCCACATTATCATCGTATTTTAATTTTATTTTCAATACTATCGTCGTTGTCATTATCATCATTGTCATTATTATTTCTATTATAACATTATATTATATGTATTACCATTGCCGTCGTTGTTACTACTGCCGCTGCTACTATTACTTATTACCAGAACCGCTACCAACGTCATCAATTCTGTCATTATTTTTCAACTTGTTACGGTTATTATTACGATGGTGATCGTCGTCGTCGTCGTCGTCGTCGTCCTCGTCGTCGTCGTCGTCGTTGCCTGCATTATTTTTATTATCAGCATCTGTACCGCGACCACTATTCCTCATAATTACGATCATTATAAAAACGAAACCGATGAAAATAAACAATAATATTTACAAGAATTCATTTTTAACAATTTTACTGAAACAACGAAAGCTTATTTAAGATATCACGGAACCACTATGCTACTTACTGCCATTCACATGATAAATTACCATTCGCAATCTAAATACTATCTTAGTTAATTATTTATTTATGACACGAAACAGAAAGCAGTGATATATGTATGTTACAATTAATCGAGCCATTGATAAATCCAGTATTTATAAAACGCTCACATTTAGTTTTACGTGAATTTCTTTCTTTTTATATCTAATGGCCTTGAATAAAATTACGAATTACGATAGAAAAATTTGTGCTTGATAATCGTTTAAAATACGGGTGCCTTCCACGTACTGCCACATACATACGCATTTTTTCTTTTCGAAATTATTTCGATTGACGTTAAAAAATTGTGGTGTTTCATTGAAACGTTCTTTTTCCTAATCTAATGATCATATAGAAAATGCTTCGAATCAAGGACAATATAGTGAAATATAAAATATTTGTAACCCGATCACTTTGTTCGAATGTAATGGCATAGAAAGGGACGAAACGAGACACTCTCCGGCAATATCGTAGATAACGAACAATGCTTTAATAATAATAATATCGTTTCATTTTTTTCATCTTTATATATAAGTAGTATTATTTGTAATAAGTAGCGTTACTACTACTACTAACAATACTACCAGTAGTAGTTAATAACAGCAGCAGCAGCAGCAGCGACAGCAGCAGCAGCAACAGCAGCAGCAGCAGCAGCAGCAGCAGTAGTAGTAATATCAGCGATAGTATTCTATGTTGAAACTAAAGTATCTGTTTAAGAAAGCATGTATCTTCACTGGCTCGAAGCTAAAATCGTCAACCTGTAAATATGATATTTTAATCCAGTAAAAGATATAAAAAAAAATCACTGGTGATATCATTTACGATTATAAAAAATGTTATTGAGCCCTTGATTCATTTTGGAAGTTGAACGACAGTAGTTGTGGTGGTGCTACTAAATCGTTGAAATTGTATAGCCACTGCAGCATTATCGTTACAAATTAGTTAGAAATTAGTTAAAAATTAGTAAAATCAGTATTAAATTATTAATATTTATAACATTAAAGCTATCACTACTGCTGCTGGCGTTATTGATCGATTGCAATAGTAAATATTCTAGAATGACATATTATTTACTGTTACAATAGTGCTATTATTTCGTATTTAGTAATATCGTATCGTATCGTATCGTATCATTTGATTTTTTACGTTTAGAATATTATATTATTTTTTGCATTTCTTCTTTATTCCTTGTAACTCCCTCGTTTACATTATTAGTTCGAGTATGTTCTTTATATTCTACTTATTTTCTATTGGTACCATTTTAATTTAACATAATTATTGCTAACAATCACCGTCATCGCTATAGCTGTCGTAACGTAGTCGTTATTGTGATTATAATTACCGTATAATTATACGATGTTACGTGCTCTGTGAATTTGATATACCAATTTTTCTCGAGATTCGCCAATTAAATATAATACAATAAACTCTTATATACTCGGAATGAACGGCGATCAAACCGTTATTGCCACTACTGTTGGTCATAATGTTAACGTTGTTAATAGTGACGATGTAACTGTCATTATTGTATTCGTGCTTGATCAAAGGAGCTGATAACAGGAAAACGAAGAACGAACTGTGAACGAGTAAGTAAAAAGAAAATACGGTGTCCGACGCGAAAAAGTATCTCGAAATACTTGTAATTCGAATACAATGATTCATCTGTTTACTTATTATCGATAACATGCGACATAATCCTTTTCCGGATTATATACCAAAACCGTACAGAATTCGAGCGCAAGAGTCTGTCTGTTGGATTATAACGTTACTCAAATAATGATAATTATTTGTTTATAATAAAATTGTAATATACCGAGATACATTTTACAATAGAAAAGATATCAACTGTCTTTACACGTATTTTACAATCATTTACTACTAGCGTTAAATTTAAAGATACGTTGTATATGAATGTATGTACGCATAAAGCGCATGCATGTGGGCGATACACACAAAAAACGATGGGTTAACGATTATCGTTGTCGCATCCATACATTTATTACTTCTGACAATATGCATATACTCCGCTATTTCTGTATATATTTTTCATTTTAAATTTAATCTGTTAGTTTGAAACATTACAAACATATATGATACCAGATTATAATTTACATAAATAACGATTAAAGAACGCTAAATAATACTACACTCTTTGTAAATTGCGAAAAATCAATTAATAACAGACCCGTCTACCTAATTATAAATTGTAGACCATATGTATCTATTTATATAATTAACGGTTTAACTTATATAAATACTTACTAAAATACGAAAATAAAATAAATTCTGACGTAGGATTATTTTTCATTTATAATCGGTATTTAATATTTTCTTAATAGTTCGCCTAATCTTCTAAAGATATATTAATTAATTTTATTTATTTAATTATTTATTATCCTTGAAAGGAAAACGTAAAATTTTAGGTATCACACTAAAATCTCGTACATATTTACGAAATATTCGTAAGCGCGCTAGCCTATTGCACGTTTGTAAACAAAAAATAAGAAGAGGGGGCAGCAACGACACATAAAATAGAAGGCTCTTGTCATTTCCTTTACGTTTCTGCTTCCGTAGAACCATCATGCAAATTATTTGCTATTCTACTTCAGACTCATAATTTCTCTAGAGCACCAACCTTCGTTGGCATTCGCAAAATCATGTTCCCTCGTCAAGGAACAACGCATAAAGCTACAAATTTATTGTTGCGCGGAGAAATCAGGTGTAATTTTATAGTACGCGTGCGCTCTCTCTCTCTCTCTCTCTCTCTCTCTCTCTCTCTCTCTCTCTTTCTTTGCCTCACACACACGCGCGCGCGCGTGCAACTGAGCAAGTACATTTATTTATCTGTTTATTGGTTCTATTAAAAAAGTCTGTGAAAAAGAATACGTTATAAAAACGAAATAAATAAAAATTAAAAAAAAATGATTCAAGAACGCGATATGGAATTATTTTCAAACGCAACATGTAAAAATATTTGAATAGAACTATTTAATTATAATAAAATACTTTTTTATAACGTGTCCATTAATAAAACAAAAGTTCCATTGGTCTTCTATCAGTTTTATTAGCAAGTTATTGGTTAAGTTTTATTCACAGTCACTTTCTAGCAATAACGACATTCCTTTGTATGAGAAACTGAACACGAATTGAATTATTCCCAGCACTTTTTGCGGTTCTATTCTTATTACATTATTGCATTATTGCAATAGTGGAATATTTTCTTCGAAAAATAAAACTATAGTAACTATATTTTCCGACTATCAAGAAGATTCTTCAAAATTTAAGTTTAATGTAACGACATACGTACGTTTGTATCGTTATAAAATATGATTATTTTAAAAGAAAAATGTTTAAAGTAAGCGCCAGTTGAATCGGATTAAATCAATGTATATCATGTTAAAATAGAATTGGTTTTGTTCTCAAATGTATCGATTATATTTCTAAATCATGCAAAAAAGAACGAGTAAAAAGGTAATTACGCGTAATGAGAATTGTACTTAAGATAAAAATCATACTGCAAGGAATTATCATCGCAGTATCGTAGAAAGATTAAAAATGGCAGAACAGAACCTGTAATAGTTGATGCTTTGTGAAGTAACAGTTAATTTAGAATGATCGCGAAATAAATAATAAATCTTCTCGACGATTTCTTTTAATAAATGATAAGAATTTATTATTAGTTTACTGGTTTTTAACAGTTGTTTTGTGAGCACGCAACCTTTTCGAAAAAAAGCGTAACAATTAATGGGGAATGAGAGAAGTGCCCCTAGAGGGCTAGAAATTGACGAGAAATCTGTGGAAATAACAGACTTTTGGGTGCATTATACAGCTCATATGAACGATTATAATACTGACAAAGTTTCTGTATTTATCAGTGAACCATCGTTACACTATAATGCCAGTTTCGGAAATCCGTCTCCTTTAGAGAAAGCAGCAAAGGTTAACGTTAATTTATTGATTACCCCGTATATGATAGGATTACATCAATTCGTATACCAGTCGATATCACTTTACATTGTATATTTATGATAATATTATTTTTATTGATTAAATATTTTACAATTATAACGATAACAAATATATTTTTCAGAATTTAATGTTATATAGGCACCCTTGTATATTGAAATATATTTCTTCCTGGTTTAAAGGTAGTAAATTTTTTTTAACTACCGAACAAGTTAAACCATTAATACAATCGATAGAAGCACAGAGTACGTTACAAATATGCATGGGTTTATATAGTATTTTACGTGCCTTAGTCTTTCTTCACGAAAAAGCATTTATTTCCCATAATAATATTTGTGGAACTTCTGTTTACGTTACACCTGAAGGATGTTGGAAACTTGGCGGATTAGAATGTTTGTGTAAATGTAAAGAATTAACTTCTTCTTATTTGAAAAAAATAAGAAATTATAGGTATGAAAGAGGAATATCTCCTAACGAAGATATAACAGTTCTACCTATAAATTTTACAGCAATCGATGCGTACGCATTTGGAGTTTTAGCAGAAGACATACTAAAATTAAAGGATTCAGGTAAATAATATATATGACTTAATATTTATTATAGATTCCAAAAAAGTAACAAACAATAGTCCTGATAATTTTACATACGTGTATATATATATATATATATAAATATATATTGTTTCAGAAGATATTCCAGGACTCTTAGAGTTTAAACAATTTTGTAAAGAGAATTTGCAAAATTCAGATCCTGAATTAAGAAGCAAGTTATCAAATTTACTTCTACACCCATTTTTTACTCATGATTTTATGAGAATATATGCATTTTTGGAAGAATTACCCTTAAAGTGTAATCAAGAAAAAGAAATGTTTTTTGGGTAAACATTTTTAACAAAAGTAAAAGATTGTTATTTAACAAATAATGTTTAATTATTATTAAAAACATTTCATCGTGTTACAGAACATTAATAACGCAATTGAGAACATTTCCTGAAAATATTGTTGCAGAACAATTAGGACGATTATTACTTTCAAGGATAGTTTTATTAGATGTGACGGCACAAGAAAAACTTTTACCTTTTATCTTGAAACCAAGAGGTAAAAGATTTTCAATATTATTCCTCCACATTTAATGCTTATCTAGGATATTATATTAAACACTATGTAATGTTTACAGATAGGAAAGATGCAACAGATAATAATTTATTCACAGTTTCAACGTTTAAAGTTCATTTGGTACCCAAATTGTTACAGATGTTTTGTATACGAGATCTATCGATTCGTTTAGTACTTTTATCGCATTTCAATTCATTCGTGCATGCATTTCAAGTAGATGAACTAAAATCTCAAGTACTTCCTGAATTACTTGTTGGAATCAAAGATACTAATGACCATTTAGTATCTGCAACATTAAAAGCGTTAGCTTATATAGTTCCAATTCTTGGTGCAACCACTGTAATCGGTGGAAAGAGAGGGAAACTGTTTACTGATGGCCGACCGCATAAACTAAACGAAAAAGAAACAAATAACAGTAGTACAGATATAAACGAATTTATGGATTCGGTGAATGCGATAGAGAAATCGGTTAATTTACCTGAAAGACCTTCACCGGACGGAGGAGAAGATAAAAAAGAGGTTATTTCGTCTATTACCGAAGAAGAATATACATGGTCTGACTGGGATTTGCAAGAAAATGCCGCTAGTGACCCGCATCTTCTTATTTCACGATTTTCCGAAACAATTTGTCAATCTAATGGGGTTTTAGTCTCACATTCAACATCAGAGGTTGAGGATTCATTATTAAATACGAATACAACCGAAATGATAGAATCAAAAGCTACAAAGCAGAAATTAGATGTTTTATCGGATATTTCAGAACTTGATATCAAGAATTCGAAATTGTCAAATTGTTCCAAGGATGAATATGATTATTTCACAGACATGGAGCCGGTAATAAAAAAAACGCAAGTCCTACACGTACTAGAACCACAGATATTGTCAAAAAGTGTATTTGACATGAAAGCGTCAAACGAAGTCGAAACGACAGATGGGAGTAATGGATGGGATGAAGATTTAAGTGACTGGGGAACAGAAGATGGTGAAGAAATAAAAAGTTGAAAACTTTCTGCTCTATGTTCAAAGGATAAACTGGTTAATTCTGCTTATTTAAGTTATCGGTGTGAAATAAAGAAAGTATTTGTTTCTTTGTTTCATCATTTTGATAAATTGTGTGATATTTTTGTTAAAAAATACCAATTATGAAAAGTATCAATATCAGAAGAATACATGAATTACGTGTACAGTAAAGCCACGTTTGTTGATCGTTAAAACCTTTTGGTAAACGAATGCAAGTTACGTCCATTAGTTTGTAAAATTACTTTAGAGTGAGGAACGAAGCCTTTAACAAAAACAAGGACACATCGTGCTTTGGTTCCGATTAATACAGCCACAGTTCTGAAACTGCGGGCACATCAATCACGATCATTGTCTTATGTTTCTTTGTTTTCATCGACGGTTCGTTTCTCCAAAGCAACAACCAGCTTTCACGATTAGTACGATTACATTATAAACTGTCGAAAACTAGCGAATTGTAAGTACTTCCGAGGTTCAGAAATCAATCTGTCACCTCTCTGGAACCTATATGATGCCACAAGAACCTCCTAAAAGCGCTAGAAAAGAAAATTAAAAAAAAGGTCAAAACATGGACTAAAAAATTGGCGTCCATCTAGCGGTGAAAGTTGGAATTACAAAAACATAAAAATGCGATTTTTCTCGAAAATTAGCGAACTTTGAGTACTTCCAAGACTCAGAAAGTGTAATGTGATCGCATTAAAGGCAAAATAATGCAATAAAAGCTTCCTAAAGGCTTTAATAAAGAAAATAAAAAAAATGTCATTTTATGGAGAAAATTTGTGGCGCCATCTAGCGGCGAAGCTGCGAACTAAACTAAAAAACCGTATGTCCAAACACGCGTTAAGGGGTCAAATAAAAATTGATTTTCTGGGCTTAATAAGCAAAAAAATGAATATCTTATTCAATAAAAATTGCTTTAAAATGTCTAAAGAAGCATACTACGTCGTCAAAGTTGCGAAATATTACTTTTTATATTTTTCCTTAACGCATGTTCGGACATACGTTTTTTCGGCTTAGTTCGCAGTTTCGCCGCTAGATGGCGCCATAAATTTTCACCATAAAATGACATTTTTTTAATTTTCTTTATTAAAGCTTTCAGGAAACTTTTATTGATTTATTTTGCTTCTAATGCGATCACATAACACTTTATGAGCCTTGGAAGTACTCAAAGTTCGCTAATATTCGAGAAAATCGCATTTTTATATTTTTGTAGTTTCAACTTTCACCGCTAGATGGACGCCAATTTTTTAGTCCATGTTTTGGACTATTTTTCTATTTTCTTTTCTAGCGCTCTGAGGAGGTTCTTGTGGCATTACATAAGTTCTAGAGAAGTCACAGAACAATTTCTAACCCTCAGAAATACGTGAAATTGTCTAATTTCGGAGAAAATCGAAATTTTAGTTTTTCGTAGTTTCGCCGCTCGCCGCTAGATGGCGCCACCTGTACCGTTGTGGACCGAATTCTACAAAAATTGATTTCCTGGCTTTATTAGGCATCAAAACGCATCAAACCCTAATAGAAATTTGTTTCTAAATGCCTCAGGAACAATATTACGTCGTCAAAGTGCCGAAATATTCATTTTCTTATTTTCCTTATATGCGTGTTCGGACCCTCACTTTTTAGGATCAGTTCTTTCGTTGATTAATTCGTTCGTGGCAAGTCCGATTAAAATTTTTTTTTTCTATGTCCATCTGGATGTACATACGCATGTGCATGCAAAATTTGACGAGAATTGGTTGAGTGATGCAAAAGATAAACATAGACAAAGAAGTTGCAAAGTCAAGTATAAGAGCTTCGCTCGCATTCGGCTCGCTCGCTCAATAAAACAGTTATAAAAATATATGTTAGCGATGAACTTTTCTTTTTATCCTAGCACTACTTCTTTTCTAGAGTCCTTCTCAAAACTTATCTGTAGCATTCTGTTTTTCTTGGATTACAGTCTGGTTATTGTTCCTAGATTTGTTCCACTACCACTTTACTACTATGTTTATATCTTCCACTTCTAGGCACGATCTCTTTTTTTTTATTACGAATTTTCATCTCTTTACAGATGCAACTTAGCTTATTTCTTCTGTTATGGTCCCGCATAATTATCCGTTCTTACCGTTCACATATTTCTTTTCACCGTATGTATGATCATGAAAGTAGAAGTAGGTTATAGAATTCCACTTTTCTGTGGAATTTAAAGCGTATATTTTCGCAAGCTAAACGCCATCTTCTATAAGGAAATAAACTGAACTGAACTATTCGGCGGGAATTCTTTTGCGTATTTCGATTAATTTCAGCAGGCACATTTTCACCTAGAGTTGTTCTACCTTAATACGTTCTCGATTCAGTCAATTATATGCGTGGTGAAAAAAAATGTGTACATAAGGACAAGAACTAATGACATAAGTAATATACAAAATGAAAGGTCGCTGGGTATATACAGTTGAAACTGACATGCTCAAAGTGAACGAAAGCTGGTCAATCGACAAATATGTTCTCTGGTTGAACAGGCTATACGTGTAAAATAAACTAGATTCTAGGGTATTTGATTACGTTCCATTTTGTGAGGGCGCAACGAACATTCCTGACAACTTCCTTTTAGAACGTGGAACCTTCGACGAAACAGTTCGGTATCAACGTTTTGTCAGGTTTTTCGTTAGAATGGTGAGTAAAATTTTATTACGGTTGTTGTAATTCGATAAATAAAATTCCCAATTAATTATACAAATTTTTTAATTTCAATAAAAGTATGAGATGCATATTATGCGATTGGATTCATACAGGCTCGATTGATTATAAGCACAAATATAATCGTAGAAATTAACAGCTGTAAATTATTAACTGAAAAAGAATTATTAACTGAATAAGAAATTTTAAATTATCTAATTAACAATCGAAGTGAATTGTATTGCTAAATTTTTATATGATTTCCTTAATTCGTTTCTATAAAGAATAAAAATACTTTCCCTAAACATTGTAAATAATTTAAGTGAAAAAAAGATCAATATCCCTCGTTTTCAGGATTTATGTATTACATTTTAGGGTTTTGTAAAAGTTGTTAAAAATAAGCAGTATTTTAAGCGTTATCAAGTCAAATTTAAAAGGCGACGCGAGGGAAAGACAGACTACTATGCCCGTAAACGATTGACCATCCAGGATAAGAATAAATATAATACTCCTAAATATAGGCTAGTAGTACGCCTTTCTAATAAGGATATTACTTGCCAGGTAAATAAATAATTGGATATAGTATATATATGTTTTAGTTGTATTATTTAATTTTAGCATTCATATATAAATATACATTTGTATACATATATACATATATGTATAGGTGGCATATTCAAGAATAGAAGGAGATAGAATTGTATGCGCAGCGTATAGCCATGAACTTCCAAAATATGGAATTAAAGTTGGTCTTACGAATTATGCTTCTGCATATTGTACAGGACTTCTTTTAGCACGAAGAGTAAGCATTTTTATATTGTAGTATTGTATATCATATTTACAAGTACATATGTTTATTTAATGATGAAACACTCAGCTCGCTTTGATGCACAACTGAAGAAAACTCAATTGTTCCCTGTTTTATAATTCTGAATATCGATTAATGGCTGTAAACATAACTGAGATGATGTTTGGTATTAACACTAATATATATAATTTTTTTTTTTTCTATAGCTATTGAAAAAGTTAGGCTTAGACACTTTATACACAGGCATGACAGAAGTAAATGGAGATGAATATAATGTCGAAGAACTTGATAAAGGTCCTGGTGCATTCAGATGTTATTTGGATACTGGTCTTATGCGTACAACTACGGGTGCTAGAGTTTTTGGTGCCATGAAAGGTGCTGTGGATGGAGGCCTGAACATTCCACATAGGTATTATATCAATATATTTATTAGCCTTTAGTAATACCTAACATATTCTGCATAGAATATTGAAATATATTATTAATATTAAGTAAAATGATGATTCCACGGCACATGCGCGTCATCTGAGTTATAGCAAGGCATGACTTTGTATCTGTGTTCTACGATATAATGTAAAGCCTTTGCACGGACACAAAAGATTAAAGACCGTTTGTCTGATATTGTATAATTTTTTATAGCAATTGTATAAAAGTTAACTTGAAATCTAATTTTTCACTGTTTATTTCTGTTTGTTTCTTCAATGAATAGCACCAAAAGATTTCCTGGATACGATAGCGAATCTAAATCTTTCAATGCCGATGTTCATCGACAACATATTTTTGGACAACATGTTGCAAATTATATGAGAACATTAGAAGAAGAGGATGATGAAGCTTTCAAGCGGCAATTTTCACAATATATAAAAAATGGCATTACTGCTGATAGTGTAAGTTCTCTTATATTTTATTTGTACAATATCACTCGTCCAACTTATAATTACTGCTCAAGTTTTCAATCTCTGCAGTGTCGCAGTTGGACAATAGCAAGTGCATTAGTTTTGAAAAATAAATGTATGAATTAGTGCATTTTTTACAGTAACCTATGCTACATTTTATATATTTATTTGTACATAAATTAAGTTTTTATTTATTTATTAAAATATTGGTAAGATATATCCATTTATAATATAATTTTTATGAACAGATCGAAGGCATTTATAAAAGTGCTCATGACGCTATACGTGCAAATCCAGAACACACGAAAGTTACTAAAGAAAAAGTACCTGTTAAAAAGCGATGGAATCGTGCAAAACTTTCTTTGTCGGAAAGGAAGAACCGCGTTGCTCAAAAGAAAGCATCCTTCCTTAAAACTTTGGAAGAAGTGGAAACTTAATTATGTCATCTTATATCTGTGTCGACACAGATATTTATTTAGAGTGTGTAAGTCGCCTTCCATCATGAACGCGTGGTATATGCTCAGAAAATTTTGGTATCAAAATAAAAAATATTCAACAAACATTTTACAATTTTTACGTTATATTAATAAATGTATAATTGACATTAGATAACTGGTTAAAATCTAATTTTACAAAATGATGAAAATATAACGTACAATTGTCATAAACATTACGCATGTAACATGTTGTTTTTTTTACCCCTTTTTTTTTTAGAAACAATTGCTTCTGAAATCGAAATCGATATTACCATCAACTGGACATGCCATAAAACTATAAACTTAAAATGATATCGATCATCAGAAAAACAAAAATATTTTATAAGAACATAAAAGTAAATAATAAATAACTTATTTATTGAATTTTAATCCATGACTTACATCTTATTTCATACACATATTTCATAGACACTTTCGAATTTAAGGATAATATAATTAAATTATTTTATTCGTCATTTTCCTGTTGTTTTAAAAATGTCAAGAACTCTGTAATTAAACTTAAAAACGATTCGGTAATTTTCGCTTAACACGTTAATGAAAGTAACTCTGCACTTTTATCGTATCTTATATAAAAAAAAATTCAATGTTTACGGTAAATTGATATCTAGCATAACTATTCTTTTAAATTGACTTAAGACTATTTCATCTAGTTAATCTTAACCGCATAATTTGTTTGTTTTGCTTGAAAAAAGTATTCTGAACGTAGAAAGAACTATTAGTATCTTATTATAAATATGATAAGAACTATACGGAAATGTTACAAGAGCGAAAATCATATAATTCGCTCTATGAGATTACGACGAGTTAACATACTTTTTCATTTTGTAAGATTGACTGAATTCCTATTTAAAAATTTGTAAAATTATAAATAATACTCGTAGCCAAGAAAGCTTTTTTCTTATTTTATTTGCAAATTCCAGGACAGCTTTTTACATGATGATACCTAGACATTATAACTACCTCACTTTCTTCAATTTGTCGATCGATTAATTTTTGTTTTTATACATGTTATTAATTTTGTCTGTTTATCTTTACTTTTTATATATACGTACAGTGGGTTCATTTCCATTAATACAAATAAATTAAATTAAATAAAAAGTTTTCGCGAACATCAACGAAAAAGCGATAATTTACTACGAGAGCCAGGTAATCGGCCTTGTTCGTCAACCAATCCAGCTTGAATATCCCCAATGGAAGGAACGGTTCTTACTTCTCCTCGAGCTGCTACACTAGGTGGCGATTTAAGTAATCGACGCGCTACACTTTTTATATCGTCTTTCGATATCCTATCTGCAAACAGAGAAAAACAATGTAAAATTTTAACTGAATAAAAAGCATAATAGTTGCTTAATTAATATGTAACTCACCAATTGCTTGTATGAAATATTCTGGTAGTTTTCTGGAACCAGTGGCTAAAACTTGTCTTCCAATATCTTCAAACACAACTGGCCTTTGTTCCAAATTCATAAGTAACATAGACTGTAGTTGCTTCTTGGCCCTCTATATAAATTAATATCCAATTCCAATTAAGATCGTAAAAACAATAAACATTACTAATAAAATTTATAAATAAAACCATACTGCTAGTTCACTGTCCATAATGCTGCTTGCCATAGTAACCATTTCGTGTACAACTACTTCTACCATATCTTTAACATGAGACGGCGTACAGGATGCATGAATGTAGAACAGACCGGTGTCGGCATACGCGTGGTTATATGCAGTTGCGCTATATAACCAATGGTATCTACAAAACAATTTTTTTCATAACGATGTTTTAATTTTTTTACGAGAAAAAACTTCAATATTTACCTGTTAAGTACGTTTGTGTATAATCGGGTATACATGCCCTTCCCTGGACCTCCAGCACTGAAGCTATTTCCACCACCCATCATCATATTTAAAACACACATAGCTACAAAATCTGAGTCCTGATGAGAACAGCCCTCCAAACCTATCACTACATGCGATAATTCTGGTAAACCACTTGGTCCTGCATAGACAGGTACATTACATTCTTCCTGTAAAATTTTATAACAGCGTTATAAAAACCAATAGCATTTGAGGATATCTTATTGCGTTTAACTTTAGAAGATAATTACTAATATGTAACCTCCTGTATACTGAGCAATTGACGCATCAACTGTATTTTTAGGTTTCCCTGCAAAATTTTCTTTCGTCCACTGTTGTTCTTCTTCCCAAATAGATTTTTCGTCAACAAAATATCTGTCACAGAAATAATAAATGTCATTTGGCAATCGTTATGTAGGCATAAAAAATATTATATTTAAAATCCTATGGAAAGAATGGATAATTTCATCTATTTATCAGTAAAAATCTGAAAATTGTGATTTATACCAATAAGTACTTAACAGTTTTACATATAATTACTTTTGAACTGCTAAAACAAGATCTTCATGCTCTACACCAACACCAGCCACTACCATTCTGTTCGGTGTATAATGATGTCTTAAATATTCAAGTAATATTTTTCTATCTATTAAATTAATATTTTCTTTTGGACAAATCTTTGGAAGACCAAGAGTATTGTTTCTATAAGCAGCCTAAAAAAAAATGTATTTAATACGCATTTAAAGTAATTATATGATTTTAATTATACTTACAGCATGAATCATATCCATGAGAATCGGTTCTTGCTCTGGCCTTGTAAGTAAAGACTCCAATTCAAACTGAATCATTTGTCTAGCCGCATTTACCTAAAAATTTTAATGATTACTTTCTATATCTAGATTGCGCTCGCATTATTATATTTACATCATTTTATGTTTGTCAGTAAAATACACTTTATATAAAAAATATCAAAATTCTAGTATAACGAAAGATAATAATCTTTACCTCCTCTTGCGCAATTTGAGGCCTTAACACGATGTCACCTAAAATCTGTACCACTGTATCCAGTCCATGACGTTCTGCAGACGCGGCATAAACAAATGTATCCCTTGATGCTTGACAATCACATATGCCTCCATGTTTTTCTAGGGTGAGCATTATCTGATCTTTATTCTTATATGTTTTTGAAGACTGCAAAAGTAAATTACTGATTTTTTTTATTTCTTGAATAATAACTCTTCGACGTACGATAAAAATCTTACTCCAAATGCCAATTTTTCTAGGAAATGAGAAATACCGCTAGGATATGCAATTTCGTAACGAGGGCCAGAATCAATTAATACTGTAACATAATATTTTAGAACATGAATAATCAAACGATTTAAAGTTTTTTCAAAGACCTTACCAAATAACTTACCGCCTACTGTACAAAACTGGCCAAACCGATTTTCTGAAGCAACTTTCAGCCCATTCGATAAAACCGTTACTTTAGTAGTATGATGCTCCTCCTTTACCGTAGCATAAATTGCTTTGGGTAAATTAGGAATAGGTTTAGTTAATGGAGGAAATGGTGTAACCACCGTTTCTCGTGTTATTTTATTGGGAATCTTATAAGAAGAAAAATTACATTTTTTAAATAAAGGAAAGGTATTCTTTTGTATTGCACTGCAAAAAAATGTTTTTGTTTAATAAACGAAATAAATTCATGTAACAATCATATCAGAAATGAATTAAATGACATTAAATTTTTTGTTCTTAATTAAAAGTCCTTCCACTAGTATGAATGAATTATTTTTTCTTGAAATTGACTAATTACCTGTTCGAAACGGAAACTATGGAAGAACCTTGTAACACTTTCATCAACATTTTCGTATTACCGATTGTATACACCTTTTTAACATTTAAACAGGCTTTCCACTTTTTGCAATCCGAAAATTAAATCGTATCGTATGATTGCAATTAATTTAATAAAGATAACCGTAACAAATAACCTGTAGTTCGACTATCTTGACCGTCGTGTTAGTAGCGCCACAGTTTTATACAGAACCGTATAGAACTTTTAACCATATAGCTTTCTGTAAGGATATGTGTAATTACAAATTTTACGTGCGTTATATTTACTTAGTATTTCATTAACTGGATGTAACCTCTCTCGCAGAATAAAAATGAGTTCGTTCAAACGGTCAAAATTGAAAAACAAAAATGCAAAGAATGCGAGTATAAATTCAATAGATAAATCTCGTAAACAAGTACGTAAGGAACTTAGAAAACAGAAAAAGGTTAATAAAGCAATTTATTTCCAAAAGAAAAATAAGACGCTTGTTTCTTATAGTGACGAACATGAAAAAGGTATTAAAGTTTTTGACGATAAAAATATTTATGATAGTGATAACGGGAATACTGATGAAATCCAAAGGAAATCGGTTCAGAAAAAGAAATCTAAGAAAGTCGAATTTAAAAAACAGAGTCGTCGAAGCGAAGCGCTGAAACGAGCTAATTTAAAAGAGGATAAAGAAATTAAAAAGTTGGAAAAGCAGTTAAAGTTAAATAAAAGAAAAAAAAACACAATTCCAAAATCTTTTGCATTAGATGGTTTAGATTGTATCCTTTTAATTTTAATTCAAAATATATGTAAAAATTACACGTTACTTTCGATATAGAAGTGTATCGTTTTTAATAAAAGTTCTTTAACATATGTACAGATCTTTTAGACTTTTGTTTAGAAAATGACAGGAAAGACATAGTAGAAAGGGAAGAGAAATTCTTGGTGGACAAATTTGATAATGAGTTTGAAGGAAATTTAACAAAAAATGTTGAAGATACTATCAAGGAGAAGGACGCTTCTAAACAAAATGAAATGTATAATACTAACAAAAATGAGAATACAAATGATCATTCGACTTTAATGGTTGAAAAAAATATTATTAAAAATAAAAATGTGGACAAACTTGATTTAAAAAAATCTAAAATTAAAGAGGTCACATCTAAGGAAAATAAAAAAAATGTTAATATCGGTGATGGTTCGTGGGAAGATATTTATGGTAGAAAAAGAGACAGAGACGGTAATATTATACAAGATACTAAGAAATATATACCACCAGCTGCAAAAGTCACTGCTCGTGACACAAATCCAGATAATGAAAAGTTGTACCATTTAAGAAAACAATTGAAGGGCTACTTAAATAGAGTAACGGAACATAATATTCATTATATAAGTAACCAGGTAATTAAATTTTTTAAGACTCAAATACACTATTACTACAATTGTTTTTTACACTTGTCGCGTTACAGATAGAAACAATGTACATGACGAACAGTCGCAACAACATGAATCTTGTATTATCAGAATTAACAATGGAAAGTTTAATTACGAATGTAATTACACCAAATCGACTGATTTGTGAACACATGATGCTGATCGCTATTTTGCATGCAAATGTTGGCATTGAAGTTGGCGCAAATTTTTTGGAAAAACTAATTAAAAAATTTGTTGAAATAATGGAAAAACCACAAAACATAGAAAATAAAGAGTTAGACAATATAATACTTATGATTTCTCATCTTTATAATTTCAAGGTAACATTTAATTCATCGAATACTTGTTAAAAGATATATCAATTACGGTTTTATCGTAAAACAATTTGCTATAGGTATATGGACACCAACTTATTTATCAGATTCTTAATAAACTAGCAATAAAATTCACAGAAAAAGAGATTGAATTGATATTGCTTGTTTTAAAAACAGTAGGATTTTCTTTAAGAAAGGATGATCCAATTGCCTTGAAGGAATTTATAAAAGATCTACAACAAAAAGCTAGTCATGAGAATGGAGAAAAGTAATTTATATTCTTTTCTGTTCACTAATTATAAAGTTAAAATTAATAGAAATTACTTAAAAATTTGTCGTTATTATACAGTTCAAGGGTAAAATTTATGTTGGAAATTTTATTAGCGATAAAGAATAATAACGTTAATAAAATACCCCAATATGATCCTTCTCAAGTGGAACATTTGAAAAAAGTTATGAAAAGTGTAATTCGTAAAGGCAATGACATAACGCAATTCAATGTGACTTTAGAAGACTTGTTACATGGTAATATTTTTTCTGCAATTAACACGAATTATGTTATCAATTATATTGAACTATTTTCTTATTATAGCCGACGAAATTGGAAAGTGGTGGATTATAGGCTCGGCATGGTCTGGAACAAACACTATAGATAACTCAATAGAAACAAACAAGTCTAATAAACTTAATTTTGGGAAAAAAATATTAGAATTGGCAAAGAAGCAGAGAATGAACACGGATACTAGAAGAAATATTTTCTGTATTCTTATAACAGCCGAAGATTATCTAGATGCATTTGAAAAATTTCATCATCTTGGTTTAAAGGACCAACAAGAAGGAGAAATCGTTCATGTTTTGATGCACTGTTGTTTGCAAGAAAATAAATTCAATCCTTATTACGCGATATTAGCTCGAAAACTATGCGAATATAACCGAAAATATCAGGTATTGTTTAATAATTTTAATAACCGTGCGAGTAATTTAAACATAAGTCACATTATAATATCATAATGATAATTGATCTTTATAAATACTATTCGATATGATGTGTATAAGAAAATCAATTCGTTAAAGAAGTTATTATTAGCTGTAGTTTTTCTTTGTATTTTCTTACATGGAATAAGCATAGAACGTTAAATGTTTTAATTAATTTGATTATTAATAATATTTTAGCTTACAATACAATATACTTTATGGGACAAATTGAAAACGTTAGAAACGTATGAATCCAACCAGTTAAATAATTTGGCACAGTTTTTAACTTACTTATTTATTGAGAACTGTCTTGCTATATCAGTTTTAAAAGTAAGTATTATGTTTTTTTTCTTACATTTTATTAAAGTTATTAAGCATATATCTTTTATTATTGTATCACAGGTTATTCAATTTACCGAACTAGACAAGCATACGATGAAATTTTTAAAACAAATTATATCGGAAATTCTGTTGCACGAAAACGAGGAAGCTTGTCTACGCGTATTTGAAAGAATTTCTGTTTCTCCTCAATTGCAAACTTTCAAAGAAAGTCTTCGTTTATTTATAAATTGTTTCTTAACAAAAAATACAGATTCGTGTAATATACCGGACAAACAGAAATTAACAATGAAAAGGAGGGTGGAACTTGTAGATAAAATACTAATTTCGCATGAATCAAAAATCATGTTTTAAGACGCTTGGATCAATTTTTCGAGCGTTGCCATAAATAGCGCACAGATGATTCTGACAGATGACAGTTGGATAAGGATGGGGTAACCTTCTCCAATAAGGCGGATATAGAGCTAATTAAACGTATTTTTTTTATAGGCAAAAAGCATTATTTCGTATGCATGAACGCTAACATTAATGCTGAGACTGCTACCCCACGCTTATTTGAATTTTCATTTAAAAATACGTACCCTAGATAACGGATAGATTTACGGCGTTCGAGGGCAACATGTTAACCCTTAATGCTCCAATTTTTAATCGTGAATATCGACATCATGCTTTGACTTGCAAGTTTTTAAGTGTCAGATTTTAAATGCTACAGTGACATGTAAATAATAATATTTAAGTCTTTCAAAACAATCTTAATTCACCTAGGTAGTAATATAATTTTTATGACAATATTTATATTAATTATAATTGAATAATGTAGCGGCGCACATCGGTGGTGCCTTAGAGGCACACTTGGAGCGTTCAGGGTTAAATTAATAATTATATTAAAATTTGATTATCAAATTAATGGAGCAAACGTATCTACTGTTAACAAAGTAAAATACATATACACAGTAAAGAACCATATAATGTAAGATGGAAAGTTATAAAAAAAAGATATTGAAGTATAAAATAATAATTTGCCATTAAAAGTGTATGTTACTTTTCTTTTGTTTTTATAAATTCAAGCATACAACAAATAAAATCATACATATACATTAGATGTAATGAAGAACTTAACATGAATAATATTATTCTACGATTTATTTAGTTATTTCAACTTACAACAGAAGAAGTATGTATACACGCATAAAGTTGATTAATTTCTTAATTACTGCTTATCAAAAGTCTGCATACAAAGTTTGTAAGTATTTTCATATTTCGAGTTCAAAGGGGCGCTACATCCGTATCCACCCAATCGGTGAATACGAAGAAAATCGTCGCAATTGATTTTACCGTCTCCGTTGCAGTCCTAAAATATGAAATAGTATCGCAACAATGAAATAGTGCTTTAACATGATTAAATATCAATATCCCAATATTAACGATAGAACAGTATAAATATGCACGAATGACTATAGTAATGTACGTACCTGAGCAAATTTGTCCATGTAACCCTGTACCGTACGAGCTGCACAGTATGCATCACTTACACATTGCACGTATCCTTTGTAAAATATTAAATATTTTAATAAAATAACTTATATATTTTGCTTAATAAAAATGATTTGCATACGCGTCGATAATTTACTAACCATCTTGGTTCGAATTAGAATTATTATCGAGAACTGGTTTTCCAGCATCGGCCCAATAACGCCATGTTATACGGAATGGTCCGCAAACAGACTCGTCACAACCAAGCGTAACATTACACCCAGACGCAGCTTCGCATATACAACCTAAACAAACCTTTGACAATGTTTCGGTTGCCGTCACCAGTTCATTTTGTTCTGCGTAACAAAAATATGATTCATATTCAATTTTTTGTGTATTTACAAATAAATACTTATGGAAATATTTCTCAAAAGTGACGAGCAATAACAAGTACAAATCAGTAATGTTATTATCTTTTCGTTATTTTATATAAATATGATTCATTAAATATATATATGTATGAGCGCACATACATACTGCGTAACAATTTACATGTACAATATAGTTTTATTTGCCGAAAATAATGCATACATAATATCTGTCTGATCAGAAGAGAGACGGAACAACTTTTTGCTTGAATTCGAATGAAAGAATTTTTGATCGAATTAACTTGCGTGACGAACGATTATTTTCACGTATTATTCGCTTTTAATTATTAAAATAAGATATGTTATATATACATGAAAATTACTCACCGTAAATTAATAGTAACATCAATAAACTTGCCACGGTTGCAGAAATACTTGGCAAAAAGCCCATGTTTAGTATATCGTCACAATACTTAAATACAACAAACTGCTACGGGGTATTCCAGGATATTTTCTCCGGTTCTTTTATATATAACAGAGTTGTAGCGGATGCGACGAGTGGGCGGTGGACGAACGTTGTCGCCCGAAGAAGTGGGGAATCTAACGGAGGTCAGTGGCAAGGACTATCTTTTAAAAAAGATCACAACGAAAAAAAGAAGATTTAAGATCCGACTAATCTCGACATGGAAATATGCAGGGAAAAACTGATGTTTATATAAATATACATAAATACGCTTGTTGAATTAAAACGAAAAACGTTATAATAGTATAAAAATTCCAAGAATCATGCAACAGAATTTGATTAGAATTGCATATTTATAGAATTGTGTATGTCATCTTGAGATGTTATGTTTTTCATGATTGCATTCCTACGGATCTCAGCATGTATACATGTATATTTTTATTTATTTATTTATTTGTCAAGATAAGTTTGAAACGAACTTTCCATTTTTCTTAATTAAAAATGATTAACTTTATAGTATTTCGTAATTGTTAATGATCTATTTAAGTGCATGTCTATTCTGGAATTGTTTCTATTTATATACGCGCATATTTCTCTGTAAATAATTAGTTTATGAAATAAAAATTATATCAAAATTAAATTATAAATACAGAATAGAGCGCTATGTTCAAAAATTTACATTAGCGTCGATAACTAAAAAATTTCGATTATACTGTCTGCAATCAATTAAAATATTTCAAGGTTATTTCTATTGTTAGATTTGATTAATGAATATTAACGACATATAATTACTGTGAATATTATAGCAATGCCGTTCAACATTTATCATCGAAAGAATGAAAGTATTAATTCTTAATATATGCGTACGATAACGTGCATCATCTAATTCAGGAATGACTATTTATAAGAGTAAAATCGTGGTTAGTACTCGTCGATGTTCATGAACTCAACAACGACGAACGAATGGCGGTTACCAACGATGATGATGTAGCGGAGAAAGGCGCCCCATTCTTTGATTTCTCAAGGTCACGCAGTTGAATCCTGCTCAACTAGCTGACTACGATTTATTTATGTTAAAAATCAAAATATTTAACACAAACGTACGATTCGTACAATGCTTCCCTGTCATGTTAAACAGTTTTAAATATTTAGTATAAGTATTTTTATAGACTGAACAAGTATTTCCCAGCAAGCGTCAAAGTACGTATAACACTTCCCCTTTACTTGTCACAACATTTACACAGTCCGTAATTTGTACAAGACTTAGAAGCGAACGTTACAACTGTTTTTTCGGTAAATCGGTAATGCTAATATCGCATACTTGTGAAAAAGTCGACAAAATTTAACATTATCGTTATGAAAAAGTTACGAACACATTTCTCAACCAATTATAAGAGCAGCTATTGTACATACCTTTATATTATTTGTTAAAACTAATAGAAGTATTAGGTCCAATTAAGACACATGTATATGTTTGAAAATAGTACTTCCCTTCTTTGCAAGATATACTTTCTCGAATTCTACCTTTTATCTCAAGATACGTCATGTATGAAATATGTGTATGTACAAACATTCTATATATGTATTATAACATAAATTTGATATTGCAATTTCGTAGATGAATACAAGTAGAGTATCAAGTTACACGTTACTACTTTCTATAGTTTATCATTTTTGTTCTGCACAAAACCGAAAATCGTATGTGTAAATTAATGTATATTAAGGAAAAAAGTAATAAATTAAAATTGATTGCTAGCGATCAATAGGTATTATTGCTTTTTCTATTTAATTTTGTTCTAAAACAATGGATAATTCAATCGAAATTTAATCTTTTTCTATCGTATAATTAAGTTTAGATATTAGGATAGTATCATTCGCATAAATATTTTATTTAAAGCTTTGCTAATAATATTGCTACTGAAATTGAATCGGTAGTTCTAATCCAGTAACAAATTATATGTACAAACAATTATCATTATTTATTAAGTTTACATTAAAAATAACAGGCAGAAATGGTAAATTTATATTTTATTGAATGACTCGATATCGACAGACTGTACCAACTGTTCGAAACCTTCGATCATCTCCACCAGCAAGTCGACAGATACTTTGTCATCCTCTATTACGCACATTATCCTGAACTTATGGATACCATAACCCACAGCTACCAATTTAGCTAAAAACATAAAATTAAATTTAATTCTATATAAAGCCCAAAATATTTTATGAAAGCAGATATCGATAAATAGAAAAATTAATTGATTTACATGCTCCCCATACTAATCCATCCATTTGAATAGATCTCACAGCTTCTTCCATGGCTTTCATATCGGTGTCATCACCCCATGGTTTAACGTCTAACACTAGACTAGATTTCGCGATAAGTGCTGGTTTTTTTGATTTTTTCTCCGCGTACGCTTTTAATCTTTCCTCTCTAATTTTAGCAGCCTCTGCATCCTCTTCTTCGTCCGACATAAAAAGGTCAATATCTTTATCGTCATCTTCGTTCTTTGCTACCGTTGCAGCAGTAGTAGAATTACTACTATTTAAGATAGGTGCTTTCTTTTCTCCAGGAAGAGTCTTTAAATCGTATGATTTGATATGATTGTACCATCTTAAAACATGAGGATTTGAAGATGTCGGCGTCTTTCCTAAAGCTTCTAATACAACTACATCGGCTTGAGTGGGTTGCCACCTTGAAAATACAATAATTTTTATTTACCTAATTTGTTTAACGATAATTACATTTAATAATGATATATTTTCCAATAAATTACGAGCTTTTTATAAAAATTTAAAGAACTAATCTATCAAATGTTACATTACATTAAATATATTTTTATACGTATAATAATTTATTATTTTTAACTTCTAAATATAAACTATCATTTTTTAGCTTCTACGCGTGTGACATATACCTATATTAATCTGAGTACACAGAGAATGAATTAATAGTTTTGAAACAGCTTGTTGAACAATTTACATATATAAAAAAGAACGATATCGATATTGACATTACGGTAGTTAAATATATATATATATATATAACAAAATAAAAAGAAAAACATGAAGCAATGGCGAGTCAGTTACATTTAAATGTTTATTTTATTCAAGTTTGTTAATTAATATTAAACCAATAACAATTTGATCGTTTAAAGATGCCAATAATTGAAACACCACGTGTATCGTAACCAAAATTGTATACCATTATAAAGCTTACCCTTCGATATAACTACGATCTGCTAAGTAAGAATTTAAATCTTTGACACCTTTATCAGTCTTAAGATCACCAATAGCCATCGTGTAAAATCAGGTAAAAAGTGAATACTCGAATAAAGCTTCCGACAACGGAGTCTCCTTTTGCTGACTACCGGAAGAGAATGCTATGTGTGTATGTACGTATGTACTATATAAACGATAAAAAGTTGACGGTTCGCTATGGTTCGCTACTTCGTTTCGACGTGACGTCATTCCAATACATTATTTTTGACAAGTAACCAACTAAAAAGCACATTGTATATATATATATATATATACATGTAAATCACACTTTTAATTTGCTAATTATAAAATTACTTTAATATTGCTAAAATCAATGTATGCATTATAAACATTTTAAATAAAAAAAGATTATTTGTTATTGTTTCTTTTTAAATTTTTGTGTTTTCTTTATCTTCATTTCTAAGAAATTGCATTTTATTTGTTATCGTTGTGTTTCATTAATTATTTTTTTCATGAAATGTATACGTAATGCAATATGAAATATTATATATATAAATATATATTGCGTATTTAAAAAAATACTAATAAAAAAATATAATTACACTGCAAACACAAATAATTTATCATGAAATTTGTATCATAACAATGTAACTTTTACATTTTGTATAATTTTATAATTTTTCGTGTTAAACTGATTTTCTTGGCAGAGACCTTAAACGATGAGTTCAGGAATTAACCAGTTCTCAATACGCAAGAGCACGCAAGAGTGCACAGTATTAGCGAAATAAAATGTTGGTGGTAAAGAATACTGTTTTAGATCGAACTCATTGATCGTTCGTCTATGCGTAGTGTAGCCATTCTGGCAAGGTTTAGACGGGTTGTGACGAAGACGAAACAAAATTTGGTAATTTGTAATTAAATAAAATTTGTATTGCTATATTGAAACAAAAACGATAATTAATGTTAATGTGTAGCATAAACTGTAGATTTTGAAGAAAATAAACAAGAAATATCAATTGATTAATATGGAATTAGGTTATTACGTTGGTTATGTTACGCGAAACTTAAAGGTATAATATTTTCTTATGTAACAGGATAGAATTGACAGGTAACGGTAAGATCGAGTCAAAATGTTAAGGCACCCGGTGATAAAATTATCAACCGGATTACAAAATGGTAGACTTCTTGCCATGGGAATACATACAACATCCTGTAAGTTGCAACAGGAGTTAGTAGAAGTGTTCATAGATGATAAACCAGTTCAAGTTCCACCTGGAACAACTGTTTTGCAGGTAAATAATACTTTCCCCGTATAATAAGCATATTTTTATATTCAATATTGGCACTTAAGTAATAGTTTATGATAATACGATAAATATAAATAATATATGACCATTTTTGTTCAACTATATCTTTTTTAGGCAGCTGCCAAAGTAGGAGTAGAGATTCCTAGATTTTGTTATCATGAACGACTAGCAGTTGCAGGAAATTGTAGAATGTGCCTTGTAGAGATCGAAAAACAAGTTAAGGTATTTATTAGGTTTGAATATTTTATATATTTTGTAACGTGTGCATAAATGTACATATTTATACAAGTGAAAAATATATTTAGCCTGTTGCAGCATGCGCTATGCCTGTAATGAAAGGATGGAGGGTGAAGACAAATTCTGATTTAACGCGTAAAGCTCGGGAAGGGGTCATGGAGTTTTTGTTAGTTAATCACCCTTTAGATTGTCCAATTTGTGATCAGGGTGGTGAATGCGATTTGCAAGATCAAAGTATGGCATTTGGTAGCGACCGAAGTAGATTCGTCGATATTAATTATAGTGGTAAAAGAGCAGTAGAGGACAAAGATATTGGACCACTGATAAAAACAGTCATGACACGTTGTATCCATTGTACAAGATGTATTCGTTTTGCTTCCGAAGTAGCTGGTATCGACGATTTGGGAACTACGGGTCGTGGAAATGATATGCAAGTATGTTCGACATATTCCTTTTTTTTAGTTCGTGTCTTTATACCGATAGCATTCAAAGTACATGCCATTATTGTAACAGGTAGGAACGTATGTGGAAAAGATGTTTTTGTCAGAATTATCTGGTAATATCATTGACTTATGTCCTGTTGGTGCGTTAACGAGTAAACCGTATGCTTTCGTTGCTCGTCCATGGGAAACGCGTCGTACAGATAGCATCGATGTTCTTGATGCTGTTGGTAGTAATATAGTAATATCTCATAGAACGGGTGAAGTTTTGAGAATTTTACCAAGAGTTAACGAGGTATTGTCATCACGATAATTACGATTTAAACTACATTTATAGATTTTAATGATGCGATACATTACTTAGGAAATAAATGAAGAATGGCTATCAGATAAGGCACGTTTCTCTTACGATGGACTCAAACGTCAAAGACTCATAACTCCTATGATAAAAGTCAATGGAAAATTGGATGCTGTTAATTGGGAAGATGCTCTTCTAACGGGTACTATCATAGTTACAGTTTAACGTTTGTCCCTATTGTTAATCGTGTTGAAAATTGAATTTTTAAATAATTAAAACAATGCATTGTTAGTTGCGCAAGCTGTCCAGGGCATTTCATCGAATAAATGTGCCGCTATCGCTGGGAAATTAGCTGATGCCGAAGCTCTTGTTGCATTGAAAGATCTAGTAAATAGACTTGGCGGTGAAACTCTTGCAACGGAACAAAGTTTTCCAAAAAATTTTGGAGACATTAGAAGCAATTATTTATTAAATAATACGATCGCTGCTATAGAAGAAGCCGATGTCGTACTATTAATCGGTACAAATCCGAGATACGAAGCGCCATTAGTGAATACACGTTTGCGGAAGGGATATATTCATGGCGAACAAACTATTGCCCTAATCGGCCCGGACGTAGATTTAACGTATGATCACGAAGTAAGTAAAGAATTTCTTAATGTGGTAATAAATTCAGTTTTCTGCCGTACACAAACTGAAGTTTTAGTTCAATGTTAGCATTTAGGTAAATCCCCAGAAATTATAACGCAATTAAGGAATGGTACTCATTCATTTTCGAATACTTTGAAAACTGCTAAGAAACCTCTAATTATCCTCGGTATCGAACAATTAAGTAGAAAAGACGGAGCGAAAATTTTATGCGAAACACAATTATTGGCACAGACTTTAGGAGATAAATCAAAGGTGAGTAAATAATCATTTAATTTGTTTTTATTTACACCTATATACAGGTGCACTTTGTTTTTTATGTTTTGTTTCAAGACTCCGGAGGAATGGAAAGTATTAAATATACTTCACACGAATGCGTCGCAAGTAGCAGCTTTGGATATAGGTTATACGTCGTCTGTCGATGAAATTAAACAGCAACAGCCAAATGTTTTATTTTTACTTGGAGCTGATGATGCAAACATAAAAAGACAAGATTTTGCCAACACTGTTATCGTATACATAGGTACATAAACTATTCATTCAATAGTACGTTTATCTAGTCAGTGATGAATATTCAGGGTGAGACATTTACAATAAAATTGGAAAATAAAGAAAAAAGAATGTGATAAAGGTAAAAGTTGTTGTTCTCTTGAACAATTTGCAAATTATAATTCTAGAGACAGAAAGATCTTTTTATATGTCTCTTTTTATTCGCGAAACAGCTATTGCCTTTATCAGTCATTTAAATCGTAGATATAACATGTAAGATAATACAGTAGAATTGCTTGAAACGTATTTTAGGAAGTCACGGTGACGAGGGAGCTGCGATCGCTGATGTTATACTTCCTGGAGCTGCGTACACTGAAAAAGTTGGAACGTACGTGAACACAGAAGGGCGCGCACAACAAACTTGCGCGGCGAATACGCCGCCGGGTATGGCGCGACCAGATTGGAAGATCATCCGAGCTCTTTCAGAAGTAAATATCTGTAATCAATAAATATTCAATTACAGATAAAGAAGAGATACTAATTGAATATTTTCGATAGATTTGCGGAGTTTGTTTGCCTTATGACAATTTGATGGAAATTAGAGGAAGGCTTGAAGAAATTGCACCGCATTTAGTTAGATATGGTAACGTAGAACCAGCTAATTACTTTGTTCAGGCGTTGGAGTTATCCAAGGTAAATGTGTATAAGTTACGGTACATTTTTTGTGTACAATGTATAACGTGTAATACGCGAATACTAACTTACGTTAAATTTTTTTGTAGGACACGGATGGTTCACTGTCGTCAAATCCATTAGAAATCAAACAGAAAACATTAGATCAATTTTTCATGACAGACGTAATATCTCGAGCTTCTCTTACTATGGCAAAGTGTGTGCAAGCAGTCATCAAACAACGAGAAAGTAATTTGTAAAAAATGAATTACCAGTGTATATGAAATTGTGTAATGGTAGATGTACATACATGTAACAGTATATGGGAATACATACAATACTAGTTTAATTACAGGTATGTAAAAGGGAGAAGCAGTATCTTTTGCCAACTTATACGATTATACCATGTGTATTAATTTACCAAAATATACATAGCGATTAATGGAATGTTAAAGCTTTCAAAGATGTAACGTTAATTTTCATTTTACTTTTGTCTTTCAGCTGGTTCGTAGAATACAATACTTTATTAAATTTAATGTTTCGCGTGATAAAAATCAACAGCGAAGCGATATTGTCGTTAATAAAAGTATCCCTTAAAACATACTGTATTATCAATATGCTTTTCTTTTTCATCTATAATGCAGCTTAAAGATTTTATCGTCCCGTTGAAACTGTTTATATTGGTATTTACATTCAGTATTTTTACGTTAGAAAACGTTGTACATAGTTTTAACAACACAATAAAGACAGCATTTACATCCTAATTCGTTAATTTGCTATATTAGCACGATACGATGATTTATTATCATTAGAAATGAGTAGGAGAAAATAGGAAAGAAACAAAAGCGAATAAGTATTTTTTAGTATCATTGTTACCATAAAATTGCTAATCGTGATAGTACTAATCAACGCGATCAACTGAATTGCTGGATTCCGGTTGATCGTCGGTGTCGAGTTCAGCAGAACTTTCATCGGTCTCAACCTAACGACAAAAAATTATTAAAATTATTAATTGTCTGTACGCGAAGGATGAATAAAAAATTCGTTCCGACAAATTTATACATACCTTTTCACCCAATGCGATCAACCTTTCTTTGTATAACATAATTTTAACATCCTGTTCTGTTAAAAGTTCGAGAAAACCTTCCTGATCGTTCTTAATTTTCTCCAATTCCTCAGATTTTTCTTTTAATTTACGTTCAAAATCAGTCTCGTTTCTTTCTTCAACTTTTAGTTTATATTCGTTTATCGTCGTCGTACATTCGGCTAAACGATTTTCTAAATCTGTAATTATATTCTTATATCTTTCCATTTCTTTCGTGTAATCTTTTCCGTTCGCTACATTATTAGCATTATTTTCTTCCGATAACAAATTGGTTTGTGCGGCTCGTAGAACTAAATTTTGATCCTTTAAATGACTGACGGTCGACTGCAAATCATGAATCTGTGCCTGTAAATGAAATGAATGATTTTGTAAATATTTCGTTACGATTGTCGAAATTTCGAGAACTTTTACTGTACCGTACTTCGAGTTCGTGCTTTTCCTTCATCAGCGATTCTGTAATTTGATTAAGCTTCTGTATTTGTGAAGCTTGTTCTCGAATCACTTCTTTGTACTGTGCTATTAACACAGAATCTGGAATAATCGATGTCGCCATTTGATTTTTATGATGTACATTACTACCCTCTAGAACGGATTTCATAATTATACCTGAAAATACACGCGAACTAATTAAATAAAAACCGATCGAGTTACATTTTCTATATTTTTCAATATTAAATTTGCTGCATTGGTAAACGCTAAGTAATTGTTACCCTCTAACGTTTTTGATAGTCTACAAAACTCATGATCCAAAAGAAGTTCCGAAGAATTCTTCGCTGAAGGCTGCGGGTGTTTCAAAGTTCTAGAATATACCTCATGCCTAGCGAGACCGCCAATAGCATCTTGAAATCTCTCTACTCCTATCCTATTTTCGATTAAATTGCACAATTTTTCCTAAAAGCACATAGTACCAACCATACATCGCGTGTCACACCGTGATAGTAGCAAAAATGTATTGAATTCGATTATTTCAAAGGCTTTACCAAATTACCTTCGTATAATTAGGGACGCTATTATCGTTAAAATGTACACATACTCCAATAAGTATAGCGCACATACTTTGTAATAACGTTTCCTGCAAATCATCGTTATTTTCCTGCGACGATAATAAAGCTGTTAAATAAGCTATAGAAGAATCGATAAGTAAGAAAAATTTAACAGCAGCTAGACAGTGAGCAGTCCATCTGCAGAGCAACATTAAAAGACCTAATTTGCATTGCGTCTTATTGCCTTGTTGCAGTAACATGACACATTGTTGCATTAAAGTCACAGGTGGTTTTCCAATGTTTGTTGCAAGAAGTACTCGCAATAATTGTTCTTTTTGGGTGTTGTCATCAATCAACGCGTAAGACAATGCCACGGCAGAAAACCAATTCGACAAAGAATCCGGAGAAAACAAACCTCCGCATAACAGCTGCCCTAGCAACATTACGTTTCTTAAATATTTTTCGCTATTTATACGCTACTGTTAAATCAACACTGTACAAAATACGATAAGAAAATTTTACAAACCTGTTGTTACGGACGGTACTTCGTTACCTTGAGGTAGTAAAGTCTGAATGAGCTGACTTTGTCCTACTTCGTTTTTATATAAAAAACATTGAAAACAATATAGAACGGAACACCTTAAAGCAAATGGTTGCTTTTCATTTACCATAGACATAAGTAAAACAACAATTGCAGGCCTGAAAAGTATATATGTATATTTCTAGCAATGTAACGAACCAAAAGGAAAGGAGCAATATGTATTTATAAGAGTTTGCAATTACCTGGGAGGGCTACTAGGAGCCATTACTCCTGCCAGAAATTCTTGATTATTAGCATTTCCTCTAATAACTTCAGCTACCGTGTTAATCGTTTCTATGAGCACATCAGCAGGCACACCACTAGCCATCAATATATTGCATAAAGCTTGTAAAAGTCCGCAATCTCTCATGATTTGTTGACAATTTGCTACTGCCTTTGAATATGTTACGGACAGCAATTAAGATTAAGAAACGAAACGAACAGGCGGATATAGAAATTTTTAAAATATATACTCTTTCGCTTACCTGAGCAGGTCCATTCGGTGCTACTAATGCACGAATCACCTGTACCATACAGTGAACATTTGACACTTTTTGTGGACTCCATGCACCAAGTGGATCATTATCGATTTCAGACGGTATTTGAAACATTGGTGTTAATTTTTGAATATAACTACCTAAAACATAATAGTGCAAATAATTTTATCTCCTAGCGCGTATTAAAATAATCCTTTTCGATTCTGAACAATGTAAGTATTACCTTCTTTAAAAAAATTTTGATTACTTATATTGCCTCGTAAAAGATTCAACATAAGTAAAAGACAATCTTCGACGACGATACCACCATCCGCGTTACCCTCTTGGGCAATAACATCAAAAATACGATCAAATGCATTTTCAAACGCAACAATTTTTTGAATATTTGCATTGCCTTTGGTCAATTGAATAAGAAGCAATAAGGCCTACAGGAAAAAGAAATAAGGTTTACTTTTTATCCTGTTAAATAATAATAACTATGAATATGTTATATTCATGCAAACATACATCGTTACGTATGACTTCTCTACTATCGCCAAGAAGATCCATTAATTTAGAAACACCCATAGGACTAACTAAAATTATTTCTTGTATGTCTTTTAGCCTGTTGGTTGATAAATGCATTAATAATTTTAAAGCTGGCCATCTAACTTTAAATTCAAATTCTTCCAACAGCGCCAAGACTAATCCTACGCTATCTGTATTTTTAATAAATATTTCTGTAAATTGCTCTCCTATTTTATTCTTTGGTCCATGTTTGTCCACTGAAAATAACATTTATGTAAACTCTGGTAAAACTTGAACGAACAACATCATTATCGATTGACTTTACCTTCCTCTTCGAACACCTTAGGATTTGTTATATTACAAAGAGTGTCCAGAGATAAACCAATAATTTCGCAATCTGTTCTATCCATTTCCAAAATTTGCCTCAATACATCCATTCCTCGAGTTCCAACTTCAACGCGATAAGTGCGTGAAAGAGCTTTCAATGCTCGACAAGCATCTCTTCTGTCACTTAGCAACGTTGACGATTGTAACCTGTCCACTAACCGCTCTACCTTTATCGATGAAAAGAATATTGATGAAAATAAAATAATTTTATAAAGTACATATATCATGATGCGAATTATAGTTATTTTGTTATGTTATTATACGAACTTATAAGTACCATGTGTTGTTACACTAAAACTCGAAAGAAAATACGAAAAGAAAAATACAATGAATTTTATCAATTGAGAAATTTCAAATACCGTATCTGCACCGGACGATTCATTTTCTACAGGTGTGGAACCTAAAACGGACTTTAGGCTACTTTTAAAATATTCCATTTTGTTGACAACGATGCATAAAACGAATCTAGATTATACGAGTACACATCACACGTCACACAGTATCATCGACATTTTCAAGTTATTTGAAGTTGCTGAATATTGTTAAAACAATCGACGTTCGATAGAGGGCGGTAGGAATCTGATGTTGATGCACATAAATATATATATATATATATATATATATATACATATTTGCTTCAATTTCAAGTAACCTTGAAAAGAATCGATAACCATGTACATATATGTATAGACTCTGTATACATATATTACATCTGCTACAGAATATGTAGAAAATATATAATTACATCGAACTATAAGCTACGTAAGATAAATAGTTATTTGAGTTATATACATATATTCTTTGTTAATTTGTTGGTCCATTTGAGAAAGTCGATCGAAGAAGAATGAAATTCGATGCTAAATTGTACGATTATACACGCGAACATATTTTTCAGATCTTTTGTTATCAAAAAAACGAAACTTACAGTGGCCCACGCACTTATGTATACATTTGTTACGTATAACGTATTAAAAGTGGAATTTACATGTATGTATGTCCATATGTATATGTATATAACATTATATTGTGCAGTTCACCCGACAAAGTATACATGTATTTATGCATTTATGTATATGTACATTTGTAATTAGCTGTACCAACTTCCATAAGATTTAGCTATAAAGATTTATTAGCCGAATCCCAAAACTAAATAGAAGCCAAATAAGAATTTATGCAAAAAGGAAGAAATAATTTTAAAAAACTAAGAAAATTATGCAATACATAAAACTGTCATTCTTAACGAATACGATGCAAGAAAACCAAATCAATCTTCATCGAATATTGCATCATACTACAATAAGTACTAGAATCGCGATATTAGTACAATTTACGTGTTAATGGTTAGACGTCATGTATGGATGTAGATATAATTGTATATTTAATCGAAATCCTTATTGCACTGTCTGATAAGCATTTATTTAAATAATTTCTCTATTCTATTCTATCACGCGATTAAGTTATACACGTATGCATACATATATGTATACATACGTACAGAAGTGGTAATAATAAAATAATATACTGGCGATAGAAATAATCGTATCGCGTGTTGTCAGGTTTGTTTTTACAGGAATGACAAATAAATTGAAAGACACGAAGAGAGAATTATTCAAGATAAAGATAAGACTGTTATAAATGAACACTGCGATTTTATATCACGTAAAAGGGTGTAATATCGCTTTAACGATATTTTTAACCATTCTATTACCATACCGTTATCGCACACGTAAGAACGTGTGCATAATATACATACATGTGTATATGTATGCATATGCATACGTGTACGTGTATACATATATATACTGTACTTCTAGTAATACAGTCGGTTCGCATTTCGTCACATTTTAATTATATCGATATTGTTTGAATTTTTAACGATAAGTTGACATTTCGTTTAAGTTTTTCGTTAAATGATGCATATTCGTAATGTCTACGTATGTAACGATAAGTTTAACGATAAGTTCCCATTGTTCGAGCCTAATAAGTGCCTAATGTAGTCCTACCGATCTTACTTATATCTGCTTACTCGTCGATAACTCGTATTCTTTTCTACCGTTGATCATTTGTTTAGAAATCTTCGTTTACGTAGAGCAAAGAGTTATCCTCGGGTTTTCTGCATTCGTGTACACGCACATATATATGCGTATACATATACATGCGTATATCATAGTTATACATACATGTAGTTAGTCGTACGTTTACGTATAAAATTACATAACTTATACATAAGTACCCGTATCTATTTATACTAGTAAGAAGATTTGTATAGAGACTGTGTCGTTTCTTAGCATGTATTCGCGATAATTGAACTTTATCAATTTTTACACATATATACACACGTATAAATAAAATTACTCGACATTTTAATTACAGGTATATACAGATATTCTCGCGTAATCTCGTTAATCTAAATCCCGGATACACTGTTATACCTTATACGTATGTAAGTACGAGTACTTAAATATACATAATTCGCTCAAACGAAAACGAAAAACTGCATAAACAAAGATAAGATGTACGATGGTACAATTATCGTATGAATGAAGGAAACGTTTATTACAGATACAGAATATTTAAAAGAGGAAATCAATTAGACACGCGAAAGAAAACGTTCACCGAGCATTTTTCGGTCTAAGTACGGCACTCGATGAAAGGTTAAAACAAACGGGGAATAAAGATAGTACATTACAGAAATTGATAATGATACGACAAAGAGAAAAATAAAAAAATGTCCGACAAACTCTCGTCGAGTAAGAGCCGATAGAATTATTATTCCGTCTATGGAAACAATGATTAATTCCATATAAAGACGAAGAAAAACGTATTTTTGAAAAGTACCACCCAGCGCGTATCGCGATATCGTGCGAAATGTTATAGAAGTCGAAATGTTTCAACCGTATCGCGTACATATCTATAATGTACACTATTAGTTTGTTTAATGTTGTTCTCGAGGAAATAGTGGGCATTTTATAATTGAGAAATAAAAAATTTCGAAGAATCTGGACGAGCACAATCATAAAGGTATAAGGATGAAAATAAATAGAATAAAAGAAGAAATTCATGGGTAAACATGGAGAATACCGGTAGGCAGTAGACGGTAGGTTACGATTAAGCCACGCGATATAGGCTGTTTCGGTCGTTCAGTTTTATATAGTTGATCGGTTCGGTGGACGATGCCGATGGAAAGTGGTATTAAGAACCGAAGGTAACCGAACGACGAGATACGGAAACAGCCGAAGTGGAAGCAGTGCGAAACATCACGTAGCCAGTGTTGCTAGGCGGTTTGTTAAGGAACGGTGGAAGGGAAAAATCGGAGGAGAGGAGGCTATCGGTATAAAACTCGCGTCATCGTCGCCGGCTAATCAGTTGTTCGAAGAAAAAGTGTAACGAAGTATGTTTTTGCTGGATGTAACGTTAGTCAAAGTGAAAGTACAATTATAATAAAAAGGATTATTTGTATTTGTGAAGTAACTGAACGAGATCATCGTAAAATTTATTATTATCAAATATAATAGGAAATAACCGTAGGGTATATTCGGAACGTCGAAGAAATAGTACGTGTACCGTGTTCTGTTTCAAGAAGGTCGTTGTAAAATTAATTGAGTCTCTCTCTTTCTCTCTCCCTGCGCGTGTGTGCGTGTACGTGCGTGTATATGTGTTGTGTGAAACATTTTTCGAACAATGGAAGTTTTACCGTGTCCTGTAAACGTGGATTTCAGCAATACAAGAGGTATGTTGTGTTTTCGTCATCTATTTAATTGTTTCAAATTTTTCTCATCTAAACGAATGATACGTTTCGTTTCTTTTCTGGCATCGCATTTCGTTTACGCTTTTTTAAAAGATTATCGATCATTGTACGTTAATAACAAGTAACAAAGCGATACTGTTTGTTTCGGGAGATCAGCTGATTTTTCACAGAATACGAACGATACTGTTTCGATGATTTTTGGTTAGGTATTACAAGTTCAGTTGGGTCTTGTAATTTGTTAGGAAATTGCACTTTCTGTATTTAGTTTGTTTCTTTTGTTATCGGTTGAAATACGTACGCGTAAAATGTGAAAAAATATGACAACTATATTTACCGAACTATCGCGAGCAACGAAAGAAGATACGGTCGTTCGAAAATTAAAACTTTTATAATCCGGTTAAATTATGCTCTTACAGAGATAATTTTTAGTTACTTAAATGTATCTACGCTCGGTAGCCGGTTAATCAGAGTTGACCGGTGTACGTGCGTATGTGCATGCATGTATTTTTATATGCTTATGTATCGCGTACATATGTCGCGCGTGCGTGCGTGCGTGCATCTCTTCGCGTACAGCCCACTGATATACGTGTATACTCATAAATGTAAGCAGTCAGATATACCGGAGTACGCAAGTACGCGAATTAACTGAACAATTCGTTTCTCGTAAGAATAACGTATCGCGAATAAAAATATGCACGAGTGGTGCAGATAGTAAGAGGGAAGCGCGGATAGTGGTTAGGCGATTTCGATCATTCGTTCGTTGTTTCAGCTGAGACAGTGGCCGATGAATTCGATGGAGCTTGCCAGGCTTTAGCGAAGCGACTCGAAGTCGAATTGAGAAGAGCCAAACACGCTCAACTAACGTGCGGAGAAGTTTTGCTACCTGCCGACCTTTTACCTAGGATAGCTAAGGATGTTCTCAGTATGGCCGATAACGAACCATGCGGTCTTAGGTAAGTTATTTACGTATCTTACATTTTCGTACGTTTCGTTTGTCCTTGCTGTTTTCCGATGCAAAATGTAATTACACGTTGCTCGTTTGTTACAGAGGTTGTACACTATTTATCAGTTTCGAGACGGACAGCGTGTGTCGTAAATTGTCGAAAATACAGTGTGATCCTAACGCGGTGTCCACCTTCGAACTTTATCTGACGTTAAAACAAGATCATACAGCTTGGCATATTTTATTACCTCAATTCTTAAAGTAAGTACGAACGTATAATAATTATTTTGGTAATCATCGTAACTAATTTCTCTCGATGGACGAGTTGCTATTTATTTTCTAATCGATTTGTACCTCTTTTCAGAAACCTTAGGCGAGGAGGTACCATCATGATTAGTAGAGACTTCACTTTGGAAAAGAAGAAGTTGTATAGATCATATCAACAAACGCAATGAAGAGAAAACAATTTCAAGAGTCGTTCGACCATTTTGTTAGACGCGAATATTTTAATCTCGTTCAACTTGGTAAATCCGAAGATGGTTTTTCTCCGTACGCGTAAACCAGGCCAACTTTTCACGAGCGTATAGTTTATATCTATTTAGTCTGCGATTATTCAACGTGAAAGAGACAAATATGTATACGTAGACGGTAAGAAGAAGAGGAAGAAAAAGAAGAATAAGAATAAGGTAGAAGGGAGAGAACGCGAGAATAGAAAATGAACGATATTGCGTTCTGTCGATTTGTAATCGTTTGAAAAAGTTAGCGTGAATTGGCTGTGTTTTTAGCTAAAAATGCAATTCATTCGGTGAAATGAAAATGTGATAATAATAAAATAAAAAGAAATCGAAACACATTTCTTTACGCGATTCTTAGATTTTATACGCTTACTTATACAGTATAATAGAAGTAAGATCGGTATAACGCTATAACTTTACGTTGGAAAACAATATCGATTCGAATTATTCGCGATTATCTTAAACGAATACATATCCAGTTGGTAGACGAGAAGTTTGTCAAAGTATTTCCTTAGACAATCGCCGTACATTCTCGAAGGTGGTTTTAATAAATTGCTATCGGCAATTGACGAGCGCGGTGTGTACGATCGTGACAGTCGTGTAGATTTCTAAGATCGCGCGAAGAAATGTTTGCTCGTAAAGAAAGAAAATTGTATCTTCGTTCAACGAAGAAGAGAGGATGACTCGTTTACAAGACTCGTGTAATATATTTTTCGTGATAATCTAACGATATGCTAAAATTAAAGTCAAGTTTTGTTTATCAGCATTAGAAGTATAGATACGCTACAGTTTTTTATTTTAGACATACAAATAGATAATTCGATCACTCTTATCTAGTACTGTTTTATATATACATATATTACTGATATCGATTATCCATTGATAGATAGGTATTTTTAAAGTACTACGTTTCAATGTTTCGATACATTGTATTGTTAAGAAGAAATCTCACGATAGTTTAGACATCGATTGCCGATGATGTGATATTAATAGAAAAAATTGTGATTAACGTAATGCACGGATCATCGTGCAATACTACTAAAAGTTCGGCCATGCGCGTCAAGATTTTCTTACACCGACACCATTGGAAAATATCGTTTAACTTAAATTAACTGACATTTTGTTGCTGCATTATTTAAATGAATTATTGAAAATGAATTACCGAATATTTTCGATATTCTAGGAAACATAATTATGTTTTCTCCATAGAAGAAAAAGTTGCTTGAAATGACGGTATTCAAGAACAACTCGTGATATATATGTAATAAAATCGAAAATAATACGTAGCCGATGTGATGCGTGCGCGTGTATTTGTTTGTCTTTCTTTGTACGGCTATGTGTGCGTGAGTGCGTGAGTGCGTGGTTGCATGTGTGCATATGCGTACGCGTGCACGTGCGGGCATATAAATATAGATACAAATATAAATGGAATTTATAAGACTGATCAGTACTAAAATTTTCCAAATTGAATTTTCAAAGCAGAACAATTATTCGTCGATGAAGACTCGAAACGACAAATAAGAAAACTTGCAAAACTTGCGTTGCGTTTTGCGAATTAAAAGTTGTGGAATAGAATGTTCTTCCTGGTCTCTTTGAAAATAATAGGAAAATGGAGGGAAAGAAAGAAAGAAAGAAAGAAAACGATTAAAGGAAAAGGAAATGTGCGGTGGTCGTGTTATAACATAGAAATAAGATATAAGACAAATATTGTTACACGTATTTTGTACTTTTTTAACCCATTCGCATCAAATGACGGATGTACTGGCCATTTTCATGAACGAGCTGACGATATATCACAGTTTTACTCGTTATTCTAACAATAACGAGCAACGTATCGATAATTTCCATAAACGTACGCGGTTGCGTGTTTTTCATTCCGACTCGAATGAAATAAATATCAACGATAAACGTCGAAAAGTTGTAATTTATTGTAACAAATGACGATAGTAGTTACCGTGAAAAAGTTTTTAATATAAATTACGTATACGAGAAAGAAACGAACGTAACGTTTTATCGTAATTTCAGACACGTTATAACATTCGATTCGATAGAGATTCCAGGGCAAATGGACAAGCGTTAAGTTTCTTGACATTTCACAGTTTGGGCCTATTCGTGCGAGACTGATGCAGTTGCGAATGGGTTAAACGATTAGAAATAACGAAAAGACATTAGAAACATAACATATAGGGTATTTAATTACTTTTTCTTTTATACACGATATCATTGTTTAACATATTGTGCTTCTTCAGATCGCTTCTAAACTTTCACGACGAATGTTCTTCTGTATTTTTCATTAAATAGTCGCTTATCGTATTTTCATTCGCGTACATATTTGATTAGTTTGTTCGTTCGTTCGAGTTCGTGATAACGAAAGAATTATCGTGATAGTTTCGAACATCGATAAGTACCTTCTATCCATTATCAAAAATTTCCAATAGATTGTTTTCGTTTTTCTTCAGTGGATTACGATTTTCACAATTCATTTGTGATTTTATTGACAAAACAAAAAAAAAAAAAAAAAAAAAAAAAAAAAAAAAAAAAAAAAAAAAAAAAAAAAAAAAAAAAAAAAAAAAAAAAAAAAAAAAAAAAAAAAAAAAAAAAAAAAAAAAAAAAAAAAAAAAAAAAAAAAAAAAAAAAAAAAAAAAAAAAAAAAAAAAAAAAAAAAAAAAAAAAAAAAAAAAAAAAAAAAAAAAAAAAAAAAAAAAAAAAAAAAAAAAAAAAAAAAAAAAAAAAAAAAAAAAAAAAAAAAAAAAAAAAAAAAAAAAAAAAAAAAAAAAAAAAAAAAAAAAAAAAAAAAAAAAAAAAAAAAAAAAAAAAAAAAAAAAAAAAAAAAAAAAAAAAAAAAAAAAAAAAAAAAAAAAAAAAAAAAAAAAAAAAAAAAAAAAAAAAAAAAAAAAAAAAAAAAAAAAAAAAAAAAAAAAAAAAAAAAAAAAAAAAAAAAAAAAAAAAAAAAAAAAAAAAAAAAAAAAAAAAAAAAAAAAAAAAAAAAAAAAAAAAAAAAAAAAAAAAAAAAAAAAAAAAAAAAAAAAAAAAAAAAAAAAAAAAAAAAAAAAAAAAAAAAAAAAAAAAAAAAAAAAAAAAAAAAAAAAAAAAAAAAAAAAAAAAAAAAAAAAAAAAAAAAAAAAAAAAAAAAAAAAAAAAAAAAAAAAAAAAAAAAAAAAAAAAAAAAAAAAAAAAAAAAAAAAAAAAAAAAAAAAAAAAAAAAAAAAAAAAAAAAAAAAAAAAACAAAAAAAAATATATCAACAAATCAAAATAAATAATGAGAGTTGTAATAAACATATTGTTTGTCGATCCTTTATCGAATAACCTTATAAACGAATCATCGTATTCTTTTCATAGTTCAAATTAAACGACCTTTTTTTGATTTGCAATGTTTGTCCCACTGCAATAAAATTATTCTTTTCTGTTTTATACTCCTTTTTTTTCGTTTCGCTTATGTTTTTATTTTATTATATTCTAGTAAATTTTAAGGAAAAAACGTGTGGTCCGTGTTATTTTCGGTTTCGAAATCGACTACTATTATTCCAGCATGTACTACGCTTTGCAACTACGTTCTGATATTTGGATAAAATTAATTTTGTTTCGCATTTCGCACGATCGATTAAATCGTATACAATTACGTATAGATGCCGACGCCCCCGCTTATAGGTCGAATCGAAACGATTTACACTAAATAAATTATAATATGCAAACGAAAACTTAACTCTATCCAACGCAACGACATTAGTTAGTATGTATATCTCGAAATCATTAATAATAATTTTTATTTTCACGTCAGTTAGTGCCAACGAAATAAGTGATGTCCAAAAGAGATGATCTTCCGACGGAGGTTCACGAACTGTTTCTAAGAATCCAAGAATCGATCGGTGATGATTCCAATTCGATATCGACTTTATGAGATTTGTCGCGTTTCGAGTGATCTAACCTTAAAAGTATCCACTAAACAAAATAGAATAAGTAAGACAGATAAATGACATTGTGTAGATTTGGGAACGGCTCTTAAAAATATAAAATTAATAGTAATACCTAACCTAATACATAATTTGCAAAGGTCGTGAAAGTTTACAACCAATATTCTTAAAGTTGTAGGACATTTTATATTGAGGAGGTTGCTTTTCTTACAAAGCAACGGCAAAATGCAATTTAATGTCTTCAGTTAGGTTAGGTGTATTATTAACCTCATTTTTAAGAAGACCCAGTGGAACAGATACGGGTTCGATAAGAAAATATGTAGACGCGAATCGAAACTACATATGATTTACAGCTGGTTTGAAATCGATGCTCACGTCAAATAGTTGCAACCAAGCGACGTTAAGACATTCTCTGGCGAATACGAATGATTTGTTTTTAAAATAATAGTTCCCAAGTGCGTGCGCAGTAGCGACGTTGATAATTTGATCGCGAATATAAGCAACTTGATGTTCCACGAATTGTTTCCGTACAAACGTTTGCCATTTTGATCGTCGAATATCAAAGGGAATAAAGTAAGATATGGCTAAAATTTGATGTTTGTCCGAGGCTGTTGAATATTTCTTTGATTTTAAAACATCCACGTTTTCTTCTCCCATTCTTTCCTTTTCCGTTCTATGTAACGAATAAGTATTTATATGCAGCTTAATGATCGTTTTAAATATACGAACATCTAATATCGCTATTACGTTGTTTCAGGTAACTCGTTACAACTTCGTTGTAATGAATATTTTCTTGTTTTACACATTGATATTATTATTACTATTATTTATTTACTTATTGTCTCCAAATATTTTCATCTCTTTGTATAGAATGTACAATGACGCGCAATGAACAAAATTTGTTGGGGTACGGATTTTTCTTACGTTCGAAACACTATATATTTTGCATGACGTTGACATTTTTATAAATAAATATATCTCTATCGTAAACGTTTGAGGGTGACTCGAAAGAAAAATACTTACGCGCTCGCGTGTATACTAGAAACTAGAAAGATTAAAAATCACGAATGCGAGAACACGACTGTTACTTCTGCGTAAACGCACCTTCTATAACTATCCTGGAAATATAGTTGGAACTATTGCGAACGACTATTTCGATTCGTTAAAACAAATCGTACATAGTTGATTATTTTATTTTGTTTTTTTTTTCCAAACTGTATTGTTCAACTCCTCTTCAAAGTCTACCGATTCCGCAATAATTCGTATTTACGTACATGCGTGTACCTTACGAAACTACCAAGAAACGCGAACGAGGGTAGCAAACGCAATTCGAGGCATATTTATAATCATTTTATACTACAGAAGATATGCAGTTGCCAAGTTTTGCAAAACCAATAAACGACGATGCAACGGCAACTGAATTAAAAATGAATATCGTCGCAATAACGTATGTTGTTATTCTCGTGTTATCACGGCGACAAAACGTTAATAACATCTTGATTCTTCCAATATCGCTTAAACGTACGATAAAAATAATACTGGTTCTTTACTTTTTTTTTTTCTTCCGTTCTTTGGTAGATTATCTCTTCTTCGTTGTTGATAATTTAACAATACATAGACGCATCTTCGCCGCCGCTTACGCTCCCCATTATCCAATAATTTCGTAGAATCGATTCAGTGATAAAAAAGAAAACTGTAGTCGTCGAATGCGAAGAAGGATGATCGATCGAAGAACGTTAACATGCATTTTAAGCTACTACTCCCGTTATTACACCTCCGGTCACGGGAAGACCAGTTTCTCCCATCAAAGCCAGATCTATCTCTCTCGCTGCTTGTCTGCCTTCCGTGATGGCCCAAACAACCAGCGACTGTCCACGACGACAATCTGTAGAAAAAACGTATATCATCGAGTTTCTTCGACTAATCGTACCGATATTATGTAATATCGGCACGGAGCAATAATCGAACAACGTTTTACCTCCAGCTGCATACGTTCGAGATAAACTTGTTTCGTATTTGCCGACCGGTGTTTTAAAGTTGCCTCTTTCGTCCAACGTCGTGTTCAATTCTTCAGCGATATATTTCTCGGGACCCAAGAAACCCATTGCGAGTAAAACCAAATCACATTTATATATCTGCACGGAAAGAAAAGAAAATAAGCGAAGCAAAACAAAATTTATTCGATTTACTATCGACTTAACTAACACGATTTTCGAAGGAATTTCATCGTCGCTATTACCTTTTCCGTCCCTGGAACTTCTTCCATTTTCCAACGACCATTTTCCATTGTCCATGACACCGTCACTGTTTTGATACCGCTTACATGGCCATTTCCATCGTCCAAGAATTCCTGTAAAACGAGTATTTGAAACGGGGAAGAAACGTATTTTGCGCGTACAAGACCAATTATCGCTTACCTTACTCAATGTACTGAATTGTCGCGGATCTCGTCCGAACTTGAGGAGTACTTCTTCATGGCCATAATCTACTTTGAATACACGAGGGAACTGAGGCCAAGGATTATCTTGTCCTCTCTTTTTTGGTGGTTCCGGTAAAATTTCAAAAGTAGTGATAGTTTTGGCACCCTGTAACGCGTACACCGATACGATTAAAATACTGGAGGGAAATTGAACTCTACGACCGTTTATGTCGAGTAGAAAAAATTACGTATATCGACAACAAGTACGAGTTTCTGGACATTCCGGACATTACTGAAATCTATTCGATTTCGAAGTATTTTGAAGTTTAGCGAATACAATATGTAAACTATACCTGTCGTAAAGACGTAGCTATGCAGTCGCAACCGGTGTCGCCACCACCTATTATAATGACATCTTTATCCTTAGCCATCAGACGCATATCCAACGGCGTATCGTTCCCCATTTGTTTCTTCTGCCAATGTTCCAGAAAACTTACAGCGAAATGAATACCCTCGAAATGTCGACCTGGTATTTGTAAATCTCTTGGCCATGTAGCACCGGTACAAAGTAACATTGCATCGTATTGTTCAGCCAATTCCTATAAACATGGAGTATAAGCATGGAGAATGAGTAAAGATTCGAAAGAGAGAGAAAGAGAGAGGTAAAAAAAACTAATGAAGAAATGAAGGTACAAATAATCGACCGAGCTCGAATATTATCTGACCTTAGCAGAAATATCTTTTCCAACGTTGATGCTGGTTTTAAAGGTGATTCCTTCCGCGGCTAAAAGGGAAACTCTCCTTTGAACGACTTGCTTCGATAGTTTCATAGTAGGTATGCCATACTGCAATAAGCCTCCTATACGATCGTTTCTTTCGTAAACGGTTACCAGATGGCCTGCTTTATTTAATTGATGAGCCGCGGCTAGTCCTGCAGGACCAGAACCGATTACGGCAATTCGTCGACCGGTTCTTGTTGTAGGTGGATGCGGCACTATCCAGCCTTCTTCGAACGCGTGATCGATTATCGCGCATTCGATGTTTTTTATCGTAACCGGTGGTTCCGATATACCCAGCACGCAGGCACCTTCGCACGGCGCAGGGCAAACTCTTCCAGTGAATTCTAAATGGATTTTTATTCGATTTGTTAACTTACTATCAGATTAAATGAAAAACGGGCATACCATTATTATCATCGAGGTTCTTAAGTAAAGGATTTTCCTCTGGCTTAATTAATATAAATGGATCGTGCCAAATTCATGTTGTTATATAGCATCAGTATTAATTAATATTACTGTTGAACTTTTGTTACCACGATCGTTGCGTGTAGTAGTATGACTGTTTTTCGTACGTGTGAGTGAACGTGTGTCGGTTGCTCTAGCAGCGGTGAGTTTCTATTATTGTTATTACATCTATACCCTTCGGACTAACTACAATTTGATTGCACGAACCTGGAAAATTATTTGTTTGTAACAACTGATTCAAAGCTTCTTTCCAATTCGATTGAAAAATTAAATCGTTCCATTTCGGTATAATATTTCCTAAAGGACAACCGTGACTACTTTGGCAAAATGGTACACCACATTCCATGCATCTGGCTGCTTGTACGCGTAGTCCTTTTCGAACTCGTTGAAAGTTATAAATTTCATCCCAGTCGGTAAGACGGTTTTCAACCGGCCGATAAACCGCCACTTCTCTTTTGTATTTCAAAAATCCTCTATAACAATTTATAAAGAAACGTATTTAACAAAGTTGACTTTAGCCTTCTTTTCTTTTCAAATTAATTATAGGACGAACTTTTACAGCAAGAAACGTAAATATACCTGATCTTATCGAGTTTACGCTGTTCCATATCAACGTCCGCGACTACTTCCTCGATATCTTTCACTCGAACATTCGAATCAGTTTCCGAGTTTCCGTTTACTGTTTCTTGTATTTGTTTTGCCTGTTCGAGTTGTTGCAGTGCTCGTTGATATTCGTATGGAAATACCTTCGACAATATCAAAATGTTAAGTACTTGGAGTAGAGTTAGAATTAGAATTAATCGCGAACTACCGCTAATCAGTACCTTAACGAACCGCGTAGTTGGTTCAGGCCACAGTTGTAACAGACTTTCAGCGATAAGAGAGCCGGTCTTTTCAACGAATTCTTCTAGAAGTTGTTTCACGAATGCTATATCTTCCGGTTTGTTCAGAGGCAGCAACTCCACCATTTCAGGGTTGCATTTACTGTAGACAGGAGATCGACGGGTTAAGAGGAGAATACATGGATACAAGTACGTAGTAGATGCGCGTATAGAGTAAATGTGTGACCAACAGGCGAAAAATGAATAAAAAGCGAATGAACAATGATTAACGCAGCGAATAATAAATAGTTAAAAGGCCGACGTTGTGCGTACCTTTTGAAAGATCCATCCACATCGAAGACATAAGCTATACCACCGGACATACCAGCAGCGAAATTTCTTCCGGTCAGTCCCAAAATGACCGCGCAACCACCGGTCATATATTCGCATCCATGATCTCCGACGCCCTCCACTACAACAGTTGCTCCACTGTTACGAACGCTGAATCTTTCGGCAGCTATCCCTCGGAAATAGGCTTTACCGGACGTTGCACCATAAAGGCAAACGTTACCAACGATAACGTTATATTCGGATTTAAAAGTGGAATCTTTTGGTGGATATATCACGATCTCTCCACCACAGAGTCCCTGAAAATCGTGGATAGGAAGATGTTTGGTTCGAAGGGAAGAAAAGTAGTACGACGATTAAAAATGAGTAAGATGCATACCTTCCCAACGTAATCGTTGGCATCTCCTTCGAGAGTAACGTGAATCCCTTTGGTCATGAAAGCGCAGAAACTCTGACCTGCGGAACCTTTCATCCTAATATTTATACTACCCTCTGGTAAACCAGCTTCACCGAACAATCTACGATCAAAATGTCAATTGAAAATTATTTTCAAAAGAGAGAGAGAGAGAGAGAGAGAGAGAGAGATTTTTACTTTGACACATGGTAGCTCAAGGTCGATGCGAACGCTCTACATTCATTGTTAATATTCAATTCCATCGTAACGCTATCCTTTTTTCGATCCAACACATCCCTGGCCAATTCGATCGCGCGGTTGTCCAGTCTGTTCTCCAACTGAAAGTCTTGCTTGATCGATCCACCCTTGATATTTATTCCTGGCCGAAGTTCCAAAGCGCTTCGCAAAATGTTATCGAGTTTCAACGTCTTTGCTTTCTCGATCGAGATATCTTGGCGGACTTTTAAGAAATCTGTACGACCGATTAAATGTTGAAACTCGCGCACTCCTAATCTAGCCATGTACGAACGTACCTAAATCGTAAACGTACGTTGATCGTTAATTTGTTATTCGGGAAACGTTGTATTTGTCCGAGCGAATCCCCCGATTTACCTACCTCTTCTGCCAACGCGAAGAAAAAGTTGATAACGTGTTCCGGTTTTCCTTCGAATTTTTTTCGAAGCACCGGATCTTGGGTTGCTATGCCCACTGGACAAGTGTTTAAGTGACATTTTCTCATCATCGTACAACCCATAGAAATTAACGGTGCAGTACTGAAACCAAATTCATCGGCACCTAAAAGAGCCGCTACTACCACGTCGTATCCAGTGCGCATTTGACCGTCCGCTTGAACGACAACGCGCGATCGAAGATTATTCAAAGTTAAAACTTGATGAGTTTCCGCGACTCCCAATTCCCAAGGTAATCCAGCGGATTTTATTCCTGTCCAACTGCTAGCGCCGGTTCCACCGTCGTGACCGGATATTACGATGTGTTCCGCTTTCCCCTGTTGAATTTTTTTTCATCGATGATACACATAGCCACTGATCGTTCGTCGAAATAACGAACAATCATAGGGCGATAGTAGGTGATTCTCAGAGATCTAATTTGGTGGATATCGAAGAAGATACCTTGGCCACGCCTGCTGCGACTACGCCTACCCCCACTTCCGACACGAGCTTCACAGAAATACGTGCATTGGGATTCGCGCATTTTAAATCATAAATTAACTCGGCGAGATCTTCGATCGAATAAATGTCGTGATGCGGCGGCGGAGAAATTAGTCCCACACCAGGTACCGAGTGTCTGGTTGCAGCGATTTCAGCAGTAACCTGTTGCAATTGTTCAGCTACTGTTCAAATACGGTCGAAATCCTCGAAATCGTTAAAATTGTTCTCGACTTATGAAAACTGTACGTTCTTACCTTGTAACCAGGCAATTCACCTCCTTCTCCCGGTTTCGCTCCCTGTGCCATTTTTATTTGAAGATCGTCGGCGTTCGCTAGATAGCTCGAAGTTACACCGAAACGACCGCTCGCGACTTGTTTGATGGCGGATCTTTTGTTAAACGTTGGATCTTGATCGAGATACCTGTACAGCGACGAACGTTTTAATTCGCGTTTTATACGACGCGCGCGCTCGTAACTTTACCTGTCGGCGTTTTCACCGCCTTCTCCGGTATTCGATTTTCCACCGATCCGATTCATCGCGATTGCCAGACTGGTATGAGCCTCTATCGAGATGCTTCCAAAACTCATAGCACCGGTCGCGAATCGTTTCACTATTTCAGAGGCAGGTTCAACTTCTTCTATGGGTATCGAATTTTCGGATTTTTCGATCAGTTCTATCTGACCCCGCAACGTACAAGCTTTTATCATCTCCATCGTGGTTTTTCGATACTTCTCGTAAGCATTCCAATTCTTAGTACTTACGTAATCCTGAGGGAAAGCGAAAGGAAAATGAAAAGAATAAGTAAAATCGAAGGAAATTAGGTTGGGTAAAAGAATATCGTTGGAAACGACTGTACCTGTAAGTTAGCGATACTATCGGGATCGTTCACGTGTTTCTCTCCGCCGGATCTCCAATGATAAATTCCTGGATTGCGAATGACCAGCATATCTATAGGTTTGTTCCAATAAGTGATTTGATGCCTTTCGAATGCTTCTTTCGCCAAAATATCGAAAGTAACTCCACCGATGCGAGACTGCGTTCCCTAGATAAACACCGCAAAGCATCCGATTTAACGAGCAAGAAAAGCTCGGTGCGAGACGAGATCGTGCGAGACTTCGGTACATCATCGAAAAGGTTGAATCACGAAAAATCAAAATCATTAATTGGATCCAATTTTTAATCACGCGTACTTTTCGTTCGGCCGATAGCCGAGTATACGGTGATATATCGTCGATATACGTACCTTGAAACATTTCTCGATTACATCGTCGGATAGGCCGACCGCTTCAAAGATTTGCGCTCCTTTATACGACTGTAACGTGGAGATACCCATTTTCGCCATTACTTTAGCTATACCCCTCTCCATTGCTTCTGCGTAGTTCTGCGACACGTTCAAGATACCAGTTTACTTTCCGCCGCTTAGCTTCGCTTTACCGTGCTTTCTTTTATAAGAGCGTCTAACACGCTTACCGCGCATAAAACGTTATCGGTCAACGAGGAATCGAGTACGCCATCCGCTCGAAGATTCCTTGCCATTTCAAAGACCAGGTACGGACAAACGGCGTCTGCTCCGTAACCAAGTAACAGACAAACGTGATGTACTTCTCTAGCTTCGGCTGTTTCCAGGATAAGACCAACTTTCATACGTTGTCGTTCTTCGATCAAATAATGGTGCACCGCGCCCAGCACAAGGAGACTACTCACTGGTACCCTAATAAATATAATAAATAATAATAATAATAATAATAATAATAAAAATAAAGAGCCGCTTAGCGCCGTACACCCGCGTCGAAAATCAAGCATATCGTTATTCACCTGTCTGGTCCAGCTCGTCGATCGGACAGAATCAGAAACTGGTAACCTTCTTTGGCAGCTTCGTCGGCTTCTCGACTGACACGGTTCAACGTGTCCGTTAATCCGGATGGGCCATCTTGGACAGGGTAAGTCGCGTCGATCACTTTACTCTTCCAACCACGATATCTCGTGCGTTTAATTATTTCAAGATCGTCCAGTGATAATATCGGTTGCGGTAAAAATAATCGGTGCACTTGAAGCTCGTTGGGTTCCAAAATGTTACTCTCGGGTCCGATGGGACATAACATCGACATGACAATTTTTTCTCTGAAAGGATCTATCGGAGGATTGGTCACCTAAGGAACATCATTGCACGAATATAAAAGATACATCAGATATCGATACATCGGATATTCTCGTCCGAGAAAATCGAACCAACCTGGGCAAACAGTTGCTTGAAGTAATCGTAGATTAGCGGTTGAAATTGCGAAAGACAGGCGAGTGGCGCGTCGTTACCCATCGAACCCAATGCTTCTTTTCTACGTAATTAATGATTTTTTTAGTTTTATCTTTATCCTCGAGTAGAGAATTTCTATAGAGCGTAAAATACGTACTTGGACTGCATCATCGGTAACAGCAGCAAATTGATCGTTTCCAGCGTATAACCGTAAAGCGATAGCCTCTTGTCCCCTCCCCAAACTCGATTTACGGCGGATATAGGATTTTCCTCGTTATCCGCTTTAGTTTGCTCACCGACTAAACCATTTTTAACAGGAACCACCTTTGTTTTAGTGGAATCTCTGTCAGCGGCCCGTAACTCTTCCATCGTGATCTACATGCAAGGACTACGTTTATTCGAATAGAAAACGATCCTTCAGTCGTGATGATTCCGTTGCTTACTATCGTTAATCGTGTTCAGTCAGTGAACAATAAGCAACGACCAGTCGATCGGAATAATCGGACTAAAGTTACTAGATCGGCGTTGATCGATCGACGCGTAATCGAAAGCCGCCATTCGCGGAACAATGCAATGAAATGATAGAAAAAACTCACCATCTGCGTATGCGATACGCAGCGTATGATGACGTCGCGTACGAATGTTTGAAAACAGAAATAAATGCATATTTTTAATCAATCATGTGGATTAACTTGGAGGAAAGAAGCGATTATAAGCGTTCAAAATAATCTTTCTGCGTTTACCGTTAATTCACTCGGCAATGCAATCAATTAAAATTAAGAAAAAATTTCGTTAAAAATTTAACGAAAGAAGTTTACCTGATCTTTCAGCCATTTCGAATGAGGTCTGCTTCTAGCTATTTGCAACTTGAGTTCCACGTCCTCTATGATCCTCTTTTCGCGCGTATCGACCAGTAGCATTCTTCCTGGCTTCAAACGACTCTGTAAATAACACGAAATTCGTCTAATTAAAGGGGAAGAAGAGAAGCAACCGTCGGACGCTCGAGTTACGGTAGCACCGAACGATCATCTTGCACGGTACAATTACGCGGATTCGACTTGTTCGTTAGGCAACATATCGTGTCGGGTAAACGAATTCTAAAATGATGGAAAAAATAAATCCGAAATGAGCGTTTCCCAGAAATTTTCAACGGATGATCGCTCGACTGCAAAGCACAAAATAACGCGACTTGGTTGCTTTCGAATAAAAACATTAGGAAAAAACGAATTATAAATACGATGTACGCACGCATACGTACATACAGACACACGCACACGTACACAACACACGCGCACATATCTATTCTGCATCTAAAATCCATTCTGTAATATAGACTTATAGACGAACGAAGACGAGGAACTAAACGGGAAGGATAAACGATCCAGTTAAGAATGCGGGAAAATCGAGGGCCGATATATGTAGGATTTACGTATTTTCCTTTTTACCTTGATTAGCGAAAAATAAGAAAGAAGTGCATATTTAAAAAAAGAAGCGCTTTACGCTGTGCGAAAGCATCTGAACGGCAGTCATTGTATGTATGATAAATAAATCGACCTGACAAACTTCTACAAACAACTGGCCTGGCCGATCATGTGTTCGTTTCCTCGTTTACCTTCAGGACTACATTTCCGGGCGGAGTGTCATAGACGCCCACTTCGGACGCCATCACCATCATGTTATCCTTAGTGACGTAGAAGCGCGACGGGCGCAGGCCATTTCTGCCAAACAAAAATTCAAAAGTCTTTTGTATTACCACCACAGTGTCGCGCATTAACATCGACGGCGACTAACTTTGCTTCATTTTTACATATACTCTCTCTCTCTCTCTCTCTCTCTCTCTCGCTAAAAAAATATTCTACAATCTTGTTCCTTTTTTTCATTTACGGCCTAAAAAATTCTCTTCCCGTTATTTTATCCTGCAGTCATTAGCTACTTCCACAGCTACTCGTGTACGAGCCTTGAAGGGAAGCAAGTTCCTAGTCTTCCCTTTTTTAATATATGTAAATAAATCCTTCGGAGACATCTTTCAATTTCTCCCAAAGGTTTTGACCTTGTCTTCATAACGGATCTAATAATCGTTATCTAGCTTCTCTTCAAAGCCTCGATCATCCACGTTTATCGTTTTTTAGCGTAGTAATTTTACTCTAGGTTTAGACACAGAAACGTGTATTCGTATAGTTTATTCGTATAGCTTAGCCGAAATTACCTATCACAACGGAACTATAGCATGGGTTATCACGTTAGCGGTTCTACTTCTGCAGCTTCTCTGTGCCGATCGGCTAAATCATATTAACTTTCCATAATTTAGTTTCATTATATATTTTAAACGATGGGAAGAAACGAGGAGAATCGTTTGAAAGCGTAAAGCGTAAAGAGTAAACGGTAGTCCGTACCTGTCTAAAATAGCACCAACGTAACGTCCATCCGTGAAAGTCAAAAGGGCGGGACCATCCCAAGGTTCCATAGCGCAAGCAGCCCAATGATAAAAGTCGCGTTTCTCGGTTGCCATCGTCGTATCGTTTTGCCACGCTTCCGGTACCATTGTCATTACCGCCTAAATACGTTTAGATTAATCGAATCGGATGGAATCGAGTCGAAACGAGTCTAATTATCGTTCGAAGAAGGAAGATACGTACCTCTGGTAAGGAGCGTTGTCCCACCATCACCAGAAATTCCAAAACGCAATCAACTGCTCCCGAATCGGAGAGATTCGGTTCTACCACGGGATACAGCTGTTTCAGTTGCTCGCCATAAAGCTTGCTGCTCATCACTCCTTCTCGGGCTTTCATCAGATTAACGTTTCCTCTCAAAGTGTTGATTTCGCCATTGTGCGCCAACAATCTATAATGGATGATTTTAGTCGCATAAGCCACGAGATGGCTTATGTCTGATTTAGGAGAAACGAGGAGAATCGGTCTTACCGAAGAGGATGCGCCCTTTCCCAGCTGGGAAACGTGTTGGTGGAAAATCTTGTGTGAACCAACGCCAAATAGGTCTCGAATTTTGGCGACTGGAAAAATAAATGAGTAGTATTAGCGTTCGTTCGATCGGCAGATGATACGGTTTAGAAGATTCGGTTACCTTCAGATCTAGGAAGTACAACCACAGCTGATCCGCTGTTAGCTGACCTTTGTACACCACGACTCGGACGGAAAGCGAACATATGTAGTATCTTATCCCTAACTGCGGTATGGAATGAGACGATCTTTTCCTTAAAACGAACACCTGTAATCGAACAAGAGGATCAGTCGCAACCGTTTGCCGCGTGTCGAATGTAAAGATACATGTTACTGGTATAGCTCGTTCGTACGAAAGATTCGAATCACCGAACAACGTTTACCTGCCGTTCGAGATCAGCGTCATCTTGGTCGCCGGTAACGAACACTTGCCGCATGTAAGGCTCGCATTTTCGTGCCACTTGTCCAATTTTCGTGTTATCCGTTGGAACGTCTCGCCAACAGATTACCTACGATAGCAAACGAAATACGATTAATCGCGATAGGATATTTTCCTACGACACCAACTAGCGACACCAGACGAAGTAGACGAAATCTTACCCTCAAATTGCATTCTTTGGCTAATTTTTCGAACGCATCCTCAACTTGTTCGTGCGTATTTTTGTCGAGGAACAGAATACCGGTAGCGTAACGTCCAAATTCTGGTAATTCGACGTTTTGCCGTGCACTGAAAAATAAATTGACGCAAAGTTTATATTTAAGTTAATTGACGAAAAATTGATATTTAATATTTATTCTCGTTAACGACGGCAAACAGAAAATTATTCGCGAGCGAATGTTCGATTCGATTAACCGTACAAAAACGGAAATAGACTTTCAGACATTTCGAACATGTCCGGGAAATGATTTTAGCAAGATCGTTGGAATTTGGACGGTCAGCACTAATCGCAAACTCTATTTCGCGAGAAACTGCGATTTATCGTCGCCGATGTCGCGTAGCGACTTGTACGGGGCAATGAAAAAAAGGAGAGAAGAAAAAGCGAGGAAGATACGGGTTGTTAAGGGATTATTACGAACGAACGAGAAAGAAATCCGAAAAGATAGATTTTTGGTTAATCACGACCGTGGCCATGTAACGGTTGTTATCGTTCGCTAATAAATAACAGAACCGATAATAAAGTAAACACACGATATTTCTATGCGCTGCTCGGTAGATTAGCGAATAACGCGCGCGATGCCGATAACCTAGAAATTACGTCGTCGACCCGCACGAGTTATGAAATTGAACGCGTTATCGGATGCATAGTTACTGGTGTATACGTCAGAGAATGACGAACCAATGGAAGAAGCATGATCATCGCGCTTATCTCTTACCGCAATTCGTCGGCGTAATACTCGTGAGGAATGGCGCAAAGAGCACCGGCTCCGTCACCGGTGTCGTTGTCGCAAGCACAGGCACCACGATGGTTCATGCGCGCCGAAAGAATTTCCGCGTCCCTAACGATCTGTAAACAATACGTATCTGTATCTTTTTTATCTTATTCATATTCTATATTACCATCTACTAGAGCGGGATATCATCTACTAGGGCGGGAGGTTATTTCGTCGATTCGATCAAATTTTTGGCGAAGGAAGAATCCTGGTGAAATACGCCTGGTGGTCCGAAGTCCGACGACACTGTCCGTTCGTTCGCCAAAAAATTGCCGATAGAACGGTAATCGTCAGCGAGCGAGAAGGATAGAGGAGAATAGAGGAGAATAGAGGAGAATAGAGGAGAATAGAGAAAGAAAAAGGGAGGAAAATATCCTAATGAGATTTACCTTATGAGATTTTTTTCCATCTATGGCAACGATGAAACCAACACCGCAGGCTTCCTTTTCGAGAGCAGGATCGTAAAGAGCCTGTTTCGGAGGTAAAGACCAATTTTCAACGTCGTACATGGTTTCTCTCTGAAAAATTTTCACGGATCATTAGTTCGCGAGGTTATCGTTGAGGATAAAATAGAAATAAAAAACCGTGCGAAAATAGTGGCACGACTAATCAATCGGCAATGTGTCTCGCTTCGGTTAGAAAAGGAATCTTATCTTCCACGGACGCGATCGTGGAAAACATACACGCACGTAACACGCGCATACTACGCGTTCCGACGGTCGAACGCATTTAGGAGCGCGCCATCGATTTATTATGTAAAGAGGCGCGAGCGAGCGCGCGCGCACACACACTTGTTTCCGTTTCCATTCGGTCGTTTAATGCACTATACGTGCATTCTCGTAATCAAGAACGCGAAAGATAATTCGTGTAAGAGCAAGTAAAACGAATAAAACGAGTAAAACGATTAAAAAGAAGGAAATTTCTTTCGAAGAGATCCTCCTTCGTCCTCGTATATTTTCAATGTCCTGAATCTACGTTCGAGTATACGAATAGAAGATAACGTTACAAAGGCTAAAAACGTCTTAATGTCGTTCCTCGTTTTTTCCACGCGCTATATCTTCGTTCGACCTTTCGATCGCTACTCGTTATTCTTCAAACAGCGTACACACGACCGTCAACTTGAAATACGATCTGGTAAATTATCGGTATCACCGATCATACTTGGGTCACCTCTAGCGCGGTTGAGGTTCGAAGGCGAGATGCACGCTTCGCGCGCTCTTCCATCGAACGCGTAACGCGCCGTGGCGGTAACTAGACTCCGATATTGCGCGTATCGCGTCTAATCGACGATAAATGTTTTCCGTCCCGTCGTTCTCGTATAACGAAGCTCGCGTATGCGTACTCGTCATTCTTCTGGCTTTTAACAAAAAATCCAAACAGATAAATTGTAAAAGAAGAAAAATAAAAGGACTCGCGTAACAACGATCGACACCGCGCGATGCGCGTTTATATTTATGTTCTCGCTCTCTTCCTTTCGTTTTTGTGCTTGAAACCTGCCCCCGCTGTGTAAAGCGTGCCTTGAAACAAGCATAACCTCGAAAGAAAGGAAAAGAGAAACGAAAGTAAAAGAAGTTACACCGATCGAAAACTATTCGACGATGATTCGTCGTAAAAAATGTATAACCGACGAGAGAACGCTCGAAAAAAAAAATAGCGGTTACTGCATTACGTAACATACGGTTACACGATTTGTCGTAAAAGAAATCGAATTGTTCGAATAAAAAGCACCGATCGAGTAGATATTCTATTAGAAAGGAAAATGCGAAACGGACTAAAACGGACGAAAACATACTTCTCTCGATACATACTAAGTTCAACGTTTCGTCGACTAAAATAGAATGTAGAAAAATATCATTTTTCCGAAATTTCTATAGAAAACAGTGAAATATAGAAACGTCGGAGTTCGAACGTGAAACAACCTTGCTAATTTCGTTAAGAATGTTATTGACGGATTTGTTTTGCGAAGCACCGTGTAAGATTTATGCGTTTCATGACATCGCTATCATGGTTCAGAGTGTCGCGTAGTACGCGACTACCATCCGTTAATGATAGGACGGTGCGCTTTGTTTTCGGTTAACTACAATTCGCTAATGTCCTTTCTTTAATCTCTTTTTTTAATAAAATATAATATTTCCCTTTTCCGCCTTCTTTGACCTTCCGTATCATTTTTAACGATTCGATCGCGTTTCAACGATTGCCGCGTATGACTTTTGTTTTTTCAGCGAACGCATTAACCGCTGAATAAATAAGCACGTTGCACGACGCGCTTCGAAATTCGATACGATTTATTAGCGCCTTAAAAATATATGAATACATGTTGCCTACCGACTACTTAGGTAGATATGACACAGAACTATCTTTTTCTTTCGAAATCGACGAAAATTCGCTTTAAAAATGGCAATAGTCGTCGTCGTTGTTCGATCTCGAATCTCTGTTATTTAAAAGCGAGAGGAAAAATATATGAGACGGCGCAAAAACAGGTTGGTTCCGCGACATAACCGCGATCGATCAGCGTATTTTTCGTTTACTTGGCAATTTACTCGGCAATTCGGTCAAAGAAATACACGTTTTCGAGCGAGATAGTTTTGGCCAGCAACGATATTTGGCTTTGTGCCAGTACATCGATGGAACCTACGAAACTCTTAGTTTCCCTTAAAATACGCGATCATCTTGAGAACGCGATTCAAGAGTATCCTTTCGATTTTTCTTTTCGGTCTGTACAGAGTCGAAGATAACTCCATTAAGAAAAGATAAACCCATTTCTGTTATCCTTTTTTTTTTTTTTTCGTTCGAAGGTACACCTGTACTGTACATATACTTTGTATATTTTCATCGGGCGAATCTTTCTACGCTTTAAACACGGTACAATCTTAACAAGCAATTATCTCGAGTCTGTTACAAAATCGTGATTTTAAAAATAATGATAACGTGCAGTGGAAACTCCCGTTTATCGCTAAGAATGCACGAGGAGAGGGGAGTTCATTAGTATGTATGATAGTACGCAGCTTAATCGAGTACAGTTTTATCGGTTAGATATTATCTAAACGCGTCGATTCAATTCTCCTCCGCGTTTCATTTCCCGTTTACTTCGTTCACTCTGATCGAATAAAATTATTAGGCCATTTTTCGAGTTTTCTCCAAAGCGATCGATCATTGTCGTTCCTTAATAAATCTCTTTTATCGCGCGTTTCGATTCCGTGCATTTGCCACTGTATCGAATTCATAATCAACATGCTTTTCCTACTTCCGACGGAAACGAACTTCCAATTAGCCTCTATAAAAAGAACTAACAACGAAGGGCAAAACCTTGAAAATTGCTAAAATTAATACGAAACGAACTAGCGGGATCAGATACAGTTTATGTCGAAACTAACAACGTACCCGCATGGCCGAATTAAACGCGGCTTTTTTCGCTAACGATAAGGTATTCCAATCGATTTCACGCCACTGTTATTTTTTCGTTTGCCCTATATATCACAAAGTTCGACTTTACGCGCCTATCGCGAAATCGAATTTACGCGTTTGCTCCTGTAATTACGAACTACGGCGGTACAAAAGTATATACATGCGTACACATATAGTAAGTGTATAAGTGTCCGTTTAGGATCGAATAGTTTATTTTTACCGTTAATTCGTTTGCTCGCGCTAAACGAACATTCTTGGACCTAACCCAACTGATTTTTAACTGGATAATTTTCTCGTGGCTGTCCACGATTTTTCTTCGATAGAACCGAACCGGTCAAACTTTCTTTCGACTCACAGCCTATCTAACCGGGTGAAACGAGAGTTCGAGTAAAACGTATGTAATCGGAACTAGAAAAACATTTACCTGTCGAGTCGAGTCGAGTCGAGCCGAGTCGTGTCGTGTCGTCTCGTGTCGTGTCGTGTCAACGATCGATAGCACGGCCGCTTAATTCGTGCTCCGGTTATTCCACCAAATTCTAACTCGTGTCTATAGTTTCCTTGTTCGACGTTCTCGTTCTTTCCTTTTCGTTCACGACTCTTTTTTTCCTCTTTCGCTTTCCTTTAATTGCTTTTTACAACGCAACACGTATATTGTATCATGTATCACACACGCGAGAGCGACTCGGACAACTTTCTGGCCGGCGTACAATTACCGTGAAAACAAATATTTCATTGGCTCTCGCGGAACGATCGAAAATCATGAAACGCGACCAAAATTGCTAAATTATTTTCAGCGATCCGCAATCGCGGTTATCATAGACTCGAATAAAACTCGAACGAAATGTGCAATCACTGGTCGACCAATCGCTTCGACTGCCACGATCTGTCTGAATGTAGTTCGTGATGCTCGACTGCTCGACTGCTCGACCGTTCGACCATATCTTACCAGTTAAAAGAGTCAATTTTTCCTTCCAACCGATGCGCCGACACGACGATGCGACACGACGATGTCGCCTCTCTCGGCAAATTTCCAGTCAATGTCAGTTAAATCGTAACACGTGTTTGCGCTCTTTACCGAACGCTTCCTAACAGCGCAGGAAGTCGATACGTGTAAACCTTGTTTCATTGGCCGACACGACGTACATGCCAGTCATATACATATATGAATACACATTTGCCTAGCTCTATAGCTACGCGCATATACGTACGTATATACATCGTATTTATATCCTGGTCGAACAAAAATGTTCGATTCTCGGTTCGAACGAACGCGCATCTTATCTTCCAAGAATTCGTATCGCTTCGCGAATTACATAAACGGCAAATAAATCAAATTCTTTTACTCGTTCAACTTTTTTACAAATTTAAACTCGAGTCGTCGACGATACGCTATTATACGTATTTCTATTACTGTATACTTTACGACTCCGTTATATTATTCTCGCACTGTCTTCTACAGCGTGAACTGTGCACGATATAGATCGTAGACTATTCCAGGTAAAAACTACCTACTACTTCTCCATTTTCGGCGGAAAATTAATCGAAAACTCGTCGAAAATATTCCGTAAAGAAAAAAAAGAGAAAATATCAAGCGTTCCAAGTATACACTAACGTAGATTCGTAAAGATGAAAATAGAAGGATTCCTATTTTAAGTAAATCAAGTTTTGTCGACTAAATTATGTTTGCATACGTACCAAATGGAAGAGATTCCTGCCGGAACATGCGATTATTTACGCGGTCGTCTGCCACTTACACCGCATTTTAGTTTAAACTACTCGTCAACATACCTTCTTAATCGTTCAACGTTGCGAGTGATTCTTTTTTATTTCTTAATCGCATCGTAAGTCTTTTACAATGATTAAAAAATAAATGATTTATAAAAGTATAATTATAACGTATACAATAGTAAACTGTGACAATATATTTGCTAACAAGATGTAGAGTCAAAATATTAATTTGAAGTCGTTAACGAAACAATTTCGTTTCTCGAGAGATATGAAAGTACGTTAGAAAAAATATAGTGCAGATACAATATTTTACGTTTGTTGTATTCGACAAAAAAATATTTTCATTCGCTGCACGTTTCTCTCTTAATTTTCCTTTCCTTTTCTACATTTTTCACGCTTTCTAAAACACGTGTATATCGGTCCTGTATACGAAGGACTAACAATAAAATAATGAACAAAGTTGTCGAGAGAAATATTAATAGCCGGGTCGAACGTGTAAAACTGATGGGTTTATGTTCGTTTTTTTCTGTCTTCTTTTCTCTTCGTTAAAACACCGACGTTAGACGAGAAGAATTTATTAATCGCTTACGTGGATGACGCTAGGTCGATGGGAATACGTACGGAATGAAATTTCGTCGAAACGCTACCGAACGAAACTGCGATAAATCGAGGCCGAAGCCGGGGAACTAACGACGTAACAATGTGTATTTTTTTTTCTTTTTTCTCCATCTATTAGTATAACGTAATAACTACATAATAATCTCCTTCCGCTGTTTCGAAACGAATTCGGAATTTAAATTGAAATTGAAATTTGTCTATAGCGGCCGCATACAGGCCTTAAACGATGTTTTCATCGTTGATTTACTTAAAGCTGCCTATTTGATTAATCGGTGCTCGTTCTATCAAACGATCGCGTTAAAGCTATCGGTGTGTCTGTTGGCGAAATAAACGAAAACATGCGTGCGTATACGCGTATACGCGTATTCGCGTCGCGCAAAGTACTCTGTACCCGATGCGCGCATCGACGAACATATAAATACGAAAGAACGTCGTACGTAACGAGTGACTCTAAAAATTAAACTAACGTTATCTATGTACATTCGTAACATGTAACTCTTTCCTCGCAATCGTCGACCGCCACGGTTAAATTGACTGCACGACGATTTTTTCCTTCGAAGCAACGGGACGCTTCGTTTCAAACTTTATTCGTTGCCGCGTCTAATTATGAAAACGTTGACGTTAAATTGGTCTAGTTTGGAACGAGTAGAGTCAGGTATCGAATCAATCAGACATTGGTCGTGTTACTATGTCGATAGCGTGTCGCGGGTCGTTGTTAGCGATCGACAGTAACTTAATCGCGCGACGTAGTTCGTTACGATTTCTTCTACTTCGCTGGATGTTTTTCCGTTTTTTTTTTTTTTTTTTTTTTTTTGATTCGGAAATACTGGAAAATAAATTCTCGTTATATCGATATATACTCTTATCGAACGATACGTTATAGAAAATAAAACGTAACGTTTATTTTACTTATTGCGTGATAAAAATTTGAATCGATGGATCAGTTATTTTTATCGAACCTATTATCGTTACGCAGAAAATAAATTTCAATGTTCAGTCTTAATTTCTATTGTTGTGAATGTTGTTGTTGTTGTTATTGATGTTGTTACTGCTACTGCTGCCGCAGTTAACGCTGCTATTATTAGGGTTATTAGCAGTAACAGCGGTAATAGCATTACCGTTATTACTGTTATCGTTGTTGTGGTTATTACCGGCGTTGTTGCCGTTACTGCCAATCAGCGCGCTTGTAGGATTTCCTATGTTATCTATTTCACGCTGAGCACGGGATATTTTCACCTTATCCCGCGGAGTTCCATCTTCCCCGGTTTCCATCGCGAACATCTTCATTTTCTCTTTGAAACTGAGTTTTTCCGGTACTTGACCAACTTGAGAATTTTGTTGTTGTTGTTTTTGCTTCTCGGCAAGTCGCCTCTGCCGCGGATCCCTAAGTAAATAATTTGTCGATTTGTTTTCGAAAGAAGAAAAGAGCAAAAAGTAAAATGAGAAAAAAAATATATTATAAGAATGCGACGTTACTTGTAAACTTCTTGAGCGCCTATTACACCAGGTGTACTGCCACTAAGCGGAATACCTGGTCCTTCGGGTGTCTTTGGAGATGCCAACAACATTTCAGCGTCGTTAATGAAAATCTGCGAAACAATGATAATTAAATAATAATTTGTTCTTTTCGAAATAAGCAAATCGATGAACGATCTTTCGAGAATTGCAAACTCTTGCGACTAGTCGACTCGGTGTATCGCTAAATCGCGTAAGTACACGATTCGATTCAAGAACGTATCGCGTATCTTACGTTTGGATCTTCCGTGATGACATCCATAGTCGTGGACGGAATCGTGGTTAAATTCCCGGACGATAAGTTTCGTTGCACCGTTCCAGATTCAATATTCACGTTCGCGTTCGAATCGTGAAACGAAACTCTCTTGATGGTCGTCGATTGCGGAGAGGTTAACGTTACAGTATTCGAAGATGTTGCATTGTTCGATCTGAGGACTCCTTGCTGTGACATCACCGCAAAACTGGAACCTCGTTCTGGCGGCAGAGGCGCATCGTTATTGCCATTTTGCGCAGCTGTAAAATTATGCGCAAACGGATGATTAAACGTATTGCACCGGTCGAATTAGAACGAAGAAGAAGTACGATAATCAATTAGTAAACGGAACATATCTATAAAGTGCTTACGAGACGCGTTAAGTCCATTGATAGTCAAGTTATCCAGCCGTAACATACTGGGATGTAACGTTTGTTGACTCTTCAGATGGGATTGCGACTGTGGCAAATGATGGTGGTGATGATGGTGGTGGTTATGCTGTTGCTGTTGTTGTTGCTGTTGCTGTTGCTGCTGATGTTGGTGTTGGTGGTGGTGCTGCTGCTGCTGTTGTTGTTGTTGTTGATATATTTGTTGAATTTGTTGTTGTTTGTTAGCATCTTCCTCTTTCTTTTTCTGTGTTTCATCCGAGCCAGCTTCCAATTGTCTTCTTCTAACTTCGTCCGATCTACGGTGTGCCTCTTTGTCTTCGATAAACTGAACGGAAGGAAGGGAACCGGATTTTTGAGAAGCGTTCGAGTGAATCAAGGACGACATTGAAATTTGCCCGACGTTATTTTGCATTTGCATGGTTTGTTCGCGTTGAAAAGTTAGCGAGGAATGCGAACCAGAATTATCTTGTTGGCTGACGCCACCGCTCGAAACGTTCTGAGAAGTTTGTGGAGCGTCGATTCCGTGCGCGACGATGCTCGGACTATGCATGGGCATGCTTCCACCGACAGTTTGAGCAGCATAGTTTCCCCTGATCGAATGATTCGCCGCGTTGTTTCTGGACAGGATCATCTGCTGTTCCAACGAATTGTTCCGATCTTGAGCCACCGTTGTACGAAGTAACCCCTGAAGTCGTTGTATACTCTCCGCGTCCAAATCGTTACTTTCTTCGTCATCGTCTTGCTGGTTAGCAACCTCCTCGGCTCTCTTTTGAAAATCTCTCTCCAATTGAAGCGCCCTTAATTGCTCTTCCTGCTGGGATGTCCGATGTGGTAACGCACTCAGTTCCGCTATCTGTTGATCTCGCCACTGTCTTGCCGCTTCCCTTCTGCGCGCTTGTTCCTAAGCAATCGTAACGATTTATACCATCGCGGTTCTAACACGAAAACGCGCGCGAACGTGAACTTAAGTTTATTATATTACCTTTTCCTTTTCTTCTCGTTGCCAAGGGTTCGTGGCACTGTACTGATACTGACGCGGTTGCAATCCGGTCCCCATTCCATTTGCCGGATAATATCCTCCGCGGGGAGGGTCTTGCATGCTCGCGGTGTATCTGTGGAACGTTAAAACAAAAATTTCTGTTTGTTCTTTCTCGATCTTTTAAATTATTGCCTTTTCTCCGTTCCTCGAAAAATAGGATTAACAAGGAAATTTAGGGCAACAGGTATTACCTGGAATCCGATTGTTTGCTATAGAGAGGATGAGTCGAGGTGTTTGGCGGCGGTGGCGGAGGGCTTTCGGTATATCCTTCTTCTGGAAGAGCAGGTCTCATCGGAGTAACATCGGTATTTAAACTATTTACTTCCGAAGCGAACTGTGACCTATTCATGCTATTTTCGGCGTTATAATGGTCGTTTCGTACATCCGAATTACCGTTCAAATAATACTGCGAACCAACGGTCAAGCGATGAGTTTGATCGGAATACGATTTGTCGATGTCTTGACAACTCTGCTCTCTTCCAAAATCGAGCATAGCTCCGTTCGGCTGTAATCTTGTTGAATCGTTCTTGCCTCTCGATGGAGGAGTACTACCGTATTGGATATGTGAAAAATTTTGTTGTTGCACGCTTTGGTGATGATGCTGATGATGATGATGTTGATGTTGGTGCTGATATTGATGTTGATGCGGATACTGATGCGGGTGTTGATGTTGATGTTGAGCTTGAGCTTGAGCTTGCGATTGAGGTTGAGATTGAGATTGAGGTTGAGGTTGCGGTTGAGATTGAGATTGAGATTGAGATTGAGATTGAGGTTGAATTTGAGGTTGCGGTTGAGATTGAAGTTGAGTTTGGGGTTGAGGTTGAGACTGAGATTGAGGTTGATGTTGATGTGCATGCCCATGGGAGGATTTGCTGTACTGAATCATGTATGATCCGTACTGAGGATCCAAATAACCGTAACTCGAAGTACTTTGCGCGACTTGTCTCGCGCTATATCCAGATATCGAAATTGGAGACGTCGACACCGTTATCGGTGGACTCGAACCCAAGTTCGGCTGGGGACCAAGAGATTTTGTCGGACGAACGGAGGAATTGTTCGGTGATGTGACCGAATTCGCTTTTACATTGTACGAGCCGCTAGGTCGATACTGATTCGATGGAACCGGTACGGCAGCTCGTAGTTCCCGCCTTCTCACTTCTTCTTGCATTTCCTGAAGTTTCGCTTCTTGTCGTATCGTGTCCCGCGAGGATTGAGATCTTAGCGACGTTGGCGCACATACCGATTGCGACTGTAGGTGCGACTGCGACTGCGACTGCGGTTGTCCGGTGAGATAAGGTTGTTGCTGACTTTGAGACACGTAGGCGGATATCGGCCGGTCCCTGATTTGGCTCGTTTCGAACGTTCCCGGCCGATTCAACGAATTTTGCGAGCCCTTCGAGTTCTTCTGCGGCTGCAGAAGATTTCTGTAAAAGACGTTAAAAGAGGAAAATAAGGAAAGAGGAGCGGAGAATAATAACGAGCAAAACGAAGAAAAAGAAGTAAGATGAAAAAAGGATAGGAAATTTTACCTTTCATCGGAATGCTGAGACGGGCTATATCGCTGTTTCGCCGTCGCATCCTGATTCCTGTAGATGCTCAAATTTTGGTAAAACCTTTCGGCTTCGTTTCCTTGAAGAACGTTCAAGGCGGTAGCGAGGTTACTCGAAGGATCGTTGTTCGCGATCGTTTGACCAGGATTCAAGTTCGGCGAGGATCGTTGTCTACCGACAAGAAGACCACTCGGTGGTAACATCCCGATTCTCGTCGAGTCGTGTAAATTGTGACTAGAACTGTTTCAACGCGAATACGTTAACGAAGTTTGCGGGTAAAGAGCGAGAAGACGTTAAAAAGTCTAATAACTGGATCGAAGGATATTACCGAGAGCGTAACGACGTCGAACTGTTGATAGGGTTGATCGGTAGAGGCTGCGTAACCGGAGGAGTAACGCTGTTACTGGACGACGCCCTGCTATAACCGGGATTGAATACCTCGTGTTGTTGCTTTCCATCGGTACCTACGTCTACGACGAATCATACGTGTTGGACGTTAGCTCGTGATATTTTTACATTTATTCGGTGTGTTTATTTCGCGGAAGAATGCAGGTTTCGCATTGAAATAGAGAGGCAAATGGCAAACGGGAATTTCTTATTTACGTTACTTACTGTGCAATGCTGGCACTGACTTGCTGGTATGCATTTGTTGCTGAGGAGCGGTTAGGTCGCGTCCAAGCCGCGATGGTAAATCTCGTTCGCTCATGCGGCGAGGTCCTGCGATAAGCACACGATGCAGATACACGTTTGTACAGCTGATCGAGAAACACGCGCGTGATACGAGAAGCCTCGCGGGACGGTACAGAGGCAGATCGAACTCGCGTTCTTCCCGCGCGACTTTTCGCCAAACGCGAATCCTACGCGTGCAGGAAAGAAGAAATCTGACAGCTAGACAAATGTCGCATGCAACGTCGATATAGACATGCGCGTACGAAACGCGAAGAATGCTCGAACACGGATAAACGAAAGCGAACAAGATAAAATAATTAAAAGCTAATGTCAAAGTTGAACGAGGGTAAAGCGCAAGCGAGCAAAGCTTAGGAATCGAAGCGGCGGATTCGTGATCGCGAATATAAGTTGGTATATACGCGAATGCAACGCGAATGCAACGCGAATAAAATAAACGAGGAGTGCGTGTAGAGAACGTGAGACCGGTGCGGGAAAGATTTGCATCGTGGAATAAGGTTAAGGAAAACTATCGACGAAAAAATAACGTTATCATGCGCGATGTACGTTCGCTAATTCGTACAACGATCATGTCCAACATCGATAGGCAGGCGCATATAACGGTCGGTTCGAATTGCTTACGTAAAAAGGTCTCGGCATCTATGGACGTTCTCGCGTGCGCGATCGAATCGATCGACTTTTGTCGATTCTCGTCGTACCGATGGACGATGAACGAATCGTCGTCATAAAGTATCGGCGGTGTTCTTTCACTCGGTAATCGATGCTCGTCGTTATCGCCGTTGCTACTTCCGTTATCTCGAATTTCCTCTCGTTGACCGTAACTATGATTTTTGTCGTCGACGTTCGAATTCGAAATCGAACGTCGCGACAATTCGTATTCGCGCGAGCGAATTTCCCGCTTTTGGTTCTCGGCACCGAAATCCAAACTGGCCGAACGCGTAGCACGATAGAGGGTAGTCGATTTTGCTTTCTCGGATCGACCATACGAATCGCGCGGTCGTTGATACGAGATTCGAGCGTGGACGCGGGAGTCTCGTTTAGCCAAGAAACCGGAATCCAACCGGTTCGCGGGATCCACCAATGATCTCGCGCTGTCCAGATTCGGACAGGAAACGGCAAGTTGCTTCTTCCATCGATCGTCGAGCAAGTTATCGTCGATTCGACGAACGGTATTCGTTGGAAGGTCGACGATCCAACGGGGATCTAATCGCGATTCGGAGCATTCGGACAAAACCGCTAACTGGAATATCGACGGTGTGCCGATCGTGCCTTCGAGATTAGACATTTCTTCGAGCTGCTCGATCACGCCATCTCGATCGAAGTAAAGTCGGGCTCGGACACGAATCTACGATAATCCTGTAAATCGCGCGATCTCGATCTTGATTTGTCGCGAATTATGCTTTCGATTTCGTCCAATTTCGAAAAGTATCTGGCTAGTGCCGCCACTCGACCGCAGCCGAGTCGTACCTCCTCCGGGGATTTCCAACACTTGTAGGAACCGTGGACACTGGAGAAGTCGCTCGATAGGTCGCTCGAGACATTGTTCGAGGTATCGTTGTCCAAACCGGATAGATCGAGATTCAGTTCGAGCATCGTCACGTCCGCGGTCGACGTTAACAACGCATCTTCCGTTTGTCCCTCTTCGGAAGCGCAAACACGTCGCGTGATAGACATCGTTTCTTCCTCTTTCTGCTTTACGCTCGTTTTCGAGTCGATTCTTGCCACGCTCTCGCTACCGTCCCTACTTTCGTTTCCGCGACTCTCCCTATTATCGCACCGCATTTTTCGCTCCCCGTTCGGAGTTTCGCGTTCGTCCTTGTTGTCGTTGTCGTTGTCGTTGTCGTTTCGTCGTACCGATGGACGATGAACGAATCGTCGTCATAAAGTATCGGCGGTGTTCTTTCACTCGGTAATCGATGCTCGTCGTTATCGCCGTTGCTACTTCCGTTATCTCGAATTTCCTCTCGTTGACCGTAACTATGATTTTTGTCGTCGACGTTCGAATTCGAAATCGAACGTCGCGACAATTCGTATTCGCGCGAGCGAATTTCCCGCTTTTGGTTCTCGGCACCGAAATCCAAACTGGCCGAACGCGTAGCACGATAGAGGGTAGTCGATTTTGCTTTCTCGGATCGACCATACGAATCGCGCGGTCGTTGATACGAGATTCGAGCGTGGACGCGGGAGTCTCGTTTAGCCAAGAAACCGGAATCCAACCGGTTCGCGGGATCCACCAATGATCTCGCGCTGTCCAGATTCGGACAGGAAACGGCAAGTTGCTTCTTCCATCGATCGTCGAGCAAGTTATCGTCGATTCGACGAACGGTATTCGTTGGAAGGTCGACGATCCAACGGGGATCTAATCGCGATTCGGAGCATTCGGACAAAACCGCTAACTGGAATATCGACGGTGTGCCGATCGTGCCTTCGAGATTAGACATTTCTTCGAGCTGCTCGATCACGCGTCGTTGCTCGGCTAACGACAACTTTCTCTTTTTATCGTTCGTCGGAGATTCTTTTTCTCTCTCGTTATCATCCACCGTATCCGTGCTCGAGTTTTCGAGCGTCAACTTTCCAGCCGACCAGCAAATATCCTTGACCCGACGTTCGTTCGAGTCGTTTCTCATATCCAATTCGGATCGGCAACGTTTATCGACGAGACGAGACAAACGGCTACGACGTCGGCGGTTGCGACCGCGATGGCGCATTTCAGAATCCGTTTCGTCTATTTTCCCTATATCGCCTGTCTCGTCTATCTCGTCAGCCTCGCCTAACTCGCTCATCTCGATCGAAGTAAAGTCGGGCTCGGACACGAATCTACGATAATCCTGTAAATCGCGCGATCTCGATCTTGATTTGTCGCGAATTATGCTTTCGATTTCGTCCAATTTCGAAAAGTATCTGGCTAGTGCCGCCACTCGACCGCAGCCGAGTCGTACCTCCTCCGGGGATTTCCAACACTTGTAGGAACCGTGGACACTGGAGAAGTCGCTCGATAGGTCGCTCGAGACATTGTTCGAGGTATCGTTGTCCAAACCGGATAGATCGAGATTCAGTTCGAGCATCGTCACGTCCGCGGTCGACGTTAACAACGCATCTTCCGTTTGTCCCTCTTCGGAAGCGCAAACACGTCGCGTGATAGACATCGTTTCTTCCTCTTTCTGCTTTACGCTCGTTTTCGAGTCGATTCTTGCCACGCTCTCGCTACCGTCCCTACTTTCGTTTCCGCGACTCTCCCTATTATCGCACCGCATTTTTCGCTCCCCGTTCGGAGTTTCGCGTTCGTCCTTGTTGTCGTTGTCGTTGTCGTTGTCGTTGTCGTTATCGTCCCACTTGGAACGCGAACGATCCTCGACGCGCGTCTTGAAATCGTTGCGGATAGCCTCGAACGGCGTGGAACGTATTCGCGAAATACCGGCTACGTTATCGTTCGAATTTCCTCCGATCAATCGACACTCGCAACACCGCTCGTTCCAGGGATACGATTCGTCCGTTTGATCGATGTACGGTATCGACTCGAGACAGTTTAAACAACCCTCGCGATCGTAAGCCTTGTTCGACGAATCGAAATTCGAGCTTAACCGACTCGTAATACCCGCTTCTTCTTTTTCTATCTCCTCCTTGTCTTCTTTTTCTTCTTTCGTTTCGTGTCGTTGAAATTTTACCGGCGGAGTCGTTTCACGTACCGGGAAAGATGCGCGCGAATCGTGTAAATCGTAACGAGTAAATCGATTAAAGTTCGAAACGGAGCAAAGAATCGCACCTGATACTGGATCGATCGAACGGTCCGAAGAAGCGATCGCCGCGTGCCTCGGCGCGTCCAACAAATTACCCATTGAACGCGAGCTGGACGGATGCTCGCTGCTCGTCTCCTCTACTTTCCAATTTTCCAAATGTTCGGACTTGGGACGAATCTTGTACGCTGCTTGGAAACAATTGGTTAGTAAAGCATTAGTAGAGCTAATTGGCTTTCCCCGCATTTCCGTAGCGCGCGTTAAGCAAGCAAACGTCGCGAGAGAAGATCAACCTCGAGGAACACGAATCGAGTATTCTCGACGGCGAATTCGAAAAAAGCTTTCAAAAGCTTCTTCTCCTTCTTCCTCTTGGTCTTTGCGTTTAGAAATATCTACGAAGAAGGTCTGTTGGAGGGAGGGAGGGAGGGAGAGAGAGAGAGAGAGAGAAAGATAGAAAATTATTAGAAAGCGAGTACCTCTGCTCATAACCGGTGACGGTTGCGATAACAAAGTAGCCAAACCATGATATATGGCACCCTGCTTGGCAACTTCCAGTGTCACTATCGGCCCCGTGCGCACCAGATATTCGGCAGCTCTGAAAACATATTGGCACATCATGTAAGAGGCTTGCCACTCGACGCGGCTTTACTTTGGTTTACAAAATTTAACGCAATCTTCTAACACGAAAACTGCAACGTTTCCGGTATACTCACTTTTCTTGCGTAATTCCGACTAAACTTTGCCCGTCGACCTTGAGCAGTTGATCGCCAGCCGTCAATCTACCATCCTGCGCAAACATTAGGTGATCACGAAAGATACAATTAAAAATTTTTCATCGTACACGCGTGCTCGGTCCTACATCTATATATTAAAATACCCGTTGCCAACGCGAACATATCTCCTGCTTGTCATTTATCGTCGCTTTAATTCAAATTTTTAGTTGAAATTCGTATTTTTAATTCCGCGTATTTTCCATATTAATTTTCCTCTACCGTACGAAAGAAAATGTAGTAGTCACTGTACTCACAGCATCGGCGGCACCTCCTGCAACTACGCTCTTTATATATATTCCCAGTCTGTCTTGGCCAGCGCCCTGGAAACACAACAAACGAATCGAAAGAATCGAGAAGCGATTTTACACTCGTCTAACGACTAAAGTGTCGAACCGAGCGCGGCTTTGGACACGTACCTTCGCCGCAACGATGCTCAAACCCATTCCATTGGTCGATTTATGTAATTTGATCACGTGTATTTCCGGTTGAGCGGAATTCGGTCCTCCAGCGTGGCAAGAATAGCCACCGCCGGATCTGTTGCTCATCGCGCTGGGGCTGCGAAACTAGCGATAAGCGCGAAGAACGTTCAAATGATTCGCTCTTGTGTAGGCAACGTAAGAAAGAGAGAGAGAAAAAGTAGAAGGAGGAGAAGGACTCACGTTATTGTGATGATCGATCATATATATGGTCCAATATCCGCTGCTGGTGGGCTGTGGGGCCATTCGACAAAGTCCGTCCCGCTGCAACGGGGCCAAGAATTCTGCTAATCCCGGTGGCACTCCGCGTATCACCTCGCAACTGTATCCATCCTCGGGAAGAAGAAGAGCCAACGCGAGCGTAGGTTCTTCCTCGAGTCGAATCTCTCTACCGTCGGCACGCGCGAGCGTGTCTGCCACGCTTTCCGCTACCTGTAAACATAGTAGAGCATCGAAAAGGCTCCTGTATAAATTCGCACATAAATTAGCGCATAAATTAGCGCGTGTCAACGATCGCGAACTTACTCGTACTACGTTCTCGATTAATTCCGCTGGAAGTCTCGGCTCGTCGGCAGCTGGTTGGTACTTTTGCAACAGTGCCCTGACTTGAAGGGAATTCAACTTGAAACACGTGGAACTTAGTGTGGCGAGCTCCTCCGCGTTGTATTTCGGCGCTTGCAGCAAGTGCGTCGCCTGCATGATCGTCGCCAAGTGACACTGACTCGCCAACTCCAGACCCTGTCTTTCGGCCCAGGTTTCGAGCGCGTTCAATCTCGCTTTCAATCGACGACCAAACCATCGAACGCACAGATTCGCGTTCGAAACCAACGAATTGAACGCGGTCGCGTTGATCGCGTGAAACAGGTGGCTGAACAGTTGAATGGTCAGAGCAGCGTTTACTCTGCACCGCCTCAGCAGAGCCATCGTGCTAGAAAATATTTGTAAAACTCCGGCTTCTTTGGCGGGCTCGTCGGCATCGGCCATAAACTGCGACATCGCCGGGGCTAGTTCGAGAGATATGCATCGGACCAGAGAGGCGAACGCCGCGTGGACCGCCTCCGTCAAAATATCTTGTGCCCTCGTCGAGAACGCTCCCACGTGCCGGTCGTTCTTCAGCATATGCAACAATTCCGAACCGTTCGCTAGCCACAGCGCCAAAGAAGACGCGTCCATGTATCGTTCCTGTCGACGTCAAGCCAAACGTCATCGATCAATTCTCGAGTACGATCTCTTACGACGTTTCGCGAACGCGCGACCGACTCTATACGATTCTTTACGCTCGCACCTATTCCATCTGATTCGTTACCTGTATCACCCGTTGTATCATGCTGGCTACGTTCGCTAACATCACGGTCAATCTGTGAGCCCTTTCCGTTGGCTGTAGTTCCGGTCTGTAATGCGTGCTCGCCCGATATCTCGCTGCCAAATAAAGCGTGTACGTTGGGGCCAATTTGAATTGAGGCGCTGACGGTTCCACGTCCGTGATCACCGCGTGGAAAAACGTCTCTTCGGTTTCCTCGAGAAACTCCAGTACGGCCGGTAGAATCGGATCCGTTCCTCGTACTTGTCGATCGTTCTGCAACGTTCTGTCGACCAAACAAACGATTCGAAATCGTTACTAAACCGAGCACATTCCTCTTCCGAGCACTAAACCTTTTCTCCCTTACTACTACTTTATTATTACCCTTATTACCTCCGCGAGTTCTTTCTCTTTCCCGACTGTCTCTTCGCCTTTACTTATCTCGTCTCGTTGCGTCCCCTCCCGTCCCGTTCTAATCGCAAACCCGTATCTTCTTTCCCGCAGTTTCTTACTCCTACATCCTTCGATACTCCGAATTCGATACTCGGCACGATCGCGCAAAGATTACCTGTTACCGTCCCTGCTGCTGGTCAAACTGGCGGTCTCGACGTTTCCATCGAGATCGAACGTAGTCTCGTAATTATGGATGGATTCCGGCGCGTGCGTCGGACTTTGAGGATGACAACCGACAGCGGAATTAGTCGTAGATTTGCTCGGGCTAGATGGGTGAGAAGTTTGTTCTTGATTTGCCTGGCCATGATTCTGCAACCCTTGATTCTGTCCACTGTTCGGAGTGCCGGATGCCGATCCGTATCTCTCCACGTTTGTCTCCTGACCGGTCAAGTCTGGCGAGCGTCTACGGTACAAAAGCAGGCTGCGTGCAGGAAAGAAAAAAGCAAAACGAAAAAAACGCAATGAATTAAGCGTATGAGAGCTTCTCATTCCGTTTTTCTTCTGTTTCGGTATCTTCACCGAGAAGACTGTCATGGAGTAGGTTAAGGAGGGAGCAATCGAAAGACCGCAGCGCCAAAGAAGACGCGTCCATGTATCGTTCCTGTCGACGTCAAGCCAAACGTCATCGATCAATTCTCGAGTACGATCTCTTACGACGTTTCGCGAACGCGCGACCGACTCTATACGATTCTTTACGCTCGCACCTATTCCATCTGATTCGTTACCTGTATCACCCGTTGTATCATGCTGGCTACGTTCGCTAACATCACGGTCAATCTGTGAGCCCTTTCCGTTGGCTGTAGTTCCGGTCTGTAATGCGTGCTCGCCCGATATCTCGCTGCCAAATAAAGCGTGTACGTTGGGGCCAATTTGAATTGAGGCGCTGACGGTTCCACGTCCGTGATCACCGCGTGGAAAAACGTCTCTTCGGTTTCCTCGAGAAACTCCAGTACGGCCGGTAGAATCGGATCCGTTCCTCGTACTTGTCGATCGTTCTGCAACGTTCTGTCGACCAAACAAACGATTCGAAATCGTTACTAAACCGAGCACATTCCTCTTCCGAGCACTAAACCTTTTCTCCCTTACTACTACTTTATTATTACCCTTATTACCTCCGCGAGTTCTTTCTCTTTCCCGACTGTCTCTTCGCCTTTACTTATCTCGTCTCGTTGCGTCCCCTCCCGTCCCGTTCTAATCGCAAACCCGTATCTTCTTTCCCGCAGTTTCTTACTCCTACATCCTTCGATACTCCGAATTCGATACTCGGCACGATCGCGCAAAGATTACCTGTTACCGTCCCTGCTGCTGGTCAAACTGGCGGTCTCGACGTTTCCATCGAGATCGAACGTAGTCTCGTAATTATGGATGGATTCCGGCGCGTGCGTCGGACTTTGAGGATGACAACCGACAGCGGAATTAGTCGTAGATTTGCTCGGGCTAGATGGGTGAGAAGTTTGTTCTTGATTTGCCTGGCCATGATTCTGCAACCCTTGATTCTGTCCACTGTTCGGAGTGCCGGATGCCGATCCGTATCTCTCCACGTTTGTCTCCTGACCGGTCAAGTCTGGCGAGCGTCTACGGTACAAAAGCAGGCTGCGTGCAGGAAAGAAAAAAGCAAAACGAAAAAAACGCAATGAATTAAGCGTATGAGAGCTTCTCATTCCGTTTTTCTTCTGTTTCGGTATCTTCACCGAGAAGACTGTCATGGAGTAGGTTAAGGAGGGAGCAATCGAAAGACCGCGATCCTCTCCTTTACTTCGTACCGGTCGAGCGTCCAATTTTTTTCGCGTATTTTTCCTCTCGTTTCACTATATTCGCGAACGCGGTTACTTCTCACTAAGGGCCTTTTCGTATTCTATTCTATTCTATTCTATTCTATCTACTCTACTCTATTCTTTTCTATTCTCTTCTATTCGATCTGATTTACCTCGCATCATTTCGACTCAACTCAATTCCATTTTCCTGTAGGTATACGCTCATTCTCTACGCTACGTGTATCGTGCATCGCATTCGTGCATCGTGTCGTGCTATTTGAACGACGCGCGACTAACTCACCGTTCGTAACCGTATTCGATTTGTCTTGTAGATTCGTGTCGCCTGATGCGTTCTTCAGGCGCTGGATCGATGAATCGAAAGGTATGTAGTCTGCCAAATTTCACGATCGCACCGTTCTACGAAACAGCAAAGGACAAACGGCGTATGAGAAATGGCAAATGGAAAAACGAGAATGAAAATGCATATTTAGAAAATTCAAACTGAGCAGATAAAGGTAAACGAGTGGAGAATTGTTCGACGCGAGCATACTTGGAGTATCGTCGTTTGATGTATCCGCTGATTGTTGACATATGTGTGAGCGTCTCTGGAGCAAGGGGTGAGGGTAACGATATTTTCGGTAAAAGCGATCACACAGTGTCTCGGCATAACGGTCGGTCCGGTCAACGTCAAAGTTTGAGCTTGAACCGCCTGCGGCCCTATCGGCCTTTCCGAACCCACCTCCGTGACGTTTGGCTGCAATCGGTGTCTCGCGCCAGCACCGTTCGGAACCTCGCTCCCGTCGGGATTTAGTTCCACCAAAAATGGCAATCTTTCGTCCTCGTATCTAATCAAAAAAAATAACTTCAACCGACACGGAAACGATCAACCCCTCTACATTTTCTACCACTCGTACCACTAGTTCTACGAACGAATTACTATTCCCTTTCCTTTCTGTCCCTTTCTGTCCCTTTCTGTCCCTTTCGTTCGACCTTCGATCGCGATATTCATTTTTTTCCATAAATACTCGCTAATCTCGCGCGCTTTTGTTACGCACCTGTGATCGAGTTCGTTCCATTTGCCGCTAGGCTTTTTCTTGCGTTTCCGAGGCACGTAATCCGCGGGCCTTCTCCGCACATGGAACATGATCGAACCTGAAACAAATAACGAATATTCTTTCTTTCGCTGAACCGAATTGCTTTCCTTTCCGTCAACGAACACGTTCGATCGTGGCATGCTCCTTCGCTGTTCGCGTTTCAGTCACCTACGCCCGCGTCGGGTCACGCACTTTTTCCTAAAAATCGCACTTATTTCAACGATCGATACGCGTCCGTTCGATTGTCGTTGCTGCGGATCGATCGGGCCGATCTTGCGTAAAACAGGCGAAATTCGTGATCGCGAACGAGGCATGCTAAATACGGACAATGCAACGTACACGAACGAGACAAGTTAATGTACTTGGCGCTTGTAATCGATCGGATCGATATATCCGAAGAAAGGTTAGGTTCGCTTGTAACCGTGAACATCTAGCGGCGGGAAGTGCGGTCGATGGCGTCAGCGTTCCCCGCTTCGAGGACAAATGTTTTGCGTCGTATAAAACGGTTAAACGAGCATCGTTCGAGGAACGCGAGATCTTTCCGTTTTGAAAAAGTAACTTTAACGAGAGCGACGGTCCTTACGTCTGATTCCCCAATCCATCATATTGCGTGAAGCGCGTCGATTCGATGATTTGCTACGTGGTCCCTGGTAGTCGCGTACGTGCGCGAACGAACGAACGAACGCGCGTGGTCCCTTCTGTTAGCTTCGAATTTCCCTTAGAATTTTGGTCCTCCGAGTTTCGATTTGTACCGATTCGCGATCGAGATTAGGACGAATGCACGGATAAACGAGGGCGTCGTGGAATAGGGAGTATTCGACCTCGTTACCTGTTACGTCGATTACAGGCTGCCGACGCTAATACCGTTCGCGTTATCGAATATTTCTAATAGTCGAAAAATATCGCAAAACGTTGAAGACAGAAGAAAATCGGAAAAATTGTATCGGTCGATTTTAGAGTTCCGCCAACGCATTCGTTTTCCGTGAATTCGAAATCGTTTTACTGCGCGAGACGCGCTATCGTTTTTCTCTCTCTTCCCCTCGACCTCCTCCTTGTCCTCCTCTTCCTCGCAGCAAACCCGCTACGTCCCATTACTCGCGTTTTCCTCGATTTTCGACTTCTAAAGCGAAACTTTTCTTTCCCTTTCTTTTTCCTCTAGGCTCGTCACGTTGTTACCCCGTGGACACCGAGATCGCGAGCGGAAGACAAGCGGAAGGTGAGCGGTAGATGAGCGGAAGATTTCACGGCCGAACGAATCAACGTTTCCGTATATCAGCCTCGGTATATCGATGCGTCTCTCTTGGAAAGTTGATCGGCTGCGCGATCGCCTTCGTTTCGACTGAACGCTGGTCAACTTTTCTTGTCGTATCGCCTTCGACGTTCTATCGAGTCTTTGGCTCAACGATCGATTTTGCCTCGTCGTGATCGTCGTTTATTCGATTTTTCGCCAACCGAATACGATCTTCGCACTCTTCTCGCTCGATCTCGAGTCGCGCACAATAATACGATCGTTGACGCGTTACAGTTCGAATCGCGTTGACGGAGATAACAACAACGTTCGCTATTATGTCACGACATTTCGCGCGACTGAACTCGAGCATCACGGAAAGAAACGATATTCGGTGGGCGGTCCTTCGAGCAGTGGCGCGCGCGCACCCCTACACACCTATCGACGTACATTCGTACGACGTCGCGCCGCGACCCCTCGTTTCGCGTAACGTCGTCCAGTTTCTAAACCGTGCTATCTCAACTATGCTATTGCACGTCGCACCGTATCGTATCCTAACGTATCGTAGCGGTATCATGTCGACGACGTCGAAAGGAACGTTCGAACGCGCTCCATTCTTCCATCACTTTTTCTCCATTCAATTCGTACTCGGGTTGAATCGTGCGAATTTTTCTTTCGGCGTCTGTCGAGTTCGTTTCGGGCATTTCGCTTCAAAGATACTTACCCCGTGCAGACGGATGATTCATAAGAATAGCTAAAGGGCATTCATCATCGTCCAATATGTACTCTTGCTGCGCTCCTCCGTTTACGTGCTCGCTATTTACCTGCGCAACATTTAGAAACACAGTCATGTAGATCTTTCGACTTTCCATCTATCGATCGCCTCGTCGTTACGCTCGGTATCGCTTTGTTTTATTTCGTTCAGTCGAATTTTGACGAGCGCGTCACCTTCGCAAAAAATTTCAGCGAATCTACTCTAGAAATATAGTCGCGCGACACTGCATCGATTTCTCACTCACCTGTACTAGACAATACTGCTGCGGATCAACCTTTTCTAAACCGTATTTGGAAAGCATTTCTCGCACCACGTGAACAGCCGAATCTCTTACGCTCAACAACAGAGTTTTATACGGAACGTCCTTACAAAGTGCCTCGCCATAAATCTTCAATGTTCCACCGGTGTCGGGACCGCCGTCTTTACTGCGAAACTGTTGCAGTTTTCGCTCCAATTTTTGCTGACGTCGCCTCCTCATCACAGCTTCCGGATTTGAAATGCTTCTGGTAAAGCTAGTTTCCGGTAGTTCTGAAAACGATAAATCGTCATTTTTCTTCGACCAATGCGTTGATCCTTTAAAAAATTCTTACTCTATCGCTATCGTATTATTATCGTATTATTATCGTATTATTATCGTATCATTATCGATCGGTTTCAACTGCTACTCGTGACGCGCCGCGATCCTTCCTAGCATCGATCGCGATACGTTGTATGTATTTTGTCTGCCTACCCGTGTATAATTTTTCGGCTACACCATTCTGATCGATCGGTACTGTATTTTCTTCCTGTTCCAAACTCTTCAGACGACCCAGCTTCTCTTGTTTCTTCATTTGTTTTTTTTCTCGTTTGCTCAACTTTCTGCGAAAGCTAGATCCCTCCGAACAAGAGAAACCCACGCCTTGCGCGTTCGTCTTGTCGTCGATTCTTCTCAACAGAAAACGTCCTTCGCGGTCGTCGATGTGCCAGTTTAGCTGAACTAGCAGCGGTTTCTCCTCCAATCCGAGCTTACGTTCGTCTGTACAAAATCAATCGTATCCGATTCGGATCGTATAATCAATATGATTATATCCGATTCGTTGCATTCGTGTATTTCGCTTACCGCCGTTCTCGTGAATCTCGTAAAGAGCGTATTCCGGAACAGAAAGCATTCGCATATCTGGACGGAACTTTTCGATCAGCGTTTCGATCACTGCCTGACTTGTCGCGTCCGACGCTACTCTTATACATTTTGTTGCCACTTTCTGACCGCTGTCTTGGAAGTAAAATCTCATTACACCATGAAATTCGAGATCCTAAAAAATAATAAAAGTAACCGGGTAAGCAGAAACTGTACGATACGTACGAGTACATCGTATACTATTTTTTTTACCTCGTTCGGCTCTGAAAGTTCGAACAAATCCAATCTATTAGCGTTCCATTGTTGAATCACACCACGCAGAGCTTCGCGCTCCGCCTTCTTATTTGCCAACTCTGTGGCCATCCTGCGAACCAACCAACAAACTAACAAATCAAACAAAAATAAACTTGCGATATTTAAACGCTATATCGATGCCATTTTCCATCGATTCTCCATTATTTATTTCCGTTCCTTCTGTCGAACAACAACTAGGCGGTATCTTTCGCTAAACGTAAACGTTTCTTTCTTTCATACGTCATCGTCGAGCGGAGAACAAATTAGTCATCGTATACGTGTACACGCGTACAAGATAGATCCGACGGGAATCCTGTACGAGTATTAGCAAATATTTCGAAACTCTATACTTTTTTGCCTTTCAAACGTTCGAAACATTTAAAAACGTTAAAATGGCTACTTTAATCTACGTCGTTCGTCCACGATTCGATCGACTTCGGTTTTAACGATACATAACGCGATGCTAATTCGATACTTTTATCGTTATCGTAGTCCACGTACATGGTACACGCATTCGATATTCGTACGCGACAGATGAAGGAGCGTCTACTTGAATCGCGTAATTTCTTGCTCGAAGAAAACAGCTTACCGATATTTTTTTCTTAACGCGTCGATATTGCCTACCTAACGAATATAACAACAAGGATATGTACGTTGAACGAAACATAAATGGCTTTCGGCGATCGAATAATTTAGGATCGAGAGAAGCGTTCGAGAAAAATTTCGCTGGAGTAACGAAACGAACAAACTCTTGTCATGGTTGTCGGGAAAGGATCGGTTCGAATCGGTTGCGATCGACTCTGCTCGGATCTCTTCGGCAACGCTCGAATAAAATCGGGTTAATTCGGAGTGGAACACGTTCAACGAGTAACTCGCATTCCACGCATTCCTACCTTCTTCGACAGAATTCGATCTTAAAACCTTAAAAGCGCGCTCGAGTAATTCGAACACGCTCGAGTACCCTCGA